ACCATGGGCCGGTTAGCGTGGCTGGTCTCACCTGGTTGACAGACCCACACATCTCTGACACAGAGATTTGAGCCAAAACTGATGATGCTTCACAAATTCAAGAAGAAAACCCCCCCATTAAAAACAAAAGCGCTAAAAGGAAAGCAAGTTGTAGATTAATTGGGAGAAGTACAGTGGTTTCTGCATTATTCATGAAAAAAGTTTTCATTGTTTCAGCACCATGGACAGAGGCTGAATAAGAAGATGTGAAACTGCACTGGAACATTTTAAGCATCGTATATGTTGAGAAGTAAGTAAGTAATTAAAAAGAGGTGGAGAGACATGATGTAAATAATTATCTCTGTTAAAAAAAAGTCTTTGTATTAACTGATTTGGCCCAACTATCTTTGAAGTGTTGCAACACCTGCGCTCTCTGGAAAACAAAGGCAAAAGCTACCCGAAAAAGACCTGTCACGTGTTCATACACTCATTCACTAACTAATGTGTAGATGTGTAGATTTCACGTGTTGTACCTTTCTGAATACCATGTATGTGCTAGTGCTGGTGGACACACATCTCTAGTAGGTTTCTATTATATGAGTAGAAGTTTTTCATTTTCAAGAGGCACTTTTGAGAGTATAAATGGCTTTGATGGATCATGAATGCATTAGTGTGGGTGGTTATGTTTCTGTAACTCAGGCTGATATACAATAGAACATGATGAGGGAAAGTTCCAGTCCATGGCGAGATTTTAAAAAGGAGAATGCAGGGGAAAGGTCATGGGCAATCCTTTTGAAGCTTTGCTACAAGACTAACAAACGTGCGTTTTGATCTGTGCGAGTAAAAGTGTTTAGGCTGCAACTAATGCTTAACTTGCATAGCACTTTTCAAACCTCAAAGTTTGCTCCTGCAATGTGCAACACATGTTTCTTACAACACAAAATGCAATTCCTGTTGACGACTGTAGTTTTAATTTACATGGAATGTGTATATAGGTACTATTGTGGAATACATTTTAAAAAGGTGCACACAACCAAACACTGCAATGGCGTATTTATGTGTGTCCTGTTGTTGAATAATGGCTGTGAGGTTTTGATGGCAGAGTTTAATTTGTGCAGTGAGAAGAGGGTTTTTTTTCAGTTGCCAAAACACAAAAATTACAATTATTGAGACGCTGAGAGGGCAAAGTCTCTCCACAAGTCTGACAAACTATAAAAACTGTTTCTGCTTTGCACTCAATTTTGAAATCAGCATGACACTTCATTTCACCACATAGTTCTCTAAATACGACACAGGAATCAAGCTCTCCTTTGCCATTTTAAATCACCGCCATTCAAAACAGCCCATGTTCCAGTTGGCGAAGACACATACCTGGCCAAAACCTAATGGCCTGTGTAAGCACTATGGAAAGAGCACAGGTGAGTCCTTGTGTACAACACAGCAGGTTATTATGCCCGTTTTAGCAATTAAAAGAAAAACAGAAATTTGGGCTTTTTATTGTATGTTCTATTTAAAATAGGTTCTGTTCTATTTTCTCATTGCAACCTTTGGAAAAACATTCATACTGATTTTACATCAATGTGTAGTAAGCACTAGTCTTGTGCGTCATGTTTGGGAAATATATTTAAAGGGACTGAGGATTTAGCACAGAAGGAAACTTTATGAACGTGAATGTGTTTTTGTATGGTGACAAAATGGGTTACAATAAACTATTGTATTGTTTTGAATGAGATTTTTCGATTTACAAGACAACTGCAATTGTAGCCACTTGTGTGTGTAGTTGTGTCAGTTGTGTGTTGAGTTACACAACATTAAACGCGTCATCTTTCTATGTCTCATTTGGCTTGTAACCATAATTTCTACAAAAGGAGCCAAAATGTGGCGTAGGCGCGTCATCATTCCCCAAAACTATTTGAATAATGACGCAGGGTTTTTCATGAATCACCAACCTTCATCTGAACCAATCATCTGATGAAATATTGTGATCCACCACTCAGCGGTTGGTTTACTTTGTTCACCCTGCCTCAGCAGGGACCCGAGCAAAGCCATGACAACTGCACTGGACAAGCCTCTTGTCCTGCTGTGACTGTTTATTTGCTGTTGTTAAGTCAGGTGTTTTCCCATTTTAACTGTTGAGTGGGTTGTTTCCAACTGCAGGGTTTGAGTTCATGACTACGAAGTTGGTTTCTCAACTGCTGAGTGGGCTGTTTGAGTGGAGAGATCAGAACCCTTTGAGTGGCAAAACCCCACTGCAAAGATATTTTTAATCGCACCTATTTATGGAGCGCCAGGCTATAGGTAACCTAGAAATTGATTTTAAAAAGGATAACCCAAAACATCTAAGAATAATCTGAAAGCAACAAAAAGAAAAGCTGTAAACTGAAGTTATGCAAAAACATGTCAGGAATTATTTTTCAAATTGTGGATAAAATTGACAGGTGTCCTATAAATTTCCCTAACCCAAGCCACAAGCACAATCGGCACATGACTCCGGGACAGAGACGCTCGTTTTGCAAAAGGGAAATTGAAAACATAGTGTAAGCTTTCTGAGATAGCGTATGCTCTAACTATTATATTTTTGATTTACTTCCAAAAAACACGCGTTACGTCGACATAACGCAGGAGTTCAGAGTGAAAAAAGGCCGGAGGTGTTAAACTGTCATGCTTACCGCCAACTCACTTCTTAGAAAGACACAATTGCTGTCTTGCTCACTCAAGAAGTGGGAAGAGTTTTGTTTGATAGCGTTAAAGCAGTCACATCTGTTGTCAATCACAGACCCACCGCTTGAAATAGCTTTTTTAATTAACTTCGCAATAACTTCGGTCTTGTTGTGAGACGTGACAGCTCACATTTGTCACGAACATTGCATGAAAAGGGCGCTATAATGTATATATAAAGATATTATCGGGAGTATTTTTTTCCTGCTTGTTTGTTACAGTAATGTAAAAGGTGTCATTTCCTTGCTGACTTGAACTGCACTAAAGACCCACCTTTGAAAAATGTTTTTTAACTGACGTCTACAGTCATTGATTGATACAGGTACGTTAAATGGCAGTGCATTTAGTTTCTTAGGGTGAAGGGCGGGGTGTTTCCACATTTTTAACTCAATATTATTTGCATATATAGTGTCAAAGAAAGTGTTCAAATGCATGAGTTTCATGTCTAAACCTTTCGCGTGGCGTGAAGTTTAATAATACAATCATTAAATGGATTCTGTACGCTACACACGTTTTCAAACACACTTGACACGTTGCTCTTGATTTATGAATGGACTCCATTTTCACTTCTTAATAGCCTCAATTGAAAAATAGCCCCGGTGATTGGCTATTCGGAGCGATGAATGTTCTGAACCATACCTTATGGTATAAGCCTTATTTTAAAAAACAGAAATCCATGCCGAAGAACAGTATGTGGGAGTCTCTCTCTCTCTCCAAAAAAAGAACTTACAAAATAAAACAGGTGGTGTGACCGTTGTTGATGCGATGCCGAACAATTGTTCTGATGTCTGAATCTTTCTCATTTAGACAGGTAGTTTGCAGGTTTAAAGGGTGGACAGATTCTTGATGGGAACAAAGAAAACAAGCTATGTTTTCCGAGACAAACTAGCAAATGTGCTCGTCTGACTCAAATCAAACAGAAAACCAGACTAAAATATATCACTATTCTGCTCTCGGACTCACAATTAATGCAGTAGGAGATAATGTGAAACCATTGTGTAATTGACGTTCAAAAAAGTCTGCAGCTTTCTTTCATTCATCGTTACTTGCTGGCATTCTATTATCCGTATTAATTTTAGCCGAATGTCACAATTCCGCAACAAGAATTGATTGGAAGGTTATTTGCATCACTTGTTGCTAAAGGTGTGAGGACTGCCTCCTAATTAGGAACTGAGCGTGGTGCGTTTCCCCTCGTGGCCAATCAGGGGCTGAGGCACCTTTTGCGAGGGGCTCAAGGGAAACGGGCTTTCTGATCCTTTCCAGACTTAATGCAGAACTCATTTGAGCTGGTTCTGCCAAAGACGCTGGTCTTTGAACTCCTTTGGCACTTTTTTTTGCCATCTTAACTTAACATTCTTAAACTTTGCAGAAAAGAATACTAAAAACACGTTTTCCGTGTAAGTTACCTGCATTGAGCCTTAGTGATAAGACATTGTGCCATGCTTAACCATAATCCCAAGCATCACCTATTTATTTTCATTTAGAACCTTGATTCACACACTTAACAAAAACCACTGCTTTAAATTGAGATACTTGTTTAAGAAATTCTTGAACGGGATTCATTGTCATCAGAATTTGTTTGAATTAAGTTTGAGTAAGGTTCATACCTGCAGCGGGGGTTCAGTGGAAGCCTAATTCAATCGTTATGATTTGGTGTTATGCTTCACACACTGGCTCCTTGGTAGTTTTTACTCATTCACGTCAGAAAAGTTTCATAAACACTAGAGACGTGAGTTTAAAAATAAAAAAAATCTTCACATAAGCATGAGTTAGACTACCATTTGAACTTTACTGTTCAAAGGCAGAAGACGTGACAAGAGGTGCACCAAGATGCCAGTTGTGAAGACATTATCAGCTATTTCGCGTACACACTAAATCATAATTGGGAATGCATATTGTTTGATCAAGCAGTCATTTCTGTTCCGATAGTGATAGTCATCCTGTACAAAAGCCTTTGAGCATGATGTGAATGGTGCTCTAATGTTACTAAAAGGAAGATCCTTTGCATTTTGAAGTAGGTTAACACACAAGCTAAATGTGTCCTTTGGTTGAACTATATCAAATTATTTTTGGAAGATTTTGTCACCGGGATGACTGAAGACTGATATGATAGGGGAAAGTGCACTGAGAAGTTTGTAGCTCAGGACATGCACCTTTTCTTTTTTTAGGGAAGGCGAAACGTCCCAGAATCCACGATAGGTCCAGTGAATTCAACACAACCTACACAGGTGGAGGAGATTGACTCATCCGAAAGAACACCATCGTGATGATATTAAGTCATTTAAAGGGATGTCATATCTTACCAGAGTTCCTCAACTTGCGGTTCCTGAACACCGATATGATCACCAGCAGGTTCCCCAGCACGTCCACCACCGTGGTGAAGATCAAAACGCTGGCCAGGAGAGCTATGACCCAGGCGGGGCGGGCGCTCCCGTCCGAGGCCAGAGTGCGCTCTAGCTGCCCCAGCTGTGGCTCTGTCCGGTTCTTTATGAGCGCGAATGCGTCCGGCATCACTGGCCCACTGCTGCTTTCAGGTCACAGCTGCTCTTTAAATCCAGCAGCCACCGCCGGCACCGATGTGTCCCAAAGGGAACATGGAGCGCACCTGAATGCCTCCCCGAGCTCCCCGGGAGCGCGCGTACGAGCCTGCTACTTGAAGGCGATATGAATAAGAAAAGATGTGGTACTCACGGTGTGACCTACATAAAGTTACACGCGCTCTTCGCTTCCCGTGTCTTCGCTGAAAAGTCACCCATCCATGTGCCACCAAAAGCGGGTGGGACACGCGGCGGTGCCACAACGAGCCCTGTTAAGAAAATGTAAATTATTCTTCGTTTGGATAATGTTTAATAGAAGAAGGTTCAGTCCACTCATATTTCAAATCGTCATCCTCTTCCAGTGCCCCTGGCTCGCTGCTTGGCATCTCTGACTATGCGTGCGCCCACGCGGAAAGAAAAGTCTATCCCTTTTTTTCTATATTAAACGAACGAAGGGAACGAATTGTCTTCCCTAACCGTTTTTGATGCGCTTGCCATGCGCCGGATTACGACGCAATGAGCGCCGCGCGTCGTCCCGCGGTAAATATCACGAAGGAGCCCCTCAGTCGGGCGCACAGCAGGATGTGGAGAAATCCACTAAGTGAGGACACGGACATGGTTCTTTACCTCCAAACCGGCTCTATGCGCGTGTGTTACTCCCCTTTCTCTCTGCTCTGACTACCGCCCTAACCCGGATACCAGGGTGTTTTTGCCTGGGGTTCTCCTCGCTTTTCATCCTTATTCCCAGCGTGACTTTCCACATCTGGCTTTGATCTCAGCACAATGCACGAGTGTGTACACAGCGGGGGGGTCTACACGCGGGAAGTCCAATCGGCACAGCGTGACTTATATTTCGCATTTGTCACAGACACAACAGTTTAGAAACGTACACACTTTTTTTAAAATTCAGTCTCAAATTAATGTTGTACCTTACGAGTCAAAAGTTTGGACACACCTTCTCATTCAATGTCTGTCCAAACGTTTGACTGGCACTGTACTGTGTGGATACGTGTTTTGATTTTATTAGGGGGGGGGGGGGGGGGTCATTAAAACCTGTGTTAACACAATAACCTTTTAAATAAACACTAAATAAACACAGCTGGAGCTTAGTCTTTCACTTGAAAACATGACACACAATGGTTTAAACCAATATCACAGATGAATGCTTCCACCAGGGATTATTTTTTCGAGGACTCAGCAGGGTCATAATGTCAAAATCCCCATCAGGTAATATGTCATTGATACTGTCAGTGCCGGTGGTGCAGATTGAGGCGAGCGCCATCGACTTCTTTTACTCCTCCTAACTGTGTAGGAATTGCTGCAGCAGAGTCCCTCAAGCGCAGCAGGCACAGATTAGAACCGCCCAGTGTCAGCCTTAATGTGGTGCAAAGACCAGACAGCCCATTTGTGAGGTACGCTAGATAAATAAACCTTTAGATAAGGAAAATAAGGCCAGAGATGTATTACACATCAAGTAAAGCAATGGAATGATGTAAAAACAATTCTTCTAAATTAAAAAAAGATAAAATGTGCTATATCGGTGTGGTGGATGTGCTTCAAAGAATTCTGAATCTATAAGCATACTGTGGTTGGTATTCAAACAGAAACAAAGGGGATGTCGAGAAAATCTGGCCACAACGATTGGGTATCAGGAATCAGGAACATGTATTGCTAAAGTGTGTTTTTGGAATTTGACCTCGTGGTTTGGTGCATGACATTGGACAGTTGGACAATGAGACAAGGGACAGTAAAGCAAATTACTGGACAAACGACATGTTCAATTTACAAATTTATTTAAAGTAAAAAAGACTAGGCTATAAGCGATTTATATAGAATAAAATAAAAACATTTTAAAAAGTGCACAGACAAACATAACTACTTTACACAACTGTGTTGTGAGTGTATGGGAAAGTGACAAGTGTCTGTACGTGTGGAGTGTGAAGGGAGTGACCGGTGTAAAAAGGGATGTCAGAGGCAGTCAGTGGGGGACCCGGGCTCTGTCGATGAGCCCGACTGCCAACAGGAAGAAACGGCTTGTGTGTTGTGACGTCTTGGTCCCGATGGTCCTCAGCCTGCTGCCAGATGAAAGGGGCACAAACAGTTTTTGTCCGGGGTGAGAGGGGTCGGCTACAATCTTTCTAGCTCGCTTCAGGGTCCTCAAAGCAAACAAGTCCCGGAGGGACGGCACATTTCATCACCCTGCAGAGCGGATGACACGCTGCAGCCTGCCCTTGTCCTTGGCAGTGGCTGCAGCGTACCAGACGGTGATGGAGGAGCAGAGGATGGACTCAATAGTGGCCTTGTAGAAGTGCACCATCATTTTTCTTGGCAGGTTGAATTTCTTCATGCTGCCTCAGGATGAACAGCCTCTGCTGAGCCTTCTTGGTAATGGAGCTGATGTTCAGCTCCCAATTAAGGTCCTGGGTGATGATGGAGCCCACGAAATGGAAGGAATCCACAGCGCCGACGGGAGAGCAGAGGGGAAAGAATGCAGCCTTTGGGGAACAGGTGCCGATGGACTGAGAGGCTGAGACATGTTTTCCCAGCCATGCTGCTTCTGTTTGTGATCCACTTGAAGGTACTGGAAGTACAATGATTACTGGAAATCATTTTAACTGAAATGAGCATTTAGATTAAATCACTTTTGGTACCATCTTCTGGTTATGGAATGTTGGTCATCTGACCAAATGGTTCTTTTTTAAAAACAGCCTTTTGCCACTTATCAAATCGGGCAGATGGCATATTTGAAAATTAGCAACATTTGACCCCTTCTCAATAACAATTACTCAATATTTGCAGAAGAGATGTTTTGTTAGAAATGTATCAACCCTTTCATGAAGGGCTCATTATTAGAAACCAATATCATACCGACATTAGCGGCAATAATTCTTTCCGGTATAGTGTGTTTTGTTCACTAAAATAGTTATTATATTTGAGTCAGACTTTAAAGGTTCACTGGCATTTTACATTCACACAGTTCAACAAAACCTTAAGACATTGTATGGTTGTTGCAAATCCAAATAATCATGATGGTGAGTATAAATTTGGATCTAAGCAATCTCAAGGGTTTGACAGTGGACCGATTCCTCAGGGCTAGAGCCGATAACAAGCTGAGCTATAAGGCCTGATGAAGCCAAAAATCGCTTGATGCATCATTCTGCCTCCCCTTTGCTTAAGGTAGCATTTCTTTACAAGATCAGAACAAAGTGAGCAGTGTTGCACTAAAGTGCAATAGCCCTGAAGGGTTAGAGTTATAGTTAGTAAAACAAACGAGCATATCCCTGATAATTAAAGTCAATTTTTTCTTTGCTGCTTGTGTATAGTGCAGAAAGTGGTCATGATGATAGTTATACAGTTTCATTATACTGGAAAATTTGATAAGGGACGTGTAATAGGCTGCACTGTTTTTCAGACCTATGCTCGAGGTATTAGGAGAGGCATGTAGGCATGTTGTGTCCGATTATACTTATAAGTATTCGTGAATTATTCATACAGACTGCATTTGTGACCACTACGGTCATGAAAGTGGTGACTGTGAGTGCATGACTTTGTGTGTGTGTCATCAGAAGCAGATGTTAGGCACATAGATTATGTCTGGCAGGGTGTGTAATCCTGGTGTTACTGAGAACAGCATGGTTTTATAATCATCAACACAGCTACCCCTCAATAAGCTGGGAAACAGTACCTTTTCAACTTCTATCTCTGTCTCACACCTTTCTTATTATCTTTCTTATTTCTTACCTTTTACTTTCTAACTCCTTTAATGTAACACCCATTCATCCTTCTATTCCCATCCTTGCTGGGTCTCACCACATCGGCAGCAATGTCATGGTAGGATATGGGGGGATAAAAAAAAGTGGTTTGAAGTGGCTCAGCTGATTCTATCGAGTAAATGCCAGATGTTCAATTGAGAAGCTAGAGGGACTGGCAGGTCCTTGTCAGTTTTCCCTTGACATATGATGGATAAACAAAACAGATCAGTTAGGTTATTGCACTGTATCTCTCTCTTTCTTTCTTTCTTTCTTTCTTTCTCACACACCCTCGTACTTGCCATTGGTTTGACCCTGTCAGTAGGACAGTCAGCAGGTTTGGAATATATTAAACGAGCAGGCTGGTCTGTAAGAGTGTGCTACAGAGTATGTAACTTTATGGACCACACTGCATAATCATTGTCTGAATAATACAACCAGATTTGAAACTGGATGTCTCCATCCCCCAGACGGCATGGCTTTTTCTACCTGTGGTGTGTTTACATTGTAGTTGATTCTGTGATTACCACACAGGCGGCTGCAGGCGGAGATAATGTTATGTAAGGCCTTGCCAATAAGAATGCATGTTTTGTCGGTAATAACTATGTTTTTTTTTTCTTCCTCTAGAGACTCCCTGTAAATGCAGGATGAACAGAAAAAAAGAAGACATGAATGAATATGTGGACAGAGAAAGCCGACATGCCGCCGGCGGCCTGTTTAGAAGCTTTCCGCTGTTATCATTCGGGACATCTTTAGCATATTATGCTAATTGATACCATTGCTCGTTTTCTGTGTGCTCTGTGTCTTGTTGTGACAGACTGGGATAACAGAGGATACATAGTTAGGTGTTGCGATGACATTGGGGAGGAAAGCAGCCCTGATTAGTTTTTGTTTATGAAGTTGGAATGAGTTTTAGAATATATCATGCAGTGAAATGTGAATTTTTACACAATTGCATGATTATGTTTCCTGGCCTTAGGACTTCTCTCTTTACAGGTTCTGCCATGTACCTGCCCTGTTGGAGAATTTTGTGGTTCTTGGTTCCTGCGGGGAGAGAGAATAGAAGTGGAACAAGCCAGCCAACATTTGACTATGAGCTATTTCCATCTTTTGCACTGACACAAACTGGCATCCACTAAAAGATACATGAAGTGTTGCACTCAAAAGTGATATCCACTGTTCAAAAAAATGTAACACTTACTCTGACAAAGTGATTGCTGCCACGAAATAGCAGCTAATGCTGCAGCTGCTGGCTTTCTTAAAATGTAAACTTGGCAAACAGTAAATTACATGGTACGTAATTACACAGATGTTTCTAAATCATTCCTCCTCCTCATTCATACACAATGTCAATTCATAACACGTATGCAATGCATTAAAAGTACGCACAGTATTTTGGGAGCCGGCATGTTGAGCAGTCCGCAGAGTCAAAAATCTGTACTTGAGTGCACATGTGCATTCACCTCCTCGCCCCTTAATTGGCTAAAAAGTGTTTGTGTGCATGCGTCTGACAGGGAGAGGAACAAAACAAACCTGATCAGGGGAAAGTCGGGTTGCCATGGGAATGTTTTCTGGTAGACAGTCAGCCTATGTTGGTGTTATAGGGTAACAAGAACAAAGTTTGTGTATAAACTCCACGGGGGGATGGAATAATCAAAAGCCACAAAGGTCGTCGGTGCGTTTCCTTGTCAGCTACACACAGAGCGAGTGCTGTGAGAGTAGACACAAAGCCAACTGACCATCAACTGCCTTCAACCTCGTGGCATCTATAAAAAATGATTGACTGGTCACCTTTTTTTTAAGGATTTGCATAAAGGGTTTACGTAATGTCACTTTACAAGCCTGAAGCAGATTATGGAACGTTAAGGTGGCTTCAATGTGGATGATAAGCAGAGATGCAGGATCAAACAAATACATAGGGAGGCTGTGGAATGTGGTATGCATTTTTTATCTGTACTTGACAACAAACTCAGAATTTCAGCAGAGGCAGCAAAAGTATTATATCAACATACAGCGGCTTTTAGAGATGCATGGTCTGTATAATTAGACCGTAGCGATGGGTCAGTATAGATAAACTCAGCGAAAAAAAAAAAAAGAGAGTTCCACAAAAAAATGCATCTGAGCAAGTCAGCTTAGAAATCCGTTCCTGAGGGAAACAAAAGTGCATAATGAGAAGATAACGCTGAAATGTATAATTGAAAGCGTGAACCGCCGAAGCATTCTTGGCCGAAATCATAACACACTTTCCAAATCCCAACTGATTTCAAAATAAAAGGTAATTTCTTCTTTCACAGTTTATCATCTTAACATTCCAAAAGAAATTACTATGACTTTAAGCTCTGCTAAATCTGCGAGATTCAGGTCGGGAAGGAGAGAAAAAAACACATATAAGAAGCTTAACAAGACTGACCTTATGCGATTAAATATTTCATGGGGGGAATTTAACTCATGTAGTTTGCGGTGAGATATGTAGCTCACCTGCTACAGCACACCAGTAACAAAATCTTCTTGCTTTAGATCCGCTCGGTTGAAGCCTTGAACATCAGCACTGGAGCCTTGTGCTTCAGCACATCAACCAACTGAAATAACTGAAGATCCAGTTGTCTTGAAAGGTAATTAGCAAGATGAGTCAACTGTAACGGAATATCAATAGAGTGGTTAAACGGGACACAAAAGGTTGATCGATAGTTGGCAGTGTCGATTCGCAGCATCGAGGTTCTAGCTTTCGCTCGTGCTGTGTAGAGTCTGCGTGTGCTCAAAGTATTCCGTTGGGTTTTCCTCCGGTGCTCCAGTTTTCTTCCAGACATGTCGGCCAGGTGAACCGGAAACTGTGAAGTGTCCACAGATGTGAATGTTTTTCTTGAATTCTGCCTGACCTGTCCAGGAGGTTTTTTTTTTAACCTGTTGCATGCAAAGACACGCTTCAGCGACCCACTTACAAAATTGAACCGAAAAGGAACAGAAGAGGATGAATAGATGGATGGACACCATACTGAGAGGCATAAATACTTTATGGCACACTAAGCCTGATCATGACCATGTTAAGAACAGTCAGTCGGTCATGTGATGGTCAAGACAAAGGCAAAGATTGGTGCAGCTGTTTCCGACCGCAGACATCTAGCGTGACTCGTTCCCAAACTGTCCTGTTATGAATATTTTATCCTTTAAATACACTTAATTACCACCAGTTTGTTTTGCCGGCATTTCAAACATGGATTTTATATTGTGTGTGTGTGTGTGTGTGTGTGGGTTTAAGTGCATGAAACACAGCAGCATTCATCAGTGAGGCAACCATGTGTACATGTCTCGGGTGAGTGATTCTGTACTTCACGGATGCATATCCACAAAATTCTCCAAGGCTTTTAGCATAATTCATTTCATATGTTAATACCAGCATTAAAGTAGGATTAATTGTATAATCTACTAAAAGTTCCGTTTTGGTAATATATACAAAGTACGTACAGATACACATAAGGGAGTCTGTATATTTCCACCCACCACCTTTCAATTAAAACAGAAAATGTCGTATGACATAAATACCACATAATATTTACATAATATTCAATATGAGTCTGCATTTTGTGTTCACAAATGTGCTCCCAAGCAATCGAACGGTGTAATTAAATAAATATGTAATAGTGAAATGATTAAATGCAAACCTCCTGGTGTCGGGTAATCTTAATAACATCTCTGAGGCCGTGTCCGGGATCTGGTTGAATAATTTTCTTCAAAACATCCCCCAGCATGTACCAGTGGAATAATGAATGCATTAACTATTACGCGGCTGAGCAAACAAAATTATTGTTTGTGTGATTTATGAAAGAGTAAAAAGAATATGAGAAACACGATAACATGTGTGAGTAGGTTGGTATCATCTTATGACAGAGATGGACAGGTTTCTTATTTTGTTTCTTAGATGTTTTTTGATGACGATAAATGCTGCGCTCCAGTAGTTCCATGAATATAAAATGTAATGGCATTGAATCCCGGCCAATCTCCACTCAACCTTTTCAGCACAAGTGGAGCTGTCTAGAGAAAAGGAGCATTGCTTCTTTCATTTTAAAAATGAATTGTTTTTAACAGACTTGTGTGTGTTCATTTAAACCCCCCCCCAGTCTGTTGTGGGTTCAGATTGGGTGGAGGTTCTGTTCTCCCGCGTGGCTCTCCGGGCTCTGAGGGACACCAGGTTCAGCAGCCTCTCCAGCTCGTCCCCGGAGTCCCCCAGACTGCCCGAGCCGAGCCCGCCGCGCTCCCCCTGCGACCCCCTCCACTCCCCTGTCTGTGAGTCCCACGCCCTCAGGGGTGGCAGGAGTTGAGCCGGGTGCAAGTCGACGCCCGAGGGGCTGAGCGGGTACCCTTCGTAGGCCTGTCGGGTCGGGGGTAGAGTGTCGTAAACGCTCTCCGCGTCCTCCCCCGGCTCCGGGTCACGGCTGGACACTCGGTATTCCTCGTAAACCGGCGAGGAACTTTGTTCACAGCTGTCGTGGCCGTGCACCTGCCGCCGGTCTCGGTGGTCCCGCGAGGCCCCCGCCGTCTCCTCCTCCTCCTCTTCCCCGCTGCTCCGTCTCATTTCTGCTCTCTCCAGGATGCGTTTCCTCTCCCACTCGCCCGACTGATTCCTCTCCCACTGCGAGGCCCTCCTTGCGCTGTCTCGTCCCGGCCCTCGGCCCCTGTCGCCGCCGCAGCCCATCGCTTTGTAGTCCAGCTGGAGGGACCGCGTGCTGCCACCTCGCCTGATGCTTTGAAGGGTCTCGCTGAGGTCGTAATGGGATCCCAACTCCGGTGGACGCAGGCGCGACGGTGACAACCAGCTCGAGGTCTGGCTGGAAGGCTCCCAGTGGTATGCTGAAAAGAAAAAGGACCAAATAAGCTTTTTTGAATAGTTTCGAGCATCAATGTTTTCGCGTGGAACGACAAGTCAAGGCGACCTACATATGAGACTAAAAATATTTGTTTTAGTTAATGTACTGTGTGTTACCTGGACAAACTGCCGCCAAATGACTATGTGGTTCTCAAATGTATGTTTGTGTCAGTGTGCAACGAACAGATTGAGATCACATATTTAATAGGATAGGATCAGCCGGCGAAAGGTGACACATCAATAAATCACTTCTAACTTCTAAAACAACAGTATCATGGCAATCTTATCTTTAGGAAGTAAAAGAGGTGACAGCAGTTAATATGCTGCCAAAGGCACTGATCTTAAGATGTTTACAATTACTTAAACCACTCAGATCCCATTAGATTCCATCGGCTCCGTTAAGACACAGCAGCTCACTGCGAGAGCAGAAAAACAAAGCGTCTCTCGAAGAACAGAAAATAAGTATAAACTCATCAAGAGATTTTCCCCTTAATCATCTTTTATGACCTTTCTCGTTGTGTGCTTTTGTATCTGCAGAGACCCTGTACTCTGCAATTTATTTATTTATTTCTGGGCATCACATTTTGTGGGGAAAAAAAGGCAAAAGGTTGGTAGATTTGCTATGAAAATAAATCTGGGACTGGCTTTCAACTGGGAGCAATAACGCTTCTGGTACCTTTGAGCTTTGGCTTGTTCACAAACCTCCTCAGACAAATCCTGCTCACTTTGCCTTAAAAAAGAAAAAAAATCAACCAATGTTCCCCAGACTAATAGCTTGCGCATATATTCTGGCTTGTTGTGTTCTCTATTTTCCCTTTCCTCTGCTCATTATCTACTCCCTTGATCTCTTTTCAATTTCATAGAAGTGTGTTGGTTGTGTGTTCTGTGTACCAGGGCGTGTTTGTACATGAGAGCGCTGCGTGTCTGACGCTACGTACGTGCACACGTGTTTGTTTGTGCTTGTGATGCACCAGGAGTTTATGCTATGGACCGACACACACACACAAACACCCTAATATGTAACTTCCTACAAACTACAGCGTGTGGGCTACATAATTCATGGTTAGCTTAATGAGCTGTGAGTGACAAGATATCATATTGATGAAGAGAGTGAAGCAAGGGGGGGAGGTGGGTGGGGGGGGTGATCCTCTGTGTGAGGCACTTCATAAGCAGTGCCAGCTCCTGGTTTATAATGCATGACACGTGTGGACAGAGATATTTAATAGATTGCCCTGCCAACACACCACAAACCGTGCGGGAGTTCGTACTGCGTGCCATGCTGCTGAAACATCTCTGGATGAAAAAATAATTAAATAAGGGTTACTGTAATCTGAATGAATGTTCTTACGATCCACAATTTACTTTTTCTACACAAGCATCAACTTTGCTCTGCAGGTGGCAAATTGTCTTTCAGCAAAGCTGAGAACGGAACAAATGTCTAATGGGACTGGAAGCCTTTGATGATGAAAGGCTCTTCACATAGAAACCAGTGAATGCAAAAAGCCACAATGAATTATGACACTGAAGACAACACAACTGGATAATGGGAGAGGGATGCGGGCAGAGAGACACTTGCAGTGCATGTCAGATATGCACAGACAGACGGATGTACACCTCAATAAAAACCCTTAATATAGACACATAGATGCATATGCATAATGTAGTTATGTAATTGACGCAGATGCGTCGTCTCGTGCAAGCATGATTAATGGAATTTGAGAACGCAAAACCATCTGGTGCAACTGGATTGTGCCATTTCTTTATTTGATAATAGAAAGCTGTTTTAATACTGAAAATGTCCCGCAAAATCTAAATCAAGTAGTTAATATACTTACTTCCAATTTGAATGAATTTCAATTCCCTAATCAAGCCCACAGGACATAAATAACTACAAAGCAAAGATTCTATTCTGATATTTATCAGCTTCTCGAAAAGCCAAGACTTTTGGTGAAAGCGTTATAAGTAATTAACAATATTGATACGAATTACATATCTAATATCTGCAAGTGACATGAACTTGAAATGTTAAATATTGATATTTGGCTAATTGGTGGAAGATGTATTACAAGCCTACTTTTAGCACACATTTTCCACAAGCTTTTTCATATGGGGGTGACTATTAGGGTCACAATTAATAGATGTGTTATGAGAGCTACTTATTCATCCACACATGATTGCAGAGAGACTTTTGAAAATGGGAATTGTAGAAAACTGTTGCTGCATTCATTAAGGCAACGCTGATATTGATCATTTAAATGTGCAAATATTTCTCTCTTTTTTGCTACACAAACCAACATCCTTGACGAGGATCCATCGGTATTTGGTTATCGACCTAACCGTTGTCGGAAGAAACTGGGATCTTACATTTAGGTATGAATAAACAGAAAGGTTCTCCTGTGCTGCCCGCAGTACACTGAACGTATTCAGAATAAATAATGTTAAGAACACAAAAGGGTGGGCCAGGTTCAAGGAAGCAAAGCTCCAGACAAGAGCCAAAAGGACTGGAAAGTTTAAAAGATTGTTTTTTCCATTTGCTTTTCAGCTCACTCACCAGGACTGTTCCTCCCCTGCTCGTTGCTCATGCTTGACACTACAAAGGGAGAGAGACACTGAGTCAGAAAAAGACCAAGACAAACAACACAGAAAACCAAAAGGGGAAAATTGACACAAAGAGAGATTCAGTGTGAGGAACTGACAAAGATAGTGGGAATCTAATCAGGGTGTTTTTATTCTGAATAGAAAGAGGATTGATAAACAGACGCTTCTGCTGCTTTCAGAACATCATATCTACGAGCGACACTTCCCCATGAGAAGGAAGACACAAAAGAGAGGACTAAACAGGTGATATTTTTCATACCTTCATTTTCAATATTATCAACTGCATCGTTGACTTGACGTATGACTGTCACAATGGAGGCTGTAGGCAGAAACAAAAGGAGAACAGGGCCAATGTCAGTGCATTCACGATGGTTTCACGTGGTGGGTGTAATTGTGCTGAGAAGGAACATGTGCATGAGTGTGAAGAAAGGAGAAACATTTGTATGAATGTTGTATGTGTGTCTAATAAGTGAGTGGGAGGTCTCTGCAGCTGAATTAATTGACAGGAAAGACAGCATCCACAAGGGGTCCAACAACACACACACACATACATTAAGGTGTTAGGCTGACTAACTTTAAACCAAAGAAAGATCAATAGCTTTGAGGTATCTAGGAGAAAGACACAGCATTATCTTTGTACTGAAGACCTGTGCATCCGCCTGTGATTCATTCGTCCGTGTGGATTTACAGTATGTGGTAAACAAGTGAAGTGGTGCTTTGGGGTGATTTGACATTGAAGTCTTACCGTTGTCATCAAAGGACTCCGAAGTGAAGGAGTTGAGGGAGCGATCCTCAGAGGTGGAGTTGGAGAGACACGCCACCTCTTCCACCAGCTCGGAAACTTCTAATGCAACACAAAACACACACAATGTTCATTTTCCTGTTCCTTTTTATTTCATTTTGTTTTTTACCAATGAGGCATCAACCCAGTGGGACATCAACCCACTCAAAATAACAATAATTAAGTAAGCCGATAACAATTCAAAATTCAAAGGCTGTTTTACAATACCAGCATGCGTGTATGTGCATCTATGGAGCTGCTGAATGTTGTAATCATCATCTCCAGAATCTCCACACCACTCCTCCAGACTCTCACATACACAAAGTATCCACACGTACGGACACCTTCAGTGCAGTGTATTCAGGTCTGATCTCAGGTGTTTAATTACAGCAATTTCAACCAGATGGAGTTGAAATTTAGAACCACAGAGTTACTTGTTCGTGTGTAGTGTGCTGTAGCAGATGTGAAAAGCGGGGATATCGGAACAATCCATCCCAGAGTACAACCAATCACGTACAAATTAAAGTTTGAGTTGCCAAAGCCGCCGTCACAAACCTGACATTTTGTCCCGAGCGAACAAGTCAGATTGAATATCATCTGGAGAAAGCTTGCCGGCCTCAAGGTCTCCAGTTAGCCGCCACCTGCGTGACTTTAGAGGCAACACTTCAAATAAATACAAGTCGGCATGATACCTGCCAAAGTTTTTCCTCGCCGGAGCTGTTGTTTCGGGGGTCAGAATTGCCTCTGAGTGATTGTTTTTCAAATAAACTGCCCGAGGGGCAGAGCAGGTACTCATGTGTCACAATCGCAATCTGTTAAGCCCAGAGAGCGGGTACGTAGCTCTGCCAGCTGCTCTAATTTAGCCGACATAAAACACCTGGTTTCACATAAGTGTTTCAATTGGAAGAGTTATATACACGACCAGCAGAGCAGGCTTTTTATAACGAATCTGTTTGGAATATAAAACGGCTTGGACATAAAAGCTGACAGCTTCGCTGATGTGTATAAAAGTAACTTCTATAGGAGCTTTATATTATGTGGAACAAAAAACTCTGTGCAAACATTTGGCTGCATCCTCTACGGAGTCTTTATACTGTTTTGTTGTTGCTGGAAGCACAGAGGTAATGAGAAATAATTAATTCATATTCAGATATTTAATTCATCAATCGTTCAATACGGATCTGTAAACCGTTTAATTATTATGAAAGAATGATGGTACTTGAGCAATGAGCCACCATTACTTTAACAAACAAAACTTAAACATAGGATTGATACGCCACCCAATTTCAAAAAGAAAAAAACTAAAAATGAAATCTAATCTCAAAGTTTTTCTCATATACACACAAATCAATTGATCACAGTTCGTTATAAATGTAATATTTATTGGACATCAATAAATGATCAATAAACAAGATGAATTGATTAAATGAAGAATACAATTAACAATACAATGAATAATGAGGAAGCACACAAATGAAAAGGATTATATGTGACCAGGAAAAATTAGCTACTCTTGTCATTTATTGATGTGTATCAATTAATTGATTTTCCGTTTTTCGACTTCAGACTTTAAATTTAGCTCAAAACATTCATGCAACATTCAGCAGCCAAGGAAGTTTGTTAAGCACTTTTTACAATAGTTCTAATTTAATGTCTTTAGAGCCTGGTCTTCTTCTCCGTTGAGCTCGGTCAGATCTTCCTCGTCTTATGTGCACGTGTCACATAAGACGGACACAGTCTACAGGTCATGAACCAAAAGCTGGACAGAGCGATCTGGTGTATTGTGGTTGTCAAATATTAGAAATTCTACTCCTGTGTGGGACCCAGATTCATAATATTGTGTAGAAGAGAAGATTTCTAACTTCTGTATGCTTTTTCTTCTTTAAAAAAAGGGGGAGGGGCAGATTTATGTCAGAAAATGACTCGACTACTTAATCTAACCCTATTTTACAGAATGAATACCAGTTATTTACAATAACTAATTCTACCACATTTGAACTGGGTGCTATCTTTGGTAAGATAAATCACAGAATAAACCCTGATCAATTAAAGACAACAATTGCACAACATAGACATTGCTCTCATGACACTGACAGACATATGTAGGTATACATGTGCAACCATATGCAAAGTCAATTAATGGAGAGCATTAAACCCAAGTCCTGGGAGAGAGACACAAATGAAAGGAGGGGGTGGAATACGTTTTCTAATAAAAAGGCATTAGTAATCCATTTTTCCTGTCTGGCGAAGCAACAAACAGTCTTAGTGTACCTTGACTTGTGATTGCTGTTTGCTTTTCATAACACAGCCTTTGAATAATGTCTTCCCGTCACCCTCGTCTGTCACACCTTCTCAGAATATCCTTGTATGTTACAAAAGGTGCGTTTTATGGACAGTCTGCAGTATATTATAATCCGAACCCTTTCCATGCATCTACTTTGGCTTTCCATACCCGAGCTTGGTGGTCGTGGTTTACTGCTTATAGAGCAAGTCGAATGCTCCTGTGGGAATATCAACAATAAGGCAGCACCATCAATCCGATTAAGAAAGGAAGGCAGCGGCACTGGTCTCCTGCAGGTGACGGGACACCTCCTTTCAATTTATTTTCTCCAACTCTCATTTGTAATTGTGCCGATGGCTGCCCTGCCATGTGCCAACCAGCCCGTGTCTGAGGTTTACGGATCCGACCTCCGCTCTAATCCTTCACACCCCGGCTCTGAACTTTTAAAATCCTCTAGTTCAATTTTTCCACTATTTCTTTCATTCACATTGTTTTTATTGGAAATGGGCACAACCACTGATAAAAAGCCCAAAACGGGTCACATTGACTTCCACAAAATATAATGAGTACTGTAATAAGTACTTTAATGTAGCCTTCACTTAGTTTATACGACTGATCTTATGTTGTTTTTATTCTTAGACACCTTTTACATGACAGAACAAAAATAACTAAAACTGAGCAACTTTGGACCTGATTTAAAGTATCTTCCTATTATTTCATTATTGATGACGTTTATTTATTCATAAGCCACACGTAGTGACAACTACCAACACCATTATCTTTCCCGGATATTGACTTCTACCCATCTATTCAAATTATAATTATACTTGTTTGTAGCTCTGGTGTAAACAAATAGACAGTTTTCCAATCGATTAAGTAAACTGTCAATTATCACTGGAGTCATCCAACCAATACTGTGAATATTATTTCCTGATATTACCATTTAATTAACGGACTGTGATGTAAAATTGACCCCAAGGGACACATGCCACTATTTTAATTTGCATTTGCACAGCAGGGGGGCAGAAAAACATAAAATGACCTATCTCCCATTTCCGCAGGAAGGAATCGATAATTATCAGACGGGAAGTTCCCACTGCAGGCTGTATTATTCACACAACTAGCTGGACAGATAATTAAAATGTGTAGTGATTACCGTAGCAAAGAGATGCTTACTTCACTAACGGAAACAAAACAAACTGCTGCTATTGACAACTTTGGCAGCTAAATGTCAGACTGACATCGTGGTTGTTCTCTCAGCTAACAAAGGTACGCTTGAAATAAAAAGACAAAAGACAAAACTAGAGAACCAGACAGCGTCTGACCGAGTGTCAGCGTCGAAACTACATTGATTTTGTCATAACTTGAGTGTAAGTGTTGTCCAGATTGAAGAGGCCACCATTGCTTTTTCCAGCAGTGTAAAAAGAAAATGTGTTATCATTCTCGCCTCCAAGGAAGTAAATCGAAAAACTAAAATGAAATAACGGCAAAAGGGAAGATATAAACTAAACTAGTCTTTCTCACTCTTGGACGTTTCTCTTGAACGTGCGTGATCAAAGGGCCTAGATCACTGTGGGAAAAGCTCTTTGGGCGCGGATGATTGTACGGCTGCAACACAACGAGCTCCCGGCCTGAGAAGCTCTGTAGCTTCTTGATCAGAGTTCAGACACTGTTGACATGCAAGTGTGTGAATGTGCATGCACATGATGGCGGTCTTACCCTGTGGACAGTTATCCCTCTGTGTTCTCTCCACCTCAAAAGCTCTCTGCCCCCATTCCTCCTCTCTTTCATCCCTCACTCTCTCCAGCCCTTGCTCCCTTGTCTCCTCTCCCTCCCAGGACACCTTGTGGGCCGGACTGTGCTCCGGGCGGCGGGCTGACGCAGAAGGGAGATTGGGTGCCACGCTGCACACAGCGATGCCCCTCCTGTTGGCCGCGCCTCGGACGGAGGAGATGTCCGAGAGGAAGCTGCTCATCTGCAGGGACACAGAATTACAGCGATGGTCAAAAAGCAAGTTAATCTCTATGTGCTTATCAGGAATCAGGAAATATTTATTGCCTAAAATATGTCATACATACAAGGAATTTGACTTGGCAGTTGGTGCGTGACAGTAGACAGTATGACAATGGACAACAAGCAGTGCACGAGTAATAAAATAAAATAAAATGCTATGGGTTAGTAGAATAAGGCTATGGCTTAGTTTAAAATAAAATAATAAAGTTAAAGTTAAAAATATTTAAAAAAATAAAAATAAAGTGCACTAGCGAACCGGAAGTGAAAAAAGTGACGAGTGAAAGCTTTTATTATGATACACAGCTCACTTACATTTAGCAGGGCGATTTGATTGCGAGTTACGGCTGACAGCCACCAACTAGCCAAACTTTTTTTTTATGGAAAAATAATACAAATATAGAATCCTTTCATTTTTTTTAATTCTGGAAAGCTTTCAAGGCAAATAATAAAATCAATTTTTGTTCTTTTCTCATATCAATGAATATGAACTCCCAAGTTCATGTCCCATGTTGCAGCGACTACTATTCAAATTATTCCCATAGTGGTTTTAGAAAGCTTTAAAACAATTTTGTTTTTATTCTATTTCTAAAATGTCATCATGCCTTATATTCAAACACTTCGTCTCTCTCACTCTCTGCCATGGAAGGACTTTTTTTAAACTGATGGCAGTGAAGCCTTCTTCCAGCACACCGTGTCCTGTGGCTGTAAGAATAAGAGCAGTAGAAGAAGCGAGTGGAGGTTGATGTACTCTGAGTCTTCCAAATAAAGTACATCATAAAAAAAGATGCATAGAGGTATGCTGATATAGATGATATTGTGTGGAAGAATGTAGATTTTGGGGCAAACGTTGCTCAGGAATTCACTAATAAAAACATTGTCGGTTTGATAACCGGCTCCATCCGTTTCAAAAACTGCTTGTGAATTTAGACTTTCAGAAAGTGTGTAAAGTGTTAATCAATGTAAATGAAGATATATTTTATTTAGACTAAAACAGCTATAACATAACTCTCTGTTTTCCTATGAAGTCTTTTACAACACACGAGACACAAAAAAGGAATCTAATATATGTATACAAATAAATAATGAACGCACACACACCTGACTGCCCTCACTGAACGTGTTCTTGTCACCATCTCCACTCCTCAGGCTGTAGCTGCTGAGTCCCCCCGGCAGGGGGGAGAGGGTAGTCGGCCGCACTATGACCTGGGGGGGGCCCATGGTGTTGACTCCCACCTCGCCGTAGGTGCTCGTGGCACTTTGAGCTCCCGACACACGCACAGCCTTAAACTCAATCCCCTCTGACCCCGTGCCGGTCTTGTGTAGCATGTAGCTGGTTTCTGTGGAAATAGTTGAGACCCCCATCCCGGCCTGAGTCCCCGGGCCCGGGTCTGAGTCTTTCCTGAATTTAATTTTTTTCCTGAATGCCATGAAGAGTATGAGGAGAAGAATGATGACGAAGGCAAGGACTCCGATGCCAATTATCTCTCCTGGGCCAAGGTAGGTCAGGGGCTCCGCCTGGGCAATGCAGGCAGAAATATTATAGATACTATATGCGTAATGTAAACAAATATGTCAATGAAAAAGGGACAACTTTTTAGAACTCACTTCCATTCAGGTAAAAAACAGACGCATATTTCCAACTTGCTAAGTAAACCTTTTGGGATAATGAATGGTTTTCTAAAAATAATTTCACCCCTTCACAGTCTGTGAGGCGAGTGCCAATTATTTCAAAACCATCCAGGCAGCCACAACTGCCTGACAACTAGCTTCACAGACACAGAGGAGTTGACATTCCATACCCTTTCACTTTTGGGAAGAAGACTATGTGACGGCCCCAGGGCCACTGCCAGGGTATATGTGGGTGTGTCTCTGTCTGTGTGGGTGTGTGTGTTACAGGGTGAACTTCCTGGTGGAGTGGAGGCCATCAGGCAGATCCGACGCAGCTGGCCACTGTCCTGAGTGCATTAAAACCTGCCCCTTTCGGAGTGTTTGGGCGACTTCTGGCTTTCTCCGGTTCCCCAGCGCAATGGTGGTTTCGGTGGTCGAATGGGTTAAATTGGAGAAATAAAACTGTTGGCTGACAAATCCCTGTAGCGTGGTTTCTCGTATTTGTTGTGGCCTTGGAGCCGGATCATAACAAATTGGGGGCTCGTCAAACTTGGAAATTGTACTATTAGCAGAGGTAAAGTGATGTGTTTTTTTGTGTGGAAACCTACGTAAGGGAAATGACCAAGCCGTGGAATGATTTGGAATCATTGGTGCAAGTTAGTTTCGGTCTAGTCACGGGACAAGGAAGGTAAGTGTTGACCTTTTTTTTTGGGTTGCGCAAATGTATATATTGAGCAAATTCCCCTGCAGGAATAGCGCGTTTTCCTCTTTAGGATGCGTGTGCACAGGAATGTAGTGTGGGGTGAAAGTGGCTGGAGCGGTTGTCTCGGGAGCACGTCCATGGTTGTGGCGAAGTTGCCAGCTTGCTGGTCGCTTAACCAAACTACTGGGTTTTAGTGCGTAAATACCCGCCGCGAATAACTCCTGAAGACTAGGGTTAAGTTAGATAGATTTGGTTAGGCAGTTTAGAGGGGATGCTCAATTTCAAGGTTATTTTGTGGTCTGCGTTGCGCACTATTTAGGTCAATACTATACATTCTTTTGTTTACCGGGGACTGATTTGCTGTCGGGCATCCTTCAGGTGGTATTCATCATCATGGCAGGAGTAGAGGAGTTCATTGCTATTCCTTCGGAGCAATTTTTGGATCAGTGTACTAGGGATCAGTTGTTAAAGATAGCTGACCATTATAAAATCAGTGTAGGCGACCGAAGGTTAAAGGACAACGTTAGATTTACTATAAGGGCACATTTGTATGATATTGGTGTTTTAACACCCGTACAAAAATCACATAGTCCTCCTAATTTGGCTTTGGATGAGTGTTCGCAGGATATGTCTCATAGTGTAGCTTTAAATTTTGAACAGCAAAAAGAAATGTTGATATTGCGGATGAAGCTGGAGAAGGAGAAAGAGTTAGAGTTGGAACGGATGAGGCAGCAAGCAGAAGGTGATAAAGCGTTGGCACTAGAAAAGATGAGGCAACAAACCGAAATGGCAAAGCTAGATTTGGAAAGTGAGAGACTGAGGTTAGTGAAAGAAGGTAAATTCAATGACTTTTCCAGGAATGAAGAGTTTGCTCGAAGCAGCGGTAATTCAAGTGATATTTTGAATAGTTTGCGCTTGGTGCCTAAATTTAGTGAGAAAGACGTGGATGTATTCTTCACGTTGTTTGAGCGGATTGCAGACACGAGGGGCTGGGTTGATTCAGACCGTATCGTTTTGCTACAATGTGTGTTAACTGGGCGTGCTCAGGAGGTTTTTTCCTCGTTGTCTCTGGAAGACAGCGGTGATTATGCAAAGGTTAAAACTGCTGTACTGAAAACATATGAGTTAGTCCCTGAAGCATACCGTCAGCGTTTTAGGAGTTGGAAAAAGGGAGATAAATCCTATCTTGAATTTTCCCGTGATTTGGGGATTCACTTTAGTCGATGGTGCTCGGCTTCAGAAGTGAAGGATTTTGATGACTTGTGTAACTTGATGGTGCTTGAACAGTTTAAGAATTCAGTTCCAGAACGAATTGCCATGTACATAAGTGAACGGAAGGTAAGGACAGCAGGGGAGGCTGCTGCCCTTGCGGATGATTATTTCTTGACCCACAAAGGTAGCGGTGTCGATGTCCGCACGCATGCTTTGTCTGGGGGAAATGTTGCACCTGCAGGAGGGATGTTTTTTTCTAGGGCGTCAGGTGGGGGTTTGCCTCGAGAACAGAGAGTTGATCATGGAGTCCGTGACTCTGAGTGTCATTTTTGTCATAGATACGGTCACTGGAAGAGAGACTGCGTGGCGTTTAAGTTACGGAATAGGCAAGATGTAACTTGTGTAAAGCCGGTGGCTCTAGCGGCACCAATTTCCAATGTGCTTTCAGACCAGTCGAGGGTTGAGTCACCAGTTGTGATGTCAAAGCCTGACTTAAGCTCATACTTGCCGTTTATTTCAAAAGGACATGCGTCGTTGGTTGGAAATAACAAGAGGGTGCCAGTGACTATCTTACGGGACACGGGAGCATCTGATTCATTTGTGCTAGAGTCTGCTTTGCCGTTTTCTGAGGAAACTGATACTGGATCTTTTGTACCTGTTTTGGGCATGGGTATGTCTATTTTTCATGTTCCTGTACATAAACTTGTACTGCATTCAGAATTGTTTGAGGGCGAAGTGAAAATGGGAGTACGTCCTGCTTTGCCCATAGACGGTGTAACTGTAATTCTGGGAAATGATGTGGCAGGAGCACGTGTGTGGGGAAGTAGCGCGGTACATCCAGTGGTGGTCCCAGTACCGCTGGGTAGTAACGGCCCTGATGAGAATGAAAAGCAGTTTCCTGAAGTGTTCACGGCCTGCGCTGTAACACGCGCCATGAAGCGGCCGACTGATCATGCAGAGCCTATAGAAGTGGAAGACGTAGAGAGTGAGGCATTGGAGTTGTTTGTAATGACTTTGTCTAACACTCCCTTGTCTGTCTCCCATAGTGAATTGGCGCGTGAGCAAAGAGCCGATGGTACGCTAAAGGAGCTTTTTCAGTCTGTTCTGCGGGTCGATGAGGTGAAAGATCGGGCACATGGTTACTTCGTACAAAATGAGGTACTTGTTCGGAAGTGGGTGCCACATTGTGAGAGCTTTGTGGGAGATCCTGTGTATCAGATTGTCGTTCCCTCCAAATTTCGTGATTTGGTCTTGCGTGTTGCTCATGATGAGTCGGGGCACATGGGGGTTGGTAAGACGTATGATCGGGTCCTTAGACATTTTTTTTGGCCGCGGATGAAGAAAAGTGTTGCAAACTACATCAAAACATGCCACACTTGTCAATTAACTGGTAAGCCAAATCAGAAAGTGAAAGTTGCTCCCCTGTATCCGATTCCTGTTGTAGACCAGCCATTTGAGCACCTGATTATTGATTGTGTAGGCCCTCTTCCTCGTTCAAGGTCGGGTGCGATGTATTTGTTAACTGTTATGTGCAGCAGCACCAGATACCCAGCAGCATATCCGTTGCGCACGCTAACAGCAAAATCAGTGGTGCGTGCTCTGGGTCAGTTCATATCCATCTTTGGCATACCTAGAACCATTCAGAGTGATCAAGGGTCGAATTTCTCCTCTCACTTGTTTGCACAGGTATTGAAGCTGTTGCATGTGCAGCACAACCAGTCGTCTGCGTACCATGCGCAAAGCCAAGGAGCGCTGGAACGTTTCCATCAAACTTTGAAATCAATGATGAGGGCATACTGTGTGCAGATGAATGCTGATTGGGAGGACGGGTTACCATGGTTGTTGCTGGCAGCAAGAGAGGTAGCACAAGAGAGTACGGGTTTCAGTCCAAACGAGTTGGTGTTCGGTCATACGGTGCGGGGGCCGTTAGCTGCTCTGCAAAACGAGTGGAAGGAATCTCAGCCACCTCAAAATTTGCTAGAGTATGTCAATGGTTTCAGGCAGCGCCTTTACTCTGCTACAGAGTTAGCCAGGGAAAAGCTGACTTCGGCACAGGAGAAGATGAAACGTCTTTATGACCGAAGAGCGGAGCGGCGTAGTTTTTGTGAGGGCGATCAGGTTTTGGCTTTATTACCAATTGTCAACTCACCATTGCAAGCAAAGTTTTTGGGACCTTACACGGTAGTGAAGAAGTTGTCAGAGCTAAACTACCTGATTGCCACTCCAGAACGTCGTAAAAACCACCAACTTTGTCATGTCAACCTGTTGAAGGCATATCATACCCGGGTATCCCAGGAATTGAGTGCACAGGCAGATGATGCTCATCCGGTGTGTGTTGGTAACACAGTTTGGTCTTTATTTCTCCAGTCATACAACTTGGATATACATCATGTGAAGGGCAGAGATAACATTGTTGCAGATGCTTTGTCCAGAGCCCCATGTCAGTGATTGTTCTCTAGTTCTTCATTGTGGTGTCTCTCTCACTCTTAAATCGCTTCCAGGTACCAGTTGCAGAGATGAGTGTGAGGCTACAGGATGAAGGCGAAAGGAGCAAGTACTGTTCGGGGGACTTTGTATTGGGTCTAGAGACAGTTTGGTGTAAATACAATTTTAAGGAATAATTTAAGGCCGTGACAATCAAAAAAAAGAGTAAATGTTATAACGTTATAGTGGCTGTTGGTCAGGGTTCCGGTGGGGACCCTGTCTTTATGGGCGGGGGTGTGACGGCCCCAGGGCCACTGCCAGGGTATATGTGGGTGTGTCTCTGTCTGTGTGGGTGTGTGTGTTACAGGGTGAACTTCCTGGTGGAGTGGAGGCCATCAGGCAGATCCGACGCAGCTGGCCACTGTCCTGAGTGCATTAAAACCTGCCCCTTTCGGAGTGTTTGGGCGACTTCTGGCTTTCTCCGGTTCCCCAGCGCAATGGTGGTTTCGGTGGTCGAATGGGTTAAATTGGAGAAATAAAACTGTTGGCTGACAAATCCCTGTAGCGTGGTTTCTCGTATTTGTTGTGGCCTTGGAGCCGGATCATAACAACTAATACAATGAAAAATAAAATGAAAAGCCCAACAGTGCAAAATGCGTACTAATAATTTGCTGGTAAAGGATATGGTAAAATATTCTACTGGATTTTTTCTTATCTCCTTACAACGGCAAATGCCACATTTCGGAAGAAATGATACATCCAAATACTGTGAGTTTTTTAATAGGATATAGGAGGAGAAAAGAGTAAATGTTTTATTTTCACACTCTCACTAAATGTGCCTAAAACACAAAGAAAGCAAACTTTTTCTGACATGTTTTTTTTTTTTAAAGCAGCATAATAAGTTTTGTCAACTAGAGTTCCTTCTCCGCTAATTGCAGTATTCTAATGACAGAACGTCTTCAAAATGCAAAACACTAATTCGGCTTACAGTGTCGACATATAAAGTCAATAGTGTGATGACTTCAAATTCAAACCTTGATATCCCCATTACCGCACTTTCTCAAGCTGGCGAACAAGCCCTCAAGGGATCCCACTGCACAATACAATTAGCAACTGCTTCCCTCAGTATGCAGAGTCTGATAAGAAGCAAGCCAAGTGTGCAGAACCTTTAGTGTTACACTGGAGTATATTCGGTAAAGTGTTGCTCATACCTGCGTGTCGTCCCCCGGATCCTCGGGTGCCTGATCGTCACAAAACTGACCCTTGTTGCCCTCCGAACAGTTACAGTAGAACGAGCCAAACGTGTTGACACACTCTCCTGCGCTTCCACAGACGTCCTGGTCGCACTCGTTGACATCCTTCTCACATCTGCAGAAGCAGAGAGATGAATACATTACTACGGAGTGGAAAGAGACAAATCAAGGATGATTGCACGGGAGGTAGAGAATAAATACTTTGGAGACCATCATCACAGGGCTCTCTTTGGCTGAATCAATACATTTATCTTCACGGATTCCCTATTGATACGGTTCAGAGCCCCCGCTTTCCCACCTCAAACACTACCACACACACACACACAAACACAATACAACACACAATACACACAATAACTAACTTCCAAACATCGAATCTTGACATTTCAAATGTTGTGCACCGCTGTGATGAAAATAGAAAAAAAAGCTTATTTTTTTTCAATTACTTTGTCTTGATGAGATTTTAAAAGATTTCTTTTGTTTGGAATCATAGTTTACTTAACAAGGCCTGGATATATTGGGCATCTGCTCATGCATACTAAAAATCATAATTTACCAACTTCATGAATGCAGCAAGCAGCTTTCTGTTTCATGTCCATGATTCAGCTTTTAAAGGGAAATGTGTCCGTTTTTTTAAGGGAATTTTAAATTCTATTCAATTTAATGAAATGAAAAAATGTTTTGGCAACTACACTCAACATTTGTTTGCTAACTCCAGAGAAAAAGGATTTGGTTTACAGTTTCAATCTATATTTATCAAAAGGGGACTGTGCCTCAGAGGTCATCCTTCGATCACAGGATCAGGAGTTTGATCCCCAGCTGCGCTAGTCGATGTGTCCTTGAGAAAGACACATAACCCCAAATTGCTCCCGACGCTGTGCCTACGGTGTGTAAAATCTTTCATGACTGCTAGTCAGTCCCGGTGGGCGGGTAGCATCTTGCATACTGACCCCTTCAGTGTGTGAATGTGTGAATGACATACTGTGTCAATTCAACATTTATTGCAATTTATTCAAAGGGCAGAAGCCTTTTCTCCAAAGAGGGAAAACTGCTCTCTGGTGGCGGCTCCACTGAACAACCACGTGAGCAGGGAGGATGTTCCATAGGGAATTAACTGAGATGTAATTAAAGAGCCAGCTAGGGAGTAATTATAGGCTTTTAAACCAAAATGATTCAAAATTAAATTAGGAACACACAATAACAACTAAAACTACAGTTGGTGTTTAGATTGATAATGTGAGTGTGTGTGTGTGTGTGTGTGGTAGAGCCACACACATAGTGTTTTATGTTTAAGGGTTTATAAGAAAGTGGAGGGATTTAGATATTAGTTTACATCAACACTAACCTTATTGTCAATGAGTAAAGGCTGGTTTTCGACAATGTTGTTTTTTTTTTTAATCATTAATCATTGATTGATATAATCATTGATTGTTTTTTAACAGTGTCAGCGTGTGGCTGCAGATTATTTCTTCTTACATAAGTCCCCTGAGTCCTCCAGAACATCCGCAGAGGAATGCACTGCCAACAGGCTGACAGTCTGCTCCATTCAGGCATGGGTTTGGCATGCAGGACGTTAATTCGATTTCACAGCGCCCTCCACTGAATCCACCGCTGCAACTGCACATGACGCCTGTTAGAGACAGATTCAAGAATGAGTCAAATAACGCTGTGTAAAACAATCAACATAAACAGAGAATATCATATTCTGATAAAAGTGTCATTTTTCTCCGGTGTGTCTCCTGGGCTAAAGTGGAAACTTGGACCGGTCACTTTTGAAATTTTAGAAATTTTAAGACTTTTTCTATTTGTGTTCATAGTTTCTCCTGATTTAATCAGTTGGTTAATAATGTATGGAATGTTACAATAAATATCTAACAAAAGTATTATTATTAATTATAAATTATTATTGATATAATACATTATTCCTAAAAACATGACTTTTTTATGGCTGGCGACTTTAATTTGTGTAACACAAAGAGATATCCCTCAGTGGAAGCCTTTGATTGTCATTTTGAACGTGGCTTTATCCAAACTTCAGATTTCTGTTTCCTAAAATATTTTTAAAATTTCTTTGCTCTATATGATGATAACTAAATTTACCAAAACTTACCTGTGGTGTATCCGCTTAATACCATGTGGATTTATTTTTGAGTAACTATGTAAATATTCAAATACAAATTAATTATAATTAATACCCAAACAAGCCATCAAATCAAGGCAAAAAAAACTCTGAAACCGACACTCCAGCCCTAAAAACAGAGTGAATCCTTTTAACAAGCTTTAAGTTATTTACACCACTTTTACAACGTGACGACTAACCCACATTCATTCACCCTGACATCTACACAGACCTCCGGAGGGCAGGCTGCTGCAGATGGCTCCGTTGAGGCAGGGCTGACTGACACAGGGATCTGGATAAAGCACGCAGCCCAGCTTGACCTCGCTCAGCCCCGCGATCTCTGCGTAACGGCTCCTCTTGTTCTGGAGCGGGAGCTCGTTCCCGTTGAGCATCAGCGAGCCCAGGCATCCCTGGAAGCCATCCTGGGCTCTGGGCGGGGCCCTTGCTCCGCGTTCCCCGAGTTCCTGTGCCCCCCGGCCCCTCCACGGCCCCGGGCTCGGCCTCTCCTCCTGCCCGCTCGGTGGCCTCACCTGGGCCCCGAAGAAAAAGGATGAATCCAGGGCCAGAGGCCAAAGGCGGACAGGTGCTTGGGCTGCTCGCCGCCGCTCCACGTAACTGTCATCTAATGACAGAAGGGTGTAGTTCCTCGTCAGCTCCAAGACAACTGCATGCCAGAGGCCGTCATTTATTGGTCTGCCAGAGATACCCATAATGCCGAGGGTGTTGTCACAGTCCAACTGGAACCAGAGTCTTCCCTCTTCAATCTGTGGAAGGAAAAGGAGCAACCGTTGAGCTTGAGCCTGAGCTTTTCCTCTGGCTTTGGGAAACAACGGACTAAAGTGTGTCATTCAGTTATTGTGTTTACCTTTAGCATGGTGCAGGGGTTAACACGTGTGAACATAATGACTCCTCTTTTCTGAAGGGTTCTGATCCTCAGGCCGAGCTTCATCTCTCCTACCCGGCCACTTTCTGTCACTCTGTACTTGATGTAACTGTTTCCAGAGAAACTTAGAGAGGTTTGGCCTGCGCATTCACAAAACGTTAATAGACAAACAGGATGGAGTTAGAGGGGAAAGGCTTCGGCTTACAGGATTTAAATGTTGCAACGAGGATCAGACACACAGGCGCAAACTTAAAGGAAAGATCAAATCACACCTGCACACTCGTCTCGTCTGTTAGTCTGACACTGGCAGACAGATGGCGCTGTAGGACCGGAACGGACACACTGCATGTCTGCTGGACAGGACTGACCTTCACAAAGCTCCACAGGAGCAGGGCATGTCCCTCCTGTTTGGGAATGAGCACATATATTACAAGCAGCTGTGACAGGTATTAAGGACACTATCGAGTCAATTGCAAGTGCGTCAATGAGTGCCACGCTCACCCGGGCAGGTGCAGGTCTCCGTAGGTCTGAACCTTGGCGACACCAAGCTGACCCTCTCTGTTCTGTAAGTGAGAAGCGAGTCCCCCTCCCTCACCAGCCTCTGCTCGCACAGCCTGTCGCCACACTCAAGCTCCCCAGAACAGGCGCTGTCCACCACCACTGCCCCGCCAAGGACGCCTCGAATCTGGCCCCTCGCTGCAGCTTCTTTCAGCTTTGCGGACAACTCTTGCTGGGAGTAAATCCCCAGCATCCTTCCCGAGCTGCCTGATGTCTCTGGCACCTCCATGGCCAGCAGCAAATCCACGCCAGACGTGCCCATCACCGGCTGTACACTGAGGATGTGGAGGGGATCCTGTTGGCCTGGTGACCAATTCCAGCCGGCTATTCCTCGCAAGGTTAGTTTGATCTGGTTCAAGTAGCGGCCGAGCAGGTCTTCCGGGGACAGGGTGTTGAAACGCAAGGTCAGGGCGCTTCGCAGCAGCATGTCTGTCACCTGCTCGACCTGGACTGACACATCCGCTATCACAGCGAAACGCCCGTCACTCACTGTGGCATTCATTTGGTATCTGAGAGCAAAAGAAATGTGTTGACACAAGTTTTGTTCTGCATATTAAAACAGCTTTTAGTGTGTGTTTGTGTGAGCGTACCTGCCAGGTTCCAGGCCCGGCAGAGCCATAACGCTGCCATCCTGTCTGTTTATTTCAAACATGCTCTTGGGCTGCGGCTTCTGGGTAAAGGACAGCACGTCGTTGGGGTCGCGGTCGGTTGCATAGATCTGACCAATCAGGCCACCCTGGAAGGTATCCGTTACCATGGCGATGAAGATTTCCAAGGGGGAGACGGTGGGTTTATACTGACTGTCCCCGATGACTCTAATAAATATCCAGGAGGAAGAGGCAAGACGTGGCTTCCCAGAGTCACTCGCCTAAGTAACAAAAACAAGAAGAAACAAAAACAAAAGAAAAAAACAATTACTGCTGGGTAAATTTGGGGAGATTTTCTATTTTTTTTTCTATTACGTAGTAATTATTCACATGTTGCTAACCTGAATCTCAAGAGTGAACTCTCTGGGGGCTTCAGGGCCAAACACACGTTTGGTCATCAGATTTCCGGTCTGGTCCATTGAGAAGAAATTTTTCTCATTTCCTGAAACAATGCGAAACTCAAAGGGAGGGCCATTTCTAGTGGAGTCTTTATCACTGATTGACAGCTTCAGCAGGCTGGTGCCAGCAGCTTGGTTGAGCTGCACGTATGGGGAGAGAGAGAGAGAGATAGAGGAGTTTAGAGGACCCTTGTACGAAAACAAATTGTGTACAAACAAACACGCAGAGGCCGTTACCTTTATGACTGCGGTAGAGTTGGGCGGAGAGAAGAGAGGAGGGTTGTCGTTAACGTCCGATATGTCGATGTTAAGGGTGACAGTGGAGGACATGGCAGGAGAGCCGCTGTCAAAGGCCTGCACTGACAGAGAGTACCTGGACACCTAGACGGAGCGGGAGGGGACGAGAGTGCACGTCTGTGTGTATCAGGCGAGGTGACACGCGTATGTTGTGTTTGCATATTATGAGACTTCATTGGGCGTTGACCTTGAGCTGCCTCGGTGTTTTGCTGTTCACGAAACCAGAAAATGACTATAGATTTTTCATGAGATGTTTGACTTATGGGTGCATCCTTACCAGTTCTCTGTCGAGCCGCTTGTTGACTTTGAGCAGTCCTGTGACGGGGTCAATCCAGAAGTGGTTGCTACGGTCACCTTTCAAGATAGAGTAGGTGATCCGCCCATTCACCTGGCTGTCCAGATCTTCTGCCAATACCTGCAAAAAACAGTCAAGAAAAGTTGATGAAACGCTTATAGTTTAGCAAGAACAATATGAAGGTGAAGAACAAATTGAATGTTACCCTTGTAATAGTTTGCCCAACGGACGCATCCTCGCTGACCAGAACATTGTAGATGTTCTGACTGAAGGCGGGAGCGTTGTCGTTGACGTCCATTAGTTCAATGGTTACCATGGTAGCTGTGCGGAGAGGAGGGTTCCCGCTGTCCGTGGCCTCGACGGTGAGGTAGTAGTCCTTACACACCTCAAAGTCCAAATCATCAACCACAGATATAGAGCCTAAAACGTACACATAGTACGCCATTTATCCACAGTTCAATCTAGGACGTTGTTCTGTTGTAAATACAACTTGTTACAAGCTCATTCAAGGTTTGCTCACCCAGGTTCCTGTCTATGGTGAACTTTCTTAACTCGTTGCCCGACCGGATATTGTAGGTAATCTCAGCATTGGGTCCAATGTCGGCACTTGTCGCCAATACTCGGAGCACCTCGGTTCCCACGGCCACATCCTCGGGGACGGTAATGGCATAGTCCCTCCTCTGGAAGACTGGGGCATTGTCGTTCACATCCAGCACCAAAATGGTCAAATCCACCTGAGGGAGCCACCAAGTAGTTTAAGCATTTTTTTATGTTGAGTATCTTTTGATTCAACCACTATTAGGTGACATCTTTGTATTTGTTCAGATTGTTGAAGTATAAACTAACATGCGGAATGGGTGAATGGACATAGAAGGGCCAGGTGCTTTCTATTTGCATTAGTTTCGACTCATCAGACTATATTTGCCCCAATAGGTTTCCTGGGATACTCGATCATCATGGTACTGAGTCATAGAAGAGAAGACTGGTGTCCTACAATTGGGATGCCACAGTATTAACACTGTAGTATTATTGAGCCTGGTACAAATACTGCTACAACTGCTGAAATTACTAGCACTGCTAATGCTGCTATTACAGCAAAAACTTCCCCCGTTGTATTAGCATTGGTAATGATGCCTGCTGCTAAAATATGTGTGCAAAACAATCACTTTGCCTGTCATGTAATTTTAGCCAATGACTTTGTCTGTTAGTCTAAAAGAGATCAAGGAAATAAAAACCCAGTGAGTGTCTTGCTCCCACCACTTGCCTTGTCTTTCCTTTCCCACCACTGCACAATCTCATGAAGGTTTATCTTGATTTGATCAAATCTAATAGGCTCTTTATCTGATCTCTGATAAACAACATGTTTATATTCATTGGATTTTCTATCCATTTTCAAATGGATATGGACAAAAATACAAATTGCACATACCAAGATGGAGAATTACACAGCTAAATAACGTGCCTCTTAATGTATATAAAATTGTAATATTGTGGGTTAGTCACAAAATAGGTTCTATTTGTGTTTTTTTAATAATTGGTACGCAGTTGGTATGTTATTGATATGTAATTGGTGCAACCATCAGTATCTGTGTTAATTAGTCTCTCTAGTCACAGATTTGATTCTATCAACTGAAATTTGTTTGTTTGTGGAGTCTGTTTTTCAAAAAAGTTCAAAAAAGTATTTCTGGGTGAGTGACAGTTTTTGGGGGGACTGTAAACATCTTTTGGATTAATACTTAATCATTCGATTTGGTGGATGGTGGATCGCAAGGCAAACAAATACACAGTGAGATTGAATGCTTGTCACAGGAACACCGACCTGTGTGGACAGCGCCCCCTGCTGCCCAACTTGGTCCGTGGCCTGGACACTGACGCGGTAAGAGTCTTGGCTCTCTCTGTCCAGAGATTTCTCCAGAATTACCATCCCAGAAACCGGGTCGATGGAAAATAATCCGTTGATTGAATCCACCAGAGAATAGACTACTGTACGATTAAGACCTGAAGAACACAGAAAAAAAAATTCATGCACAATCAGACTTATTATTCAAAAGACTTTCTTTTTGCTATTCGTGGTAATCTTTTTTATGTTACACGCTCATTTCAGATACATGTACGTGATTATGCTGTAGAAAACATATTTGAGGACGGTTTTAGAAATGGATTATTATTACCAAAGACAGAGCCATTGGAATTCCTAATGACATTGTGGTTTGAACCCGCATTCAGTAAACATGTTACAAATCCTGCGATTAACATCATACCAGCTCACCTTTATCGGGGTCACTGGCTTGCAAGCGGGTGAGCAGAGCCTTGGGAGCAGCATCCTCATACACACTAGCCAGGTAATGGGCAGAGGTGAAAGACGGGGCGTTGTCATTTACATCCAACACTTTGAGAGAAATGTCAGAGCGGCAGAACAGCCCACCTCCGTCTGTCGCCTGGGCGATGAGCTTGTAGGTGGGTGTTTTTTCTCGGTCCATGACGGTGGCCGTACGCAGCTCACCTTACGACACAAATGGAGAGGGGTATAAAGCTGCAGAAAGGATGTTTTATCTGTGAAGTATACGTTGCCTTGATCATACAAAAAAAAACCTAATCATTTAATGTACCGGTGTTTGCATCCATGTAGAAATCCTCCACCCCGATGCCAAACAGCGAGTATTGGATCTCAGCGCTAGAGCCTGAGTCGGCATCCGTGGCACCCACCGTCAAAATGCCCCTGTTGGTTGGAATGTCCTCAGGAAAAGAGGCGCTGTACACCGCCTGGCAGAACACACAGGAACAAAGTAAAACTACAGAGTCTGAAAACAAAAGAAAAGTTCTTTTGAAGACACGAGAAAGCCCATTCGACTATTGTGCTCTTTCAATCAGCCGGGATAATAAATGCAGTCATTATCCCGGCTGATAGAAAGTGCACCGAAAGACTTTAGTGCCCTTTTCTAACTCCTGCCTTCCCTCTGCCTCGAGAAATGCACTTTGTGACCTCACTACGTGTGAGACCAGCGCAGTGGGAGAACTACTGCATTATATCCTACCCTGCAGCTTTTGTGCCGTAGATTCAGAGCTAAAATTAAAGTCAATTAAAATGTAACATTTCTAGACGAAACTTTAGTTGGAATGAGGTCCGGACACAAACAGCGCTTTTAGTCTATGATGAATCATACACAGGCAAAATAATAGATTGTTGTCCTATATTTCACAGTTTGCTTTAGACCCATCTGATTCTGCCCTCATCCCTGACCTGGTTGCAGACGGGACTGTTGTCGTTGTCATCGATGACGGTAACTTCCACAGCAGTGCGAGCGACGTATAGGCCGTCGCTGGCCGTGATGTTGAGCAGATACCAGTCCTGCTGCTCACGATCCAGCAGACCACTCACGTAAACCTTCCACTCAGCCTGCACGAGAGCCAGGCCAAAAACGCCCCGCGGGTTTCCCCCTGGAGAAGGAACAGAAGAGGGATTGAGCCGCTGGCGGAGACAGAGATCAAGATGCATTGTAAATGACTGAATCTCATTCATTCCCATGATGAATAAGCATCCGCTTCCCACCCATACACCCACCCACACACACACACACACACACACAGATAAATGATACAGGTACCCTTTGGCATGATCTACCGACATCTGTCATCATAACGTAAACCAGGCTGGTGGCGTTGCAGTGATGGCCTTTCAAAGTTTAAGAAAAAATGACCTTTTTCATTTGAACACTTCCATTAGGCCAATCAGTATTTTGAAATGCCAGAAGGCGAGGCCAAAATCTATCATCCTTAGCTGTATGTGTTACGTGAATGATAAACATCACGCTCGGTCTCAAGGGGACAGTTTTGCTGAAGAGTCCTCACAATTTTTTGGATCACTTCCATTAAAAGGAATGACCATGCAAAGTTATGTGCGAGTTTGTGAAGGGCCACTTCTTATTTTGGAAATCCATCTAATATAACAACTCCACACACACACACACACACAGGATACGTTCCCAATGGAGGTTGGTTATATTGAACATTATATCAAATAAAAAAATATATATCTCAACATAGGTGGAAGAAACATTAAAACAGAGAGGAAACACAAAACTAAATGTCTAGTTGTGCTTGACATTCGAGTTGAAAATAACTTTTAAACTTTTTGACCTTTCTTAGGAAGCTCCTTAGGGCAGAGAATCATTTGTATGCAACGTCAGCTCTTCTCTCTGCATGAGCGGCAATTAAAGCATCAGAATGTGTTGAATTATATTACGTCGGTATTCTGCTTAATTTCCTCACCAGTTATGTAAACGTTGACCAGGCGGTTTTGATCCGTTCCATCTCCATCGTTGGTTTTCAGAACAGCTACCACTTCCCCGAGAGCATCGCTCTCCTTCACCGCACCGCGGTACAGCTCGCTCTCAAACCGCGGGGGGTTGTCGTTGACGTCTGACACAGTGATGGTGACCACCGTGGTGGAGGACAGCGACTGCAGCTCCCCCAGATCAGAGGCCACTACTTTGAAGCTGTAGCTGGAGCAGGCCTCGTGGTCCATCTCACCCAATGTGGTGATCCAGCCCGTTTTGCTGTCAATGGCGAAGACGGAGCCCGTAGTGACGGGGCCACTGAGGGCGCGAGCGTCTTCTGTCAAGTCCGAGTTATAGGTGAGAAGAGAGCCGAGGCCGTATGTTACCTGCAATTTTAAGAAAGAAGACACATGAATGTTCTTTTTGGAAGCATATACAACAAACTGTAGAGCAAAACCCCCCAAATGTTAATAACAGAGCTGAGAAACACACACCTGTCCATTTGAGCCCCAGTCTGGATCAAGCGCGCGCACTTGGATCACTCTTGTCCCTACCGGCATCCCCTCCATCACCGTGGCAACGTACGTGTTGGTCTCAAATGTTGGCTTGTTGTCATTCACATCTAGGACCTGCAAAAGGACAAATCATCACTGGCTCGTTTTAACGAAGTCCAAATAGTACAAAAAGAAAGAAAACATCAGGGAATACAATCGATTCATTCTCTAGATTTTTAAGATTGCTCTCATGTTTTGGAAACTTGCGTTACTCTGGTCAGTGTTAAAACAACCGTGACCATATTTTCATGTGTGTGGCCACTAACAAGATCCCTTAAGATTAATGTTTGTATTTTATAGCATTCAGAGGCTAAAATAATGATCAGATGTCATTCAAGTTTAATGGAAAAACAGGGAAAAATGTTTAACGGCATAACAAACCTTAACCTCCAGGTCTACAGTGGAGAGGGACTCGATCAGGTCTCGTCTTGTTGTTGCCGCAACCTTGAAGCGGAAGATGCTGATGAGTTCATAGTCCAGCGGCTTGATCAGACGGATGAGGCCGCTCTCCCGTTCCACCAGGAAGGCGCCTCCCTGATTGCTGTCCAGCGTCTCTCCTCTGACTACAGTGAAGAACCCCGTCTGTCCAGGGGCCATGTACACAGACCCCAGGGCGGTTCCCACTGCCGTGTCCTCGGGAATGGTGAAGGAGTACTGAGGCTGACTGAAAGAGGGAACAAGAGCATCTGGTGGGACGACATGGATGAAGGCGGACACCAGCGAGTGTTTGGCTGGAGAACCGCAGTCCGTGGCCTTGACAAAGAAGGACAGCACGGTCCCCTGGAGGTGGTCCATGGTGCTTTTAGTCATCATCCAACCGCTGTCTGGCTCCACCTGTCCACCAGCAAAATCTCAATGTCATTTAAATCAACTTCACGGACAATAATCCTAGAGCCGTTGTTGTCTCTCAGCCTGAAGTCAACTGTGTTTGAGTCAACAGTTTACATTTTTTCGCCTTCTTACTTTTCTCTTAATGCTCTTTAAGTGATAAGGATCACGTTTTATGTTTTATCTTTATTTTATATGTCCATATATTTCTACAAATCACCACTTCAAACTTGTTTTTTATTAACAATGATATGCTATGACTACCTTCTGTATATTCATTCAGATTATATTGGCCTTTTAGACCACAGTTTTCTGCTTAATTTGCGCTCTTAGTTGTTTATTTACTTGTGGCTTGTAATTATGTTTCCCCTTGAAACAACCAACACTGACGGAGAAATAAATCTTAATGAAACATAATTTCAATTTGATGAGTAAAATGTATAATTCCAGTAACAGATGGCTGTTAATCCAATAAACGGGGAGCGTGCGTCAGAGACCATCTCTTAATTGTTAATCTGGGTTATAGCATACATTCTGATGAGTAGGGTTTACCCTCATTAAATAAATGTACAGGGTATGGATCTGGATGGACTTTAGGGTCTTTCCATGAGCAAACTAAGAATATGTCTGTTTAATTTAAAGCCAGCAAACAGCTATTTAGCACAAGTAGGTTCATAAAAACGACATCAAGAGCAAAACACACTGACCTCCAGGACATCAACCAGGGAAAGGCGAGCCTCGCTGTAAAGGGAGTAGGTGATCCTCCCATTCGACCCAGCATCATTGTCAGTGGCTTGGATCTGTGTGACCAGGGAGCCTTTGGCAACGTTTGCTTTAATGCTCATGCGGTACTCAACAGCTCTGAACCGGGGGGCATTGTCATTCTCATCAGCCAGAACCACTCGAACTGTGCAAAATGATGCACGGCCTGGAAAAAAGGTAATAAACGCATATGTAAATGTGAAATGTATGAAGAACTCATTTCCCTTCATTCCACTGTTGCTTTCACTGTAAACTTGGATGATAAAATGTAATGCATAAATAAATATTTATGCATTCTCAATGTAGACTCGGAATATACAAAAGCTATTGCTTACACAGAGCGAACAGTTGCCTCTTTTGCATCGTTAGCTTTGTCCTGCCTGCTTTAAAGGGAGGACTTTGTTGTATTTGTATAATGTCTTATGTTGACTGATGTAAAGAATGCTTTTTTAGGGAATCGGTTTGATAAAAAAAAAAAATACCTCCACCATCCAGGGCCATAATGGTCAGCACCATGTCCCTGTTAAGAGGATTTTCTCTGTCTAATTTCTGAGCGGTGGAAATGAGTCCATCTGCATCAATGGTGAACTTAGTTTTCCCCAAGTCATTGATGAAGGAGTAGGTGATCTGCCCGAACAGCCCGGAGTCCTCATCTGTTGCACGAACCTAGAGGTCCATACAGAGGTTCAGAAAATGATGTCGGAATGGTCATTGTGAGGTTCTACATCATCAATATAGGCAGTTTCCTATTAAAAGTCCCGATGGGAAGCGAGCAGTAAGATGGATAACTTACTTGAATGACCTTTGACCCTTGAGGGGCGTTTTCCTGGACTTCAGCCAGGTAGAACCTCTGGCTGAACACTGGGCTGTAAAGGTTGGCTCCCAGGACACGTACAGTCACCTGGGGATAAGAAGCATCATTATGACTCACATCCCATCATCACACCCATTTGGTTGATGCTATCACAAAAACACATCAATGGCTGATCTGACAAACATCATCACATCGAAAAAGGGTTAGTATGAGCATCTGTCGGCCCTGAGATCAAGCGGTAATTGATACCGCACGTACACACTCATGACAAATCGCTGCGGAGGTGCGCTGTGTTCACATCCTGTCAGCAAAAGAATGGTATGTCATGTCATTGCCACGACATATGATTTAGACTACCAGAGTCGTGGGACCCAGGAGCCCACTTGTAATTACCACTACGAGACAGATGTGAAGATTCTGTCCAGGTGGCAGCTCATCCTCAGAGTAAATCTGATGTGGCATGAACACACATTAACCTCCAAAATGGAGAGCTTCACAGCAGCCAGTGGTAAACAGCCTTAATGGACAGCTGTGAGTGTTGGTGATAAATTTGAAGCGATGGGTTGCTGTGAAAGGTTACTTGGCTGGCTACGCACAAACACTGCAAAAGGTTTGAAAAAAACGAATGAATCCGTTGATAGAACTAAATTGTAAGTTGTCTCACCTGAGCAGTGTTGGTGAAGACTCCATCTGACACAGACACATTGAGTTGATACAAGATTTTCATGCCTTGTCTCCTCTTGTTAGACAGCTTGAGCACCCCTGTATCTGGCTCCATCATAAAAGTCATTTTCTCATTCCCAGAGAGAATAGTGTATCTAAAAGAAAATTTGAAAAAAAAAGAAGAGTGCAATAGTGTTTAACGTGAACTATAAGATTTCGCTCATAGGCAAGTGGAAAGAGAAAATATCCACTTGTGTTGGCTTAGAAAACAAGGCAAACAGAAGATGGAGCGAAACACAAAAACAAACGCCTAGGAAATACGCTTTTTAAAAACATGATAAACAAGGCAATTCACAATTTACAGATAAAACACACACACACACACACAACTTTTGAAAGCTTCTTTCACCTCAGCCTGTGCGCATCGCAGATGTCAGCATCCGACGCCTGAACACAAGTCACAAAGTGCCCGAGGGGAGCCAGCTCGCTGACAAAGGCCTCGTACAGCGCTCGGCTGAAATTAGGAGGGTTGTCGTTTGTGTCAGAAACCGTCACGGTGACACTGACATCACTGCTGAGGGCGGGCTCTCCGCTGTCCGTGGCTCTGACGATGAAGTTGTAGCGTTGGGTGAGCTCATAGTCCAGCAGGCGGGCCGTGTATACCAATCCGCTCTTGCCGTCAATGTGGAAGTAGTTGGTGCTGTTGTAGATGTCATGTAGGATCTGGTAGCTCACCAGGGCATTCTTCTCTGAATCTTGGTCCTGGGCAAACACCTACAGGGAGAGTAACATCACATTTTGCTCTCCCTCATGCATTATTCAGAATATGGTCTTGTTTTGTTCCCACTGACATGCTATATGCTCACACAGAGACAAAAACAAAAATAGGGAACTAAAGTTATGGTGAGCGACTGCATCTGAAACCACAGCAACACATTGTCCAGTACATGTCATGACGAAATGGTTTAAAGTACAATACTTTACAGTACTACAAAGCAAGGGCAGGTGATTTTACTGAGCACCATTTTCTGGTTATTATAAAACCATGATCTAATGAAAATTTAATTAGTGTGACGTTCTTGTTGAGGTAGAAGGAGTAAGTTGCTTTGAAATGCAGTAACAAAATAAAACAGATTTTCGTTACTATGCTTTCTACGCTTGCAGCCTCTTTTTTTGTATAAAAAAAGGCTGCAAGCTGGGAAAACACGCATTATTAATTAATGTGGTGACCAATATTGCAATACCACTGAGTACATGCATGTTTATGCATGTTTATTTTAATTCATGACTTTTCATGTTCTCCAATATTGCCCTCCTGAATATGATTCAAACAATGGTTAAAGAAGGCCAAACCTCACCAAAATAGCTTCAGAAACCAATTAATTAATTGGTTTGGTGTCTTATTTTATGCAAAAGTTACTCCTCAGTGCTGGATTATTATTCGCTAAAGGTCAAGAGCTTCCAGTAGGACGTTTCTAGGGAAATATCACACTATCTTTTCATAAATAAATGATTCACAATGTAATATTCATGTCTTGCTGTGAGACTGCTGGAGTGAGTTTAAGTGAAAACAATTATTTAGCAAGAGTACTCAATGGACACACAAGATTAGACAAAAGACTTGCACACACACACACACACACACACACACACACACACACACACACACACACACCTGTAACACGGACGTTCCGATCATGGAGTTCTCGGCGAGCACAGCGGAGTATGAGGTGTTCTGAAAGAGCGGCGGGTTATCATTCACATCCAGCACGACGACGTCCACATCGACCTCCGACCTGGCTCCAGACAGGGTGTCCGTGGCCTTCACCGTTAACCGGTAGTACTGTGTGGTCTCGTAGTCCAACAGGTAAATCACGCTGATGACTCCTGTGTCGAAGCCAATGTCAAATTGGAGGGAAGGGTCTCCGTCCGTGATGGTGAAGATGACGCTCTGGCCCTCAGGACTGGTGGCGTTGATACGCAGGACGGAGGTGGAGACGGCCACGTCCTCCCTGACAGTGACGCCGTAGAACGGCTTGTCGAACACGGGCATGGCTTTGTTCACTACGGTAACGGGCAGCTCGACCTCGCTGGACAGAGGCGGGGAGCCACGATCGGTGGCCACGAGGACCACCTTGTACTCTGCGTTGGATAAGTCCGCCTCAAAGGCCCTCTTTAAGGTGAGCTCTCCTGACATTTGGTTCATCTGCATGACATGTTTGAAACATCATTAGCATAAGAGCGCACAAATCATTGGGTTTTCAAACGGACAGCCCACCGTTTTAGAGTTAGAAGACATTTAAAAGCAGGAAAGTGTCAAATTACCCGAAAGTTTCTATGCTCGTCCTTGATGCTGTATGTCACTTCCCCATTCAGACCGTAGTCTTGGTCTATAGCTGATACCCTAAAAACAGCTGACCCAGGCTCTGCTTCCACTTGCACTGCGGCGTAGTACGGGAGGTTCACAAACTCTGGAGCATTGTCGTTCACATCCTCCACCTTTTGGAGAGAACAATTATTTTAGGGAGAATCCAAAGGGGGGCAGTGTAAAGTAAAAAGAAGAAAAAAAAGACACACTCGCCTGAACTCGCACAGTCACTCTCGCCACCTTCAGTATCTCATCCTCTCGGCTGACCTCCACCACTAGCTCGTAACTCTCCTTATCCTCCCGGTCGAAAGGCACCCCGGTGGTGAGCACCGCCCCACAGGTCGGCCGGATGGTGAAGCGCCCACTGGGGTTCAGCAGCGTGTACTTCAGTGGTTCGTTGAGGCGGTGGCCGACTGTGTTGACAACGGTCACTAAAGTAACATTGGGTATGTTCTCAGGGATGGAGGCAGAGTAGACCGGGAAGGTGAAGAGGAGGCCGTTGTCTACGGCTTCTCGGACAAGCACCGTGACGGCTGCCACGCTGGAGAAACGTCCGTCCCATACCTCAAAACGAGCAAATACGGAAGGGTTAGAGTGCCTTGTTGGGCCCTCAGCAGTGGGAGCTTATTTTTAATGCTGGGATTTTCCAGTGTATTCAATACATTTGTCTCCATGCACAGTCCTTTTATCCCTTTATCAGCAAAGAACACCCAACAACCATGGAGCACGGATACCTGTAGATTACTTCTCTGCCTGGGAAGAAACCCCCTACGTGAACTAACTGTGGTATTCCACATCGAGATGCTGAAAAGGTCTCCGCTCTGAACCCGAGCGAAAAAAATGTATGAAAGCCTATCAAAGAATGCTGTTTATCTAATCTAAGCTTAACAAGAAACACAAAAATTATATCTACGTTTCATGTCTACTGAACGCCCGGAGCTGATCACTCACCTTTACATTAAAGCGATAGCGATCCTTGCTGAGGTTTTGATTGATGACCGTCACAACTCCGGTGTAGCGCTCAACAGAGAAGTAGTCCACGTTGCTGTCCAACAGAGAGTATGCCAGCTGAGAAGTCACTGACTTGTCAGGGTTCAGGGGGAGGTCAGAGATCATATCGGGGTCAAAAGCCTCAAGCGTAAGGACCTCGACACCCTCGTAGGTCGGCAGGAGGAGCACAGCCTCGTAAGTATCCTGTAGCATCTTCGGAGGTGAGTCATTGATGTTGATCACCTAGGACACAAACACAAAAAAGGAAAGCGGGTCAAGGATGGTTCACGGCAGTGGAAGCCGGTTCAAATGTCCTTTCGTTACCTTTATGACAACCTCTGCTGGGTTGTCCGCACTCTGCGGAGGCTGTCCACTGTCTCTGACATGAACCCGGAAGAAGAACTCTGAGAAGGTCTCATAGTCCAGACTGGCGATTGTTCTGCATTTTAAGAAAGATTCAAAGAAGAAGATCATAAAGTATAAGTTGTGTCACGAGCAGTGTTGGGCAAGTTACTGAAAATGAGTATTTAGTTACAGTTACTAGTTACTTCTTTTAAAAGTAATTGAACTACATACCAGTTTCTGTGTATCAAAAGTAATTAGTTACTCTGGAAAGTAACTTTTAAGCTACTTTTATGTCTGCTTTTTAAATGTAATGAATATAAATAGTACTGAACAGTCAAACACAGTAAAAATATTTTTTGGACCTATTTATTGTAATCAACAGGGCAACAGGCCTTCAAATCAAGCAATAGTACAAAAGCCCTTTTTAATACCTAACTTAATACAAAATAACTGTTTCAGGCATTTGCCTGAAGGCAACTGACTCGACAGTTGACAGGATGCATCTCATCTTCAACATAGCGAGCAATCAATCTATTCAGCTCTGCCCGGTTTATCGGCTGCACTGCAGTCCGTGTAAAGTGGAGTCTTGGTTGTTTGCGTGGATCGGCGCCTGCAGCATTCGCGGGCCTGCATGCGGTCTTTCGTCATGAGCGACGCGATGCTGTTTACATGCACGTACGCCGACTATTCTGTGACACACAACGTTTGGTGGCCACAACTATTTTGTGCTGACAGGCAGCTATTTACTTACTATTTGCCGGCCCTCCCCTTTGCGTCACAAAAGAGAGTAACGCGAGTAACAAACTCATTTCAATTTCAGTAATTGTAACTGCGTTCATTTATTTAAAAAAATACTTCGTTACATGCTCGTTACCGCTAAAAGTGGTGGAATAACAGTAATGCGTTACTCACTGGTCAAGAGTTTTGTAGTCGGTCTGGTTTTTACACGTCACCTACCGAATTGATCCAGTCCCAGAGTCCACGGTAAAAAAGATACGAGCGGTCTCGTCTAAGATCTGGAACACTAACAGGGCGTTATGATTGCGGTCTCTGTCGGTCGCCTGGATGACCAGAGGGTTACCGTCTTCGCCCACAACCACGCTGTTGACTGGAGCAGCCTCACTGATTGCGCCCACATACCTATTCAGATAAAAAGAGGCCACTGCTGTAAAAGCTGCACTTAAATCGCTCCACGAAATTACATGGCAGGGCTCAGCACCGCTCAGCCAACGGCAGAGGGAGAATGTCAAAGCCGAAGCTCTTCTCTTTCAGACTACTGATACCTGATTTTTTGGAAGACTGGCGGGCTATCATTGACGTCGCCCACCTGGACAATGACAGTGGTGCTGGCCTCCACTCCAGCCATGCTCAGGGCATGCACAACTAGAAAGTAAGATGTTGTTTGCTGCCAAAACCAAAAAAAATGAAGAGAGTAAAAGTGATGTTTTAAAATTCTGTGTGTCACTCCTTCTGTCAACAGTGAACTTTGGAACAAGCGCAGGGACGAACCTCAAAGTCAAGAAGTTTACGTGTGCTGATTACACCAGTGTGATGGTTGATGGCGAAGCTGTTGTCGTCGTTGCCCCTGCTGATATCATATATGAGTGCCGAACGGCTGAGGGCGCTTACAGTGGTCACATGTGTTCCAACAGTGCTGTTCTCCATTATCTGTAAATGCAAAGACGTTGGTTTTGGGACTTTATGGCACGGAGTTATGTGCACAACATTGTCAGCAATGTAATTTACAGACTATTTGTCTGTCTAGAGATTTACCATCCATCCATCCCTCCCTTCCTCTTCCCCATGCACATTTCCTTTAAGTCAGCCATTGCTCTCTTTACCTCAGCCTGATACTCATTTAGAGAAAATTTGGGTTGGGAGAAGTCGGAGAGTATCAAGGAGATGCGGGCCGAAGCGGTGGCCATTAATGGAGGAAATCCGCTGTCCGTGACACGCACAGTTAGGGTGTAGAAGCCCACGGAGATGATGTCCAGATCCTTGGCAATGAAGATAAGTCCTGTGGCGTTATCAATTCCAAACACACCCCCGGTGTTACCTGAAAGTAGTGGAAAGGTCACAACATTAAGAATGAATGCAAAAAACCCTCATTGGCAATCCCAATTTGTTTTCTTCTGACAATGGATTAAAAATCCAATCCACACCTGCTTCCATAGAATAAGTGAGTTGCCCGTTAATCCCGTTGTCTTTGTCTAAGGCGGTCACTTTTAGAACAGAGGTGCCTATGGGAGAGGACTCATAGGCCACGGCATCATATACGGTGCTGGGGAAGTAGGGGATGTTATCATTGGAGTCCTCCACCGCCACCAGGATACGAGCCAGGTCCCGGTTAAATGGAAACTCTTGATCCTTGACCTGGAGGGAAATGAGAGATGAATACAGATAGCGACTTAGTGGAACATAATGGAAAAAAAATCCGCCAAAATGAAGTAAGGCGGCCAGCGTTTCTAAGCGCATAATCACACATACAGGTACACATACAGATTAATGGCAACAGCCAACCAGGCCGAGAAGCACATATTTCTTCCTCACCATAATAGTGAGGATGTGCTGAGTTCTGGCCTCGTAGTCCAAGCTATCCGAGGTGTAGACGACGCCCGTACCAGGATTGACCCTGAACAGTCTCATACTGACTGGGTCCACACTGCCATAGATGGAGAAGGTCAAGCGGGCCCGCTCGTCCACGTCCGTCGCTCTAACCCGCAGTAGTTCCATGTCAAGCGGCGCATCCTCTGACACACTGACATCATAGGCCGGCTGTGAGAACACAGGAGGGTTGTCGTTGCAGTCCAGTATTCGGATGAACACCTGAGTGACAAAGTAAAAGAGTGGGAGTCATTGAAGTAGGTTACAGAGGGGGGGGGGGTTCCTTTGGCGTCTGATAGTATTTTACACATTTAAAGGTGTTACCCTTTGACTACAGTGGCGGTACAAGCAGTAGTTACACTAAATCCCTGTAGTCAAAGCATTAGTAATACCATTTTTTTCAAGCTGGAAAATTAATTTTTCTCTGAGGGACGTAATTCTGCTGGATTTTTTTACACAAGCAAACACTTGACCTGTATTGGCACAGGCTAATCCCATTAATCCACTGATAAATAGGATTTCCCATACAAGGCAGACCCAGTGGGCCAACCAAGACAGCATGAGCTTCAAAAAGCTAATTTCATAGTCACAGGGAGTGCAATCGTAGGAAGAATAAAAGCTCAGAGAGAAAAACACCTCCCCCAGGTTGCGGTAACAATAATGCAAATTGAAATGGATGCGGAGTGTGTGAGAAGCAGTGCCAATGCATCACAAGCGTGCATACCTGTGTTGTGGCAAAGTTGGTCCCATCGGTCACCTGTACGGTCATGTTGTACACAGATTGCACCTCTGCATCTAGGGGCTTGGCCACAACTAGCGTTCCCACCCCCACCTGAAGGTCAAACTGCATATCAAAACTCCCTGGAATCACACACAGACACAGATTCTAGGTCATCCAGTGCTAACGTTGCGTGCTAAACTCAGGTGCGCTAAGTTATTACTGTGTAATTGTTTTGGCCAGAAGCCTGCGTCTGGAGCTGGAGGGTCCGTGAAATAAAAATGGACTGAAACGTAGCGCCGAACTCACTTGGCAGTCAGAGGGCTGTTAACAGCCACACAAACATCTGCCTTATCGCTCCGAAACACAACCCATCTCGGGGATCAAAAACCTGCAGCCGGGTCTTTCCCACAGGCGGTGGGTGTACAGTTTAGAAGCTTAATGTTTGATTATGGTGAGGGAGAGGATTGATATGCGTTAGGTATTCAGTACCATCCTCTGTCTCATTCCAGCTTCCCTCCCGAGGTATCTTGGAGCTCGAGCTCTCCTCAGCATATGAATACTAATTGGGCATTTTTCACAGAAGCACTGATGCGTTTTGAGTTGCAGCAAACCACAGGGATTGGCTTTCTTTCCAGGGTGTGAGGTTGGTCAATATTACACTATGATCTCACAGCATTAAGAAAAACAGAGAGCATAGTCTGTATTATGTGAAACAAGAGAAGAATCCTGTATGTAAAAAAGGCTGCCTCTAGGGGTTCTTCTATGCATATTGTATAAGCAGCAATACAAAAGCTGAACACATGGTTCTCCAGTATAATATTATTTGAAATATCATTCTAATTACTCTCCTTGTTTTCTCATCTGATTTTAATATAACTGCCTTAATGGCTGTGAGCAATGTTTTTTTGAATGTGTCAGTGTGTTATTTTTTATTCCTCCAGCACAACAGCCCAGTTAAATGCTATGACATATATGAAACAAAACCAAAATCAATATTGAGCCCCTCGGAGTGAAGTGAAAAAAGATTGCAAATTCTCCAAATTGTTCTATTGTAACAAAATGTCTGTAACTGCAAAAAAGTCATCAGGCGGACTCATATTGAAACATAAGTGGTCAATCGCCTGAACATCACAACATACTTACCCTCCCATTCAATTCCCCATATAGCAGTATACAAGCTGAATTCGTGGTATAAATCAAACTCAGGTCAACCTATTTTTGGTAAAAGTAGGTCCTGGTGCTGCTTGCTACATTTCACAGCCCTGGGGCATTTGAGGAAGGCGTGTTGCAAAATTAGCTTTGACCAGACCTGTGTCAAGTGAGCAGTTTCTTCCACATGCATTCTGAGGAATGTAGAATGTTTCTCTGGCGAGCCGTCCGCCTTGAAATGTAAAAAAGAGAGGAGAGTTAAAAGAGGTTATGAATATTTAAGGAGTCAAAGATATTCTTGTGATCAAAGATCTGCATCATCTACAGTGTAACAAACACTCTGCGAGTCAACCTGGGATAATGTGATTCAATCACGGATTATGTTTGAATCCAGGTCTTGAAGTTTGAGAGAAAAAAAACTATCATCGTGCTTTTATTTTTCTAATGAGCCTTTCATGCACAATTACCCCACTGATATTGACAGCAGGCGTGGCGCAGGAACCAAACACAACAATTTCATAGCACATTCTGTATCTTTGATTTGTGAAGCTTCAAAAGAATAATCAACTAATGAACTAAATATAGTAACTCAAATTTCATATCAGCACCCAAGTAAGGGACCTGGGCAATCAACAATGAGCTATTCGCTGTCCATTTTTTAAATGTAAATGAAATCAATTTTAATATGAAAAATACAAAAATAAACATTTAGTTAATCTATGATAGAGTGGCTAGCAATCATGAATGAATGCATTTCGATTAACATGACAGGACAAGAAAATTATGAATTATCATCTGGTTTGGTAGTTTAATATCACACATTCATTTTCTTACCGATGATATTGAACCAGACAAGGGCGCTCGACTGGCTGACAGCGACTACTCCCACCGGCTGAGCCACCGCAGCTGTCTCCAAAATGGAGAAATTGTAGAACTTCTGGGTGAATACTAGAGGTACAGGCGAGGGGACAGGTTTGCGAATCCACTCCACATGGAGTTTGACCGTGGACCATAATGGGGGATCCCCGCTGTCCTCCGCTTTTATCTAAGAGATGGGAACAATACTTTGTTGATGCATGCAACTTAAGCAAAACTCATACAATGATATAGTAGACTGGATAGGGACAAGTGGTTTTACAATAATATATAGATATATTTTTACACTGGATGTGTTAGTATGTTTTCGGGAAAAGCAAAAAATCAAGAACTTATTAGAATTATGGCCCCAGATGTCCAAACGTTTTGCTCATCTTTAGTCAGGGAGACTACATTTACTTACAGCTACACGTGGTGCCCCTTTCCTACCCATGAATAATATTTTCATTAACCACAAAATTGATTCCGGCAATTACATTTTAATGGGATGACCGTCCTTGCCTGACATCAAATAGCGAGCTGTGCCTTTCTCCCATTAGATGGGAAAAGCATTAACCACAATATATAAAATTCCTCTTTGGAGAAGCCTTCAGGGGATGGAATTGTAAAATATGCTGTTATAAGTGGTGCTCGTTTAAGCCCAGACTATGAGTCAAATACATTAGTTCAACTATTATTTGCAGACTTATCCCCAAAAATAAAGGAACTATGATACTCTCATGTCATCTCTTTTCCACTGAAACTGAGCAAAAGCTCAATGGTCACATGCGCATGACGGACTGGTCTTTCTGACTGGTGCAAAGGGAAGAAATCTGGTGTCAGCGGCACCATAAAGTGGATGGAGCTCGATAAATACGTTGGTATTACAAAATAATGGGTACACAAATCAAGCAACAAAAACTGCAATTTGTGTTAGTATTTGAGAAGAGCAGAGGCATTTCATGCCAGAGTATCAGAAAGGTACCTGAGGTGAATAAAAACACAACGTCAGCTGCGCTGCTCCACCTACCTTGGCACGTTTTGAGTTCATTGGCCATGTGAAACTGGGACTGGGACTGTGAACTAAATACAAGCTGAGCAATATAAAATAATGGAATCCAAAGTGGTTCAAGCAAGACAGTAATGAATTGGACCTACAGCACTCAAGAAGTAGAAACAGAGGAGTAGTCCGTCTGAACAGGCTATATACATAATACATAGTATATGCATACTGTACGTCACTGCCCTACTTTAGATCCCAAACAGCCCTAAAAAAAAAGATCAATTCTACTCACAGTGAGGATATCATAGCTTCCCGCTGTCACCATCTTCTTGGATGACACCATGGCCGTCCGGGGGTCAATACCGAACTTCTCATCCGCGTTACCATCCACAATGCTGTAGGTGATGTTGCCATTGTCTCCGAGGTCACGGTCATAAGCGAAGACACGGTACACCTGTTCGCCGCGCTTGTTGCGGTCTCGTTCAGTCAAGCTGATGCGGTACGTGACCTCCGGGAAGGTCGGCGGGTTGTCGTTTTCGTCCTCGATGTGAACTATGACCCACACGGTCGACTGGCGGGTGGTGACCGGGCCGTCTATGACCGTGACCTGAGGACGTGTACCACCGCATTTAACAAATAAAAGGTAGTCATAGAGATGCATCATTGTCTCTCAATCTATGCAGGATTAGTGTGCATTCATTAACATTTTGAATCTTGGCTCCCACTGTGTGGCTGAGCTCGTGGGAAATCTCTTTGTGTCATCGATTCCCTGGAGGTCTGATCACTGGATCAATGGGATCAGATCAGGGTGAACATCAATGCTGCTAGCCAGACTGCTCACTAGACTATTAATTGAAACAGGCCGTATGGACTGACAGGCTTTTGGAAGAAGATGTAACAAAGACTTCTCTGCACCCAATTTCAAACTCCTTTTAGGTTTGAATGTTCAAGTATTTTTTGGGATGCAAGCGTTGTGCGGCATCTTTTGCTATTTTCATTTTCATATCACACACTGCGACCTTATTACATACTTGAGACGAGCAAAGCAGGACAAAGAGATATTGAGTCTCGACAAGTCAATTGGCGATACAGAATCAAAACACGAGAAGCAATTCTGTTGGGTCAGCTGTGGGTTATTTTGTTCTATTTCGCAGAAGGGCAAAGTTCCTGTAGATTCACCCGCAGTTACAAAATTGTAAAATAAGTCTCGGGAAGTAGAAGTTTTTTTGTGTTTCTGTAGTCGCATATCTGTGATTATCCGGTTCATCTACATGCGGAGCAGCAGCGGCAACAAAAAAAAAAAAAACGGTAATCACAGAGCTATCTGTGCGCCCAGTGTCTGCGCTTATCAAACGTCGGGCAGACCAACTCCTCTCCTCCCTATTCCCGTCCTGAGTGGAGAAGATAACCAATGATGAATTATTACATTTAGAAACTCCTAAACCTGGGGCCCAAAAAAAGAGCCATTCATCACAGTTTATGGAGCCTTGAGGGCCTGCCAGGCTTGTCCTCCACCCAGTCTCTGGTAATAGCGAGCCGTGGCAGGTGGCAGGGCCGGATAAATAACGACATCATGAACCAATGCACACTGTTCAGGTTGTTCTGTACCTCCAAGAAGTGCTCTGCCTGTTGTTCTCTGTCCAGTTTCCTCGCAGTTGTCGTGATCAGCCCTAGAAAATTGTAAAAAAAGCAAATTTAGATGCAAATACAAATAGATGATGAGCAAGCTTATGATTTCAATGAAATCAAGCTCCATAAAAGTTCATCAGAACTCTTCATAAGTTTACAATCCCTGTAATCTAAATACTAAAAGTATTCTACTTAAAAATGAGTGTGAATGTGGACACGTTTACAAAAGTAGAGCCTGCAGTGCTGGCAGGGATGAGAGCATTTGACCCATGTTTGTATGACACTGTGTAGCTGGGGGTCATTCAGTGTGCCAGCGTGCCAACAGGAGAGAGCAAAAGGAGGGAGGCGATTGATAATGGGAATATTCCGATGATGGTGAGACTGCTTGACAAACGCTAGCGGGCTGCATCGAACATCGTTTTTCCTCTCAATCTTTTTCCTTTTAGTTTCTTCATATTTTTTGCAAGCTCATTTTCAATATACAGTTATGATAGTGGTACAAACAGACACACACACACACACACACGCACATAAAAGCAACACATAAAAGTAAAAAAAAAATGCATTGATCGATATCACTTTTCATCACTATCTCACGGGAGCATTCACACACAGTGAACAATTTTTAGAAAACAAGTACATATATCTGTTGTAGCATTGTTATTTTCATTCATGTGTTCACATAAATTACAGATTATCTACACATGTGCAAAATGCGTGGACTTTCTGTGGAACAATTACACTAAATGAGCCTAAATGTAATGATGGAATGTGATGTCTCTGTCTCGGTGGAAGGATGATTATTCTGATTGCTTAAAATACAGAATCTGTGCAGTTAATGGATAGACCACAACCATGCACACACAAACACACACACACACACACACACACACACACACACACACACACACAAACACACTCGTGCTTACACAAGTGACAGTGTCACCTTGAGCTTGCATTGCAGGCTAAATTCCATTAAGCAAATTAGAAGTAAATCTAGAGCGGCGGTCACAAGCTGTAGGGGTGAGACTGGAAGGGAGAGGTGGGGCTTGTTCAGCAGAACACGTAAAGTATCAACTTTCATACAAATCAATGATCTACAGCATGCAGCACATCTGCAGTTGGACATCGCTGTGTTTTAATTGGATGTGAGAACAAAAATAATTAATTCATACCCACCCACGTCTTTACACACAAATCTATGCGAAGGTCCAATGACTAATTTCAATTATTTAGACTCCGCCTCCCTAAAGAATACTGTCAGTAGCGAATAAGGATCCTGTCACAAAAACATCCTGTCACATTACGATATAATGCTTTGCCATGTAAGGCGAAAAGCTGTCACTCATATTTGTTTTGATTGTCGATGAAGGCTGTCGAGTCAAACGTGTGGCAATAAAAAAGTCACACAGTCACCATCATGGCCCCCGTGACACCCCGACACGTATCTGCAAACGTGCAAGATTGTAAAAGAATCACCTCTTCCAACACCCTGTGGCAACACTGTTCTGTTCTCACCCCCAAAGGAGGAAGGTTTCGCTCACACACCCGCAGACAAACAGACAGCTCCTCAAGCTGTCAAAGCACATTCACACACTTTGCACTCATTCGAAGTTCGACTTCAATTCATTTTGGGAATTGTTGCAATCCCTAAAACCCATCAATTTGACACTTCCAGAGTGAACTTGAAAAATGTATCACTTCAGAGCAACGAAGAACCTAGTTTTAAAAAGCAGTTTGAAGGGTTTTGCAGCCGCACCAGTCATTGTGTTGCTGAAAGCAAATCGATCAGCTGGGTTTTGTTTATTCATTTATCCATGAAATCAATGTGGTACATGGAAAGTTTTTGACTGGGTAAACAGTGAGGAGTGATTCATATTGAATGCATCTTTCGCTCATGCGTGTCTAATTACCTAACTAACAGACGAAAATGCTCATGCCCGTTATTTGGAAAATGATGTATTCAAACCAGTGGCGGTGCCCTTCCACAACTGCATAATAGTTTATCCACAAGATTGAAAAGAACTGAAAAATTGTCAAAAGTTTATCTACTGGGCTTCAATAAACTGTGGAAACAACACAATAATGTATCCTCCGCGTGAAAGATTACACACCTCACGCTCAGAATTGCAGCGAAAGTTCAATCATCGCAGTGAACGAGAGCGTCAGCAGTGTGAGTTCTCTTGTAGGAAACGAATGACTAACACCGAACAAAATATAGTGTGCCGTCGACGGGGACAGACAGTAGGGCTCAGATGGCTAGGCACTCACTGTCCCCTGTGGCACACAAAAAGACAACAGACACACACCAAATTACCCTTATGCAGCTGTTGGGTTTGGGGTTCGCACACAAAGACACAAACACATGTGGATACACTCTCACATCCCAGTTTCATACTGTATGCTGCATCATCTTCATCGACTCATTGCAATGGAAAAAGCCTTCACCGCCACACTGCTGTAACCAATTAATCAGTTGATTATCTTGGCACACGATTCCTACAGAGCAGTTGGATGTGCGACCGGTACGTGTAGTGTGCTGAATCGACCATTTGAGATGAATGAAAATGTCACATATGACGTGTCTGTGGCTATAGGTTACATATTGATGAGTGTGTGAGGGACAACATGCCTCTGGATCAATATTTGCCATTTCACCTTGGTTCACTGTTATATATTCATGGTTCTGGGATGCGTAAAAGCATATTCCAAGAGGACCAGAAGAGTAACCTTCCATTTATCTTCTTACAAACAAACAGAGTAAAATCCCACCTTCTACCATTAGCTTGATAACTAACGTTGTTTTTTGATTATGATTAAGGTCTCTGTAACACCGGGAATATGGCTTTTGTTATTTACCGTGAAAACTCCGATACTAGGTCAGAGACAGCAAAAAAACGTCACAATTTTTGTATTCTCCAGATTTAAATAAAACATTTCACCTCTTCAATAATTCTCCAATGGAAGCTTCAAGCAAAGCTCGTGCTGAGGATGCGTTGGGACGTCGCTAGACTGCAAACTTGGCAGCTCGGAATGTAACATGTTCAAAGTGAAACACAGTATTTTGTAATCTGTGCAGGTATGATGTTAATAATTCAACATTACTTGAAATACAAAAAAACATCAACATCTTTTAAAATCTTTTCACAGGGCACAAAGACGACAGAGCGTGGTATCAATGGAGGCCCTGGAAAGGCTCCTGTCTTTGTTACAGGGTCAGAGGGGACTCTGAGTTTTGAAATGACATTCAGGCTTGATCCTGTGGGATTACATTCAGTGCAACAGCAGACTCTTATAGGTACTTGGGTATCTGGCTCGACCGTTTGCTCACCTTTAACGTGCGCTTAAACTCACTGCTTTTCAAAGTTGGAGCCGAGATTGGTTTTCTGAACCGTGACAAAGATTCCTTTAACCACTCTGCAAAGCACCACCCTGTTAAAGTGACGGCCCTTCACATCTCAGACTACTGTCACGTAATCTAAAAGGTCCACCTCCCAAAGTCTTTTGAATAAACTCGATGCCATCAACCACGCCGCCATCCGCCGTGTCATTGGTCATCAGTCAACAATGCAACGTGAACTGTTAACTCCGTACCCGCAGATTAGTTCATCTATAAAACCATCATTGGCTACCCATAATCTCCAGCAGTAAAAGCAATTTACGCTCTAGCAATTACATCTACATAGTCATTCCGAAATTCTGCACCTCTTTTTGGTCGTTTCTCATTCCAGTTTTACTGCTCCAAGCGACTGGAGATGTTCGTAAGAGGGGATGAAGCTTCCGACCCTCGTCCCGTTACCCTCCGTCAATATCTCATTACAAACAAAAGTCTGATCGCTGAGACTGTTACTGAGTTTCCTCCTACTTTTCCAGTTGTGCATATTATGATGATGGCATTATTGTATGCAATTAATTGAGATGTTTCTGTTGTATTTCTTTGTGACAACTTGCTTCTCGATACTGCCTTTTTGGCCAGTCATGAAATTCGAAAGCTCCTACAATTTAATAAATTCACTTCTTGTCTTGCGGCCGACAATTTTAAAGCGGTGCTAAAATTGATAAAACACTTAATGATAACAAGTAAATAAACGTATTTCTACTTTCACGTATATAGCCCAATCTAGCTAGACAACGTAGAACTACCGACCACTACGTAAAGCAGAAGTCAGGTTTCAAGACAGGTATTTTAACATGTATGATTTTTCTCACTCACAGACTTTAATTTCTCATGCAGTATTTTCCAAATGGCACAAACGGGGTAATATAGAGCCACAGGCTGTCTGAGAAATCATTTCACAAGCTCAGCTCTTTAAGAGTCCTGAACCCATGATGAAAGGCTGATGGCGAAACCATATGGGGTTTGGCAGGATGTTTTTAATGAAAACCTAATTGGAACATGGTACAAACTTTGGTTATCCTTTCTGACTTCATTAAAACTGTTTGAGAATAGCCCGTTTTTTTAGTCATTTCAACATACAACACTGAAAAGTGTAAACTACTATGACTATTTACCCGCAGCTGACTTAGTATGTGACTAACTACATTATCTCGAGGTACATTGCAAAGAGCTTTCACCCATTAAGGAGACTGAAAGCAATATTCATTCAATTCTGCGGGGGCGCGCGGCTCATCAGTGTGTGGATACAAAGATCTTTTTAATTTGTTGTTTGGTTCAAAAGCTAAGCTAAACTAAAGCTTTTTATTGGATGAATGTGGAGCTGAAGAAAGAAAATCTCATAATTTCAGAGTCACTTGAATATATGAATGCATGGTACTGTAATTATTATCTTTTCATGTGACTGCATTACTAATTATGCCATTAGTCACACGCCCATTGCTGGCAATTTTGCTATCAACACTTCCGTTCAAAATTGAGTTTCTGTCTGTTGGTATCACCTGTTTTGGGGTTAATGGAGAAGAAATTCTGCGGGTTGCCAGCTGTGATGCGGTAACTCAGACGACTGGGGGTGGCCGTGAGGTCAGGGTCCTGCGCTTGGATACGGATGACTGACACATCCTTTGGAGAGTTCTCCATAATTACTGGATGGTAGATGGGATCCGAGGTGAGAGGAGCATTATCATTGACATCTTCTACCTGTGAGAGAAAGGGGCAGAAGGGAGAAATGGAGAAATGGTGAGCAGGACAAAGCGGAGAGAAGGAATCAGCCATGTTTTATCTCTGCTTTAACTGTCTTGTGTCTCTGAGTTGGATCTGAATTGACAATTGTTGTGTTGATTCTAAATCAGCATACATTTAGTATCTTTGCTAATCAACAACCGACGTATAGTGGTGCATGAGCTTGGTCTGGTCTGATCCTTTATCAATCACAAAATGGAAATTTATTTACCAGAAAATGTCATGGATGTCACCGCTCAAATGCACAGCAAATGAATTTTGCTGACTGCAGCATAGATCTACAATATTTATGGCAAACAAAGTGTTGATTGAGCGTTTGCCGCGAGCTACAGAGAGCCAAGATCGTTCAGCCAGTGAATGCGGAGCACCTGTGCCTGATTAATCTCCCTATTTCTGTGATGAACAGACTCGGAGTAAAGCGCCCGATCACCCCGCACGCCTGAATGTCCCCGAAGCCAATGTTGCAGTGGTGATGTGTGCATATGAGTGTTACAGTGGATTACTCAGTGCCAAATGGAATAGAAGCCGAAGCAGAGACTTCCCTCCAGTGCGTATCTCTCTCTCTCTCTCTCTCTCTCTCTCATTGCTGTAGTTATCCAATGCACTGAGCTCCATTAGCACCTCCGAGAGAAGTCCGAGGATCTTTGATTAGTTTCTTTGTAACAAAAAGTAGCCTTGAGATGTGAGACTTTAACAACAACAGGTACAAGCAAAGAAGGTAACAGCGGGTAGCAGCACCCTTTCATACAGTCACAGGCATTTTCTTCAGGATGGAAAGTTGTTGGATGTTATATGTTTGAAAGTTGCATAACATCTGGAGTGCTGGATGTGTAAAATATGGTGCACAAACACTATGAATATGTAATAAAAGCTGAAAAAAAAATCTTTTGGGTGCCTGGACAGGGTGGTCCAAACTATAATGTCATAATATATTTTTAGGCTTAAAAACGTTATTCTTTAACAGAGTGATGGAAGAGAAGCTAATGGAGAAACTGGTCTGACTTGGAGTACAAGAGTCAATTGCAAAGGGTAATGTTGATTAGCTCTTTTTAATTTGTAACGAACAACGTGCCTTTAATTTCATGTAAAAATATAAAGATGATGAAGTTGTTTTTTTTGATAATCTGTTATGGTTCCAATGTTTTAAATTCTCTCTCGCTCTCTCAAAATAAATCTGAGGAAATGATCATTTCCTCTTTGCTCATCCTCTTATGTATGCACGGCACAATATGCGGGTACCTGGAGGAAGACTTCAATGGATGCTGAAAGGGGCGTAACCCCTCTGTCTGTGGCAGAGACTGTAAGCCAGTAGGAGCCTTTTGTCTCACAGTCCAAGATACCAGCAGTGTAAATCACCCCTGTTGAAACAGAGAGAAAGACGAATTACTTCTTGAGAACACCTCAGGTTTATTTGTGGCGACACCGCGGGTGTCCTCCAGAGAAAACCCCTCAAGTATCTCACTGGGAAAGTTCTTGAATAATAACGTTACAGAAGGGATAGGCATAAATTTAGTGAAAACTTTTTTGTCCTGGCTTCAGTGATATTCACAGGCATTAGCGGCGCCGCTGTAGTCACCTTCAATGTTTCAGCTTCTCTCCGGCTAATCACAGCTGACTAAACTGCTCGCAGCTGCAATTTGCGTAGTGCCAAATGTACCCTGAACTGCTCTACACCAATACGGACACCCGCGCAGACACTCACCCATATTGACTGGCGTGTGTTTGGCGGCCTTAGGGTGACAAGTCGCTGACAGCTTTGGTGACCTCTTGAGGGGTCAAAGAGAACATTCCAAATGGATGACACACGGCTGAAATCACTCATGCGGGACTGTCAACGCGAGGGTTTAGGGTTTGCTCGTGTCATTTGTATACATTGTCAAAAGCGCTGAAGCAAAATGATGCAAGGTTGTGAGTGTAACATGTGTTTTATTTAAACAAGGACGCCGTCAGACAAAAAACATATTCATCTAATTACGCTACTTATATCAACATAAAATGACTCAAGCCAGCAGAGAATAAGCACCCTGAACCCATTTCAAAGGCGAGGGGAATAGTTGATGGATTTCTCCTCGGCGCGCACAAACTTTTAACTCAGCGTGAGTCCCAGCAAGAGGGGCTGCGTGCGTTTGTCAATGCTCGCAGAGCCTGTGTTCAGTTCACAAGCAATTAGCCCCAACAAGAAGCGAGGCGGAGCCGAGACAGGACACGTGAGAGAGGGTATATTTACTTTGTGTCTTGTATGACTTCCAAAACCTTCCCTTCCTGCCATTAAAGGCCGGTTGAAGTTGATGATGTTAGAGAGTTTATGAGTGTTGTATTCTATATATGATGTGTCAGTATTAACATTAGGATTTGATTCCTGCAGTGGAAGAAGGAGTATTTGGTGTTGGCTGCATGGACTAAATTCCTTTTTTTTTTAACATAAGCTTCATATGTGCATTTTTTTTCAAATGTACAAACTACTGAGGAAAGTAAATATCACTGTGTCAAATCTAGATTAGGCTTCTTCTTTTCCATACAGCGGATATGTGCTGTTCCCTGAACTTCATCCTTCCTCTCCAGCCTGATCTCCCAAACCTGTTCATGAAAATGTATACGGAAATCTTGAACATACAAATTCGTAGTGATACATACGAAATAAATACGGACTGCAACTGATGACGTCACCCTATTCAAAGTGAATGGGGACCTGCACCCCGTAAACTCACTTCGTGAAGTCTAACGATGTAAAATAAACGTGTTATGATTGCATTTTTAACGAGAAATCAATGTTAAATTGTAAGAATACAATACTAACCCTAACCCCCTCAAAAAATCCAACATGGCGGAGAAACGTTCACTCAAGAATCCGACATGGTCCGCCATGTTGTTCACTCAAGGGGCGTGGTTAACCACCGCCAGTTCGTATGTATTGTTACGAATTTGTATGTTCAAGATTTTCGTATACATTTTTACGAACAGGTTTTGGAGATCACGTTGTCCTCTCTTCCACAAATCTCGACCCGACATTCCGATGTTACATCGCACAACCATACAGATCCGTGACTTGGTTACCCGGCCGGTTTTACATTGTGTTGTAGCCTCATCTGCCCCGCGGCGTTAAGGTGTTATCTTATATCAGAAATTCACGTGTTCATGTTCACATCGTGACTGGGCAGCGGCCCCTGAGCATAGTAGCACCATGGCGCATAATAAAAGTGTTTGTTGAAACACATCTTTGCTGTGTCGTCCTTGACCACGTCCTTTTCAAACCACATCTCATCTCTGTCAGATAACTGTACCGAGAGAGACGAGGAAAACAGAGCTGGCTCTTTCAAAAGCTCTTTGAACTTTAAGACCGACAGGCGCTGTTCAGTGAATTCAATATAAATCTGTCTTGACAGCATCCATTTTTACGACAAGCAACACACTTCAAAAGGGTGAAAAAAGATTTGATGGGTCATGGCACATTTTCAAATCGAATAGATAACAATACGCTGGTGTTTACATCCACGTGTGAAGGTCTTCATTCTTGAGAAGCCGGTTTTGGGGCCTAATGAATGCTACCATGTAAAAAGAACCAATCCCGAAATGGATGAGAAATGTGTTTCTATGCATCATGAGGCACAGCTGAATAACTCTGTGTGTGGCAGAAAAAAGTAGAGCCTGTTCATTTTTAAAAACTTGCATGATGGATTGCTTAGAACTGTTTCCCTGTAACTGAACAACTGCTTTATCTTCCCTGTGACAACACCTGGGGCTTGCAAACCCACTAATAGAGGAGCAGCGGCTTCTGACAGTTGCCCAGTGAGAAATTGCAGGGCTTGCTTTCCCCCGAACCAATGACGAGAATACAAATGTTATGTTCAAAGTAAAGGGGCGCTCAGGATTTAAGCCAGAGAAAATCCTACTTCTTTTCTGATGGATAACCCCTGTAGGCTACTTTACTCCCATATAGGGATGAGGGATCTTAAGCATCCAAATGTTAAATGTGGGACTTTAAAAAACAGTCCAAAAATAAAAAAGACAGGCAATGGGTGTCTCGTAGGCTACATAAAATGCATCATGGAGCCAAATGACAAACTAGAGAAGGGGGGAATGCACATGTCAAGACAGGCTCAACCAAACGGATTTATCACACAATATCACAATATGAATATTTTTTTCTCTGTCCCTTTTAGTCACTCTCACTGTCTGTCTCACTCCATCTTCACTTAGTTCTGGCACCAAAAGCTACAGATTGACAAGTAGTCACAGCGGCTGTGGGCCACTCAACATGTCAGCTAAATGCATGGTCAGAGGACGGGCTGGTGCTACTCTGCCCGCGCCTGACAACACTGACTTCTAGAAGCTACCAGACGAAATTAAACACTCGATGACAGCGATGCCAAAAAGGACCAAGAGCTTTGCTTGCCTGTGATATTAGGGGGGAGAAATATCAAAAGACACCGCTTATAAAAGTTCCAGAAACACACACACACACAAAAAAAAATATATATATATATATATATATATATATATAGGAAGAAAGTAGTATTTTTTTCTGACACTTTTTATGTACTTCAGACTCCCCTGTATCCTCTCCCTTCCTCTCTTCGCTTCACTTCCACTTCAGTCCGCCTCCACTTTCTGCTCTAACAAGCACTCTGATTTCCCCTGGAAAATGCACTCAATAAACTTTCTCGTTTGCTGCCATGTGCCTTACTGAGCTTTTAATTCCAAAGTAAATAACCACAAAAGACTGTGGGGATCCGTCTGTGTGCTGCAACAGTGTTTTGTCGATGAGTGCAGAGTACAACACTGTACATAATGATGTATACATAGTCATATGTGTAAACACAGTGAGAGAGAAAGTGAGGGCAAGAGACATTCTCTCCATTTGTCGAGCTGATTCTCCCTCACTCTCTCTCTCTGTCTCTCAACTAAAGTCAATACTAATTAGCCCAGTTAAAGGTCAATACAGGCCTCCAGTGAGTGCAAGTCATGTACAGTAGTGCCCATAGTGACAAGAGGTGAAGAAACAGGCCAGAAATAAAAAGTAAGAGCTAAAATAAACTCTAATTGCTATAATAGATCACTAGTCTTTACTTTTTTCAGCCCTGTGCACATTGCCATCTAGTGACAATGTATTTTAGAGGTTACTGTTGTATATACCATTGTTCTAATTATATAAGTACTACTGACAGTGGGTTTATTATTCATCTTAAAGTTTTCCAAATTTGTGAAAAAATATTTTCAGAACTTTTTTTATGACGGGTCTAAAGATCCCATTATTCCCATTATTCCCATTATGATTCTCAGTCAGCATGTCTAGGTCAATAATAATATATTAGCCCCTTTCTTACATAAGAACAGTACAAATTAAATGATAGCACTTATCATGTTGCTTTGAAATAATTGATCTAGTTACATTCAATATGAAATCAATAGAGAATGCAGGCAAGACCCACATTAATTATTTATACAGGAAAGTAAAATTCATACAATTTGCATGCATATCCGTGAATATAGGATTGGTTAGTGGTAAGACTTGTTATCAGGGGTCATTATGTAGCACTGAAATCACTCCTGAGTACCCTATAGATCTGAGTGAACGAAGCACTGATTTTTAAGCTCGGACTTTGAATGTTTCAGTCCCGTTGACAGGGAATCATAAAGTTTACAGGTAGTTTTAAACACTTTAGCTCTGCGGATGGACAAAGGAAACTTTAACAAAAAGCCTTGATGGGGAAGAAAGCGCTCTCACTTACAGCCTTTTGTGTTGAAAAATCAACCATGACGACATTGGTTTTATTTCTCAGATGGTAATAAAGCACATTGCATTCCTACATCACGGTTCACTGGGCTTTGAAAGATGAGTTTGGTTAATATATTTAATTCATATATTCAATTCCGCCTTCTTACAAAGTTCTTCAAATTAAGTGTTATGTTAACATGTAAGAAAATAAAAGATTATATTTTAATAGATAATACATTTTTAAATTGCATCGTTAAATAGACTCAACCCTGGGGCAATATTGATTTTGCCCCGAGCTTGCGCGTTGTTTTGTCTGGGACAAGGACAGGGTCATTGAGAGATTTGAGCAGAATTCCTCTTCAAATAATCCTAAATAAACATGTTCTGGTAAATACATATTATAGAGATATATAGAGAGATATAGAAGTGGATAGCAATAGATATATAGGTTTTGGATTACATCATTCCTGGATGTTCGCTGAAATTGATTGGATAGCCCCACGTAGAACATTTTCCACTGGCCGCCACTGCAATTTATAAAGTATATACGGGAGATGGGGAGTGAGAGAAAGTTGTCCTTCACATGTGCCAATATGAACTTATATGAACTGCCCTATTTTCATACTGGATATTTGATTTGATTTTCTCTATGGGTGAGTGCGTCAAAGCCTCTTGTTTTGCATCAACTCGATTTCCGCTGTGCCTTGACACTGCAGGAAAGTTGGAGACAACTGCATGCTTTTTTTGAAGAGGGGGTGGAGGGGTCAGATTTCTTTTAGTAAGTCCCAGAGATTTCACTCCTTTTGGAAATGAAATGGTGGTGCTGTGCAGAAAAGCCTTTATCAATGTTGTCCACACAGCACTGGATCGGTTGTACTGAGCAGCCTGAGGCCCAGTCTTTGTAGCTGCCATGCTGCCCTCATTACAGTAATGATCTCCCAGTGCACAGCTCCGACGTGAAGCCTGCACGGACTCTGACTGTACCTCGGACTCACTTCACCTCTCTCCCCCAAATACAAACATGTATGGTATCGAGTGGTGATGCTCTCTCAAATGTATTGCAAACATTAATGTAGTTGAGCAACTACTACACACGTCAAAGTCATCTGCAAAGGCGCAGAAAGGGTCAGATACACAATGATTAACAACGCGTTTGAGTGTTGACATTCCAAACATGGCCCTTAAGTTATTGGATTTCCACTTTACATAAATAGGTTTCAGAATTGATCTTTTGTCTTACCTGTGTCTTCATCGATGGTGAAAGTGCCTAGTCCGCTGCCACCTCTGATAGAGTACCTCAACACCCCATCTCGGCCCTTATCGTCGTCCTTAGCGTTGACTGTTAGGACACTTGTACCTGCACGGGAGTTCTCCTTCACTGAGCCTCTCAGGGCAAAGTCCGGAAAGTAGGGTGCATACAAATTTTCATTGACATCCACCACCTGAGAAAAATGTCATTGCTTTAGTTTTTTTTGAAATTGTGAAGATATGCATTCAAGCACAGCATGGTTGTACAATAAAGCATTCCACCAAATTACCCTCATTTCTTTTAATTACACTACAGCTAGCAGCCATGCATTATGTATTTGGTAAATATATTTTTTTACTTTAATAGTTCACCCTTAATGGTCCCTTTCATAAAATGAAATGGACTGAACTGAAATGGAGTAGATTTTCTTTCTTTACTAAGAATACAAATGAAGGGAGCATTAAAAACATCAGTTTGGATTTACACACCTCCACCTCCACAAATGTCTGACTCTTGAGGCTGGGTACTCCTCTGTCCTCAGCAGCTACTGTCAAGTTAAAAAGCTGTTGTTTCTCAAAGTCCAACTCCTTCCTAATCCTCAAAACTCCGCTCACAGCATTGATCTGTACAAGGCATAACAAATCATAATCCCATACATAATGATCTGTCAATGAAACAAAGATCAGCATATGCAGTATAGACAACACAAACAGTGACATCACCCACCTCAAAAGTGCCATTGAAGTCATTTCCCAAGGAGTATCGGACCTGTCCACTAGGCCCTAAATCTAGGTCCTGAGCCTGCACCCAGGTAATCACAGCCCCTGGAGGAAGGTCCTCTAGCACTCGAGCACTATAGCTGCTAGGGATGAAAGCTGGGCCGCAGTCATTGACATCCTCCACTATTATACTGAGAGTAGTCACTGATGACCTTCGACTGCCCCTTTCAGCCTTGTCTCTCACTTCAATCTTCAATGTAAACATTGGGGTGGTTTCTCTGTCTAAGTGGCTGGAAACAAATACACTTCCAGTTTCGCTATCAATACCAAACTGAGGGACCTTGGTCAGCATCACGTAGGAAAGCTGCCCATTTTGCCCCTTGTCTCTGTCGATTGCAGTCATGGTAATAACTTCAACTCCAATCGCAGAGTTTTCTGCCACAAGAGCCGAGAAGCTGTTCTTATGAAACTGTGGGTCGTTGTCATTTACGTCATCAATGATCACAGTGAGTAGTCTCCAATTGCACATCTGAGGAACACCCTGATCGTAGATGGTGATGTTAAGGAAGTAACGATCCACTCGTTCGCGATCAAGTGGATTCAACAAAGTTATCAACCCTTTCTGCATGCTGATGTTAAAACAGTTCTCTTTGTTACCTTCAGATATTGAAAAGAGAACGCGGCCATTGAAGCCTATGTCGCCATCTCGTGCTCTCACCTGAAATACACTGGCCCCAACCGCAAGGTCTTCTTTCACCAGAATACTGGTAGGTAAGGCCTCAAACTGCGGCGTGCGTTGGTTTATAGAGTAAAGGTCTGTATAAATCTCATCTCTTCTTGGTCGCGCCATAGCAGACACTTTTGATACCATTTTTTCTGCCAACAGCTGGGCTACCCTGGTCTCCTTGCAGTTGAACCCCATGGGTGGCATCCTTCCCCTCACCACAGATACATTTACAAATGTAGGATCAGAGCTTATCTCCCCATCTGTTGCCATTATTTTCAGGTTGAATGTCCCACTTTTTAAACTAGCCAATCCAAACGATCTTTTTAGAGACAAAGCCCCAGATTCTGCATTTAAGTTAAAATAGTCTAACTCGTTCCCAGACAGTATCTTGTAGGTCACCACACCTAGCTCGTCCATGTCCACAGCTGACAAAGTGACAATAGTCTGGCTGACAGGAAAATCTCGGCTTATCATCCCTTTGCAGGAGACTCTCTCAAAGAGAGGCTGATTGTCATTTATATTTGTCAGACGAATAGTGACATTAACTTCACTCTCCCTTCTGTAGGGTGAACCCCAATCAGAGGCCCGCACTGCAAAAGTATAGATATCAACGGATGACTCAAAGTCTAGGTCTGTTGTGATCCTCACCTCTCCCGTGTCCTGGTCTATTGTGAACGGAAGATCCTGTTCGCCCCTTATCGTGTGGGTTACATAACCATTTTCTCCTTTATCAGCATCCACGGCTGACACTACAAGGGCAACGGTGCCTATAGGTAGGCTCTCGTTGATCGCAATATCATAGAACGGCTTGTTGAAGGCTGGAGAGTTGTCATTTGCATCAACTAATGTGATTTGGACCCTCGCTTGCTGCTGACCGATGATATCAACCACCTCCATCTCCATGAAATCCTGTGATATCCCTGTCAGCTGCCTCTTGGTCATAATAACTCCAGTCAAAGGGTTTATATCAAAGTACATTTGATCTGAGGGGCTACTGAAGCTGTAATTGACACCCAGAGGAGCTGGGGAGATTTTCACCACCTCTACAATAGTGCCTGGAGGAGCAATTTCACTCAACTGGACTACATAAACATCCCTCTCGAAAGTCGCCAACACTGGCTCTGGCTTTGAAACCAACAACTGAACAAGTTGAGTATTCGAAAACTTTGGCGGTATGCCCCTGTCTTTAGCTTGGAAGGTCAAGTTGCAGCCATAGGGGAATGTATCCCAGTCAAATAATTCTGATGTTTTAACCCGATACTCATTCCCGACAGGCGATCGATCAATCACAAATTGTTCAAGAGGGTCACCCTCAATAATGGACACCCACTCTATATCCCCAGATACCCCTTCGTCTTTGTCCTTCACAGTCATTATGGCATAGACTGGGTCCTTGTCTGCCCATGATGGAACAACAGCAACTGCTTTAAGAACAGGGGCAAATTGGTTAACCCGCTCTATGGTCAGGACCAGCCGAGCAGTGCTGCTGATACCATTGTTCCCGTAGAGTTTCATTCCTCTGTCGACCACCTGCACCTCCAGCTCAAATCTGTCTTGTTTGTCCATCCTGGGCCGACCTGTCAGGGTGAGGACTCCGCTGGTGGGATGAACAGCAAAGAGTTCTACTCTGTTCTTGAAGAAGTAGTAGAACTCCCCGTTGGAGCCCACGTCGGCATCTGTGGCTGTTACACGTCCTATGCTGGCACCCAGGGGGGCACTTTCAGAGACAATGAATGAATAGGAGGTAGGGGAGAAGAGAGGTCGGAGATCGTTGGTGTCCAAGACCTTGATATAAACAGTGGCTAAGGCCTCTAGGCCTCCATGGGAAGATGCCTTAACTGTAACTGTGTAATTGTCCTGCACCTCCCGGTTCAATGTTGCACCACTGCCTCCGTTAGTACGTATACGTAGAAAACAAAAATCTCCAATTACAAACTCCTCAGCCTGGAAGATTCCTTCACTGTCTCCAGAGGAAATAGAATACTTGATGTCTAAAGACCGAGGTGGCCCGAGAAAGATGCCCATTTTGACATCACTGCTTGAATAGGTTCTTGCCGCAGAGTTCTCGAAGATGGAAGCGTTATAGGTAGGCTGGGTAAAGAGCAGCAGACCTTGTCCTGCCCTTGGTTCTGTCAGGAACTGGGCATGGGTGGAAAAAAAACTGAGAAAGAAGAAGTATATACAACAGAAAAGAAGAGAAAAGCTGGGTAGAGGAAGCATATTTCCCCACCGATTATGCTTCATCATTATTCCATCACCCAGTCACTCTATATTTGGAAAGAATAACAAAGAAAAACAGATTCAGTTGCTGAAGACATGCACTCTGCATGCTAAAAACCTGGTGGAGAACTGCAAAAAAAGTTAAAAAGAGCTTTCAGGGGTAATGCTTATCGCTACGGGGAAATGATATCAATGTTGTGTTTCAACAGTTTGCATTCAAACACAGAATATTGCACCCCGAAAGGCTCAGACGCAGAACTGACATATCTTTAAAGAAACCACATCAAAGTACAGCGCACTTACACAGCCTCAGTGAAACACATGTCACAGAATAAAATAACAGGGATCAGCAGCAAGGGCTTCAGCTATACTGACAACCAGGGTTCGGTATTTTTACAAAAGAAAATGTATGGGCCAAAGGACAGAAATCTGAGAAACATCATTCGGCACAATTTCCCAAAAAGGCTTACAAACAAATTAGTTTTACAAATGAAACACCCTTTTAAAGAAGTCTGCATTTATGGCGCCTGCATCATTTAACTTTAGAAACTGCAGTGCTATACTGTTCAGTAACAGTTTTAGAAGCCTTACTTGACTATTGTTGTACCTTTTACTATTCTCACTGATGTATGTGACAACAGAATTTACCAATCACTTTGCAGATTTAGATTACCGAAACAAAATACATATCATCTAATTAATTAAAATATTCTCGATTATAGGACACCCTTTTGGAACCATAGGGATATCTAAACATTAATACATCACAAATCACTAATTTTACGTGTACTTATACGCATTATCTGATGGAAATACGTTTGAAGTCTACTTTTGCTTTCAAATCAAATCTGAATACAGGACTTTGGTATTTTTTATTATTTTACATGTGCATATTCTACTACACAGTAGTAGTGTTTAAACAGCCGCGTGCGCGGGTGTGGGTGTGTGTGTGTGTGTGTCTGTGTGTATGTATAAATTGATTATATAGAATCTGCCCGATAACACTGCATGTAGAACAAAGAATAGATTAATGATAGCACCAAATAGGCGACTCACACTTAACGTTCCCCACAAGGTGACTGTCCCAGGAGATCTTGTGGTGGATTTATCGTCTCCCATGTTGATGCAGATGCTATGGAGCTCGCTTCCTTGCAAAAAAACCCGAGTTTATTAAGCTACGGTCTGCAGCAACAATATGTAGCGTAATGATATATTATTGTACACAGACCTCACGCACAAATCGGAGCGCGTCCTACCGTTAGACGAAACAGCCGAAAGTAAAATCCCTTTCCATGTCCTCTCCGACAGTCAGGGGGGAACATTAAAACAAAACGAAGGAAATAATCGCGCAGAAGTCGATGGCGACATGGACAATTCATGTGCACATATCCCGATAGGCAATCATCTACGAGGCTGCGGTGATCCTCGTAAAACTAAAAAGCTACTGCCCCAGTTTCCCTGCACCTAACTAATGTAAGCCGGAGTGCAGTGGGCTACTTTGTCTTTATCTTTACTAGTTTACCCAAAACGGTGGTTAAACAAATTGCATTATTTTGCCGATCGGGGTTAAGGTCCGACACGTAGTATTAAAAACATTTCGTTGAAGTTAGGAAGCGGTCAGCATCAGTTGTCGGACGAGTGGGACCGCTGGGCGCTCTCGGGATGGAGGAGGCGGGCTCTGTGAGCGCCGATCTTTGCCGAGTGCAGCCGACGACTTCCGGAAGTGTTCGTGCAGCAGTCTGCGGCTCCCTGACTACACGCGAGCTTTTAAGGGTTTACTCACACATCTGGGTACAAGTTAAAATTATTCCATCCGCCACCATGTCCGTTTTGTGTTATAATACCGGATGTGGGCAGCGATTTGATCCCGAAAACAACCCAGACGGTGAGTAGTATCTTGTTTAGCTAACGCTAACTATCGCCTTAGCCGGTCTGTTAGCAAGCTAACGTTCAACCTCTGAGGAAACATCTAGAAATTTCTGCAGGCCGGTTGGGCCCGTTAGCTAACTTTCTGTAACAGCGTAGCTGACTGGACCCTAAACAGCAACACATTCATTCACTAAACGCCGCGGTGAATCTAATGACACACCATTTTTGATTCTTCACGGCGATTTTAAACATCTTAAAGCTCGTGTGGTTTTTAGCTCCAGAAGCATCGTCTCCCGTACGGGAGACCCAGTACTTTTGGTTTAATGTTTCAGAAACAAGTCACTCAACGTTTTCACTCATTTTCCGTTATTTTCCCTACAACAACGATATCAGTGGTGTTGCGAAAGGAGAGTAAAGTTTTTGTTTGACTTGAAAGTAAATAGAGTAACCGGCGGTAAACAGCGAGGTCCCCAATGAGGTGCTTAGCTAGGTGTACACGGTTTGTATATTGTGTATATATATCGTATATTTATAGCTTACCTGCATCTCATCATACAGAGATGCAAAACAATGAGCATACTGGGTAAAGCTGTATTTACAAGATGCTATTGTTCTTTTGTACAGTGCAAAGCATGCTCATGTCTCCGGATCTCAAAACATCTGAGGAACATCTGTAATATTTAAAATAAAACACCCTCGTCCCCAAGAGCAAACCTTTCATTCCCATCTCATTCCCTTTTATTGTGTTTGACGCTGCGTCATTAGTCACAGGTGGGCCACATATCGGTGTCATTACTTTTAGGGGTAGGTAAGGAGGGTAAAAGCCCACAACAGGCTGCACTGGAAGGAAAACGCTGGACATTTGGTGTCAACCAGACAACTTGTTCCTTCTTTTTTCAGCCGGCAGCTGAAGACCATGCGGTACGAATATGGTCAATTTCAAACGACCTAATTCGACAAATGATTCAGTATCAGTGTCTCTTTTGGACCAATCTCTTTCACGTCGATTCTTTATGTTATGGCCAGATGTGTGCACGTATACTCTTTTAAGCCTTTTATCGTGGGGAAAGAGTTGTAAGGTTTTTTTCCTCACGGAATGCTTGTTTACCACCGGTTTTAAATGACTACAGTTTATTTGTGGTTGTTTAAATCTAAAAATAACTTTTCACATTTTATGGTATACTCTGAAAGTTGAATGTTTTTTAGCTAGAACACATAAAACATAGTTTTCCTGTTATTGTAGTCTGGTGTAGGTGACATTGTTCCTTTTATCACCATATATATTTCCTCCAAATTCATCAAAGTTGTGCTCTTTCTAACAGATGGCTGCATCTATCATCCAGGAGTCCCAGTGTTCCACGACGCATTGAAGGTAAAGGATCAGAAAGTGTACAGTTGGCTTTCTGTCTTATTATTTGGAGTTAATGTCTGTCTGACTTTCTCCAGGGATGGTCCTGCTGCAAGAGAAGAACTACCGACTTTTCGGACTTCCTCAGCATTGTTGTAAGTCTTACTTTTGGTTTTGATCCATACCTCCAGTCCTCTGAGGTCACGTTTCCATTGTCTGTTGTTTTCATCGGCATTGACTGCCACCTTTGCTGTGGTGGTATCGGCCTGAGCGCTCAGTGTTTGTTGGTCTGACGCAGAGACTTCCTCTTCCCCAGGGCTGCACAAAAGGGCCCCACAACAAGGAGAAGCCCCCCGAGCCGGTGAAACCAGATGTGACATCGTCAGGAGAAAAGAAAGACGCAGATGACCAAAAGCCAAAGTTTAATGAGTACATCATCTCGGCCCCAAAGCCTCAGGAGGCGATCCGCAGACCAAGGTTGTACATATTGCTTTTTATATATTTCAATCATTGCCGTAGGAAATTGTCCTTATTCCCTGAGTATAACAAAACAAAACTACTTATATAATGCAACAATTTATCAAATCACATTTGCAGGAAAGAAACAGGCCGAAAAGAACACGTTTTCATTCAGTACATAAACAGGGCTTACAGTTTAAAACTATATATATATAAAATCCATATTAACCCAGATATTATGCTTCTACGTATTCTGTTTTATTGTCAAATGTGTTAACGGATCGGTGCAGTAACCAAGTTATTAAATCACCCTGAATATTGAGGATCCAGAGGATAGTCAGACGTGTTCTCCAGTCTGTCCCATTAGTACTGAATAGTCCAGGCTCGGTCTTAGCTTTGCCACATACAACAGACCTCTTTTTGAGGTGTTATTGCAGATAATGCATTCCTTACTTAAAGTGGGAAAAATACCCTTTCAAATGGTTTTCGATTAACAAATAAATTACGAGGAAATCAATTCCGTCCCTTACATTTTCTAGTTTCCAGTTTTGATTCTAACAGAATTGTGGCGGTTTTGCAGTGCTGATGAGCCGATGGTGAGATTGCAGCATAAAGTGTCTACTTCTCTGAAGCAAGCTCTGGAGAGACTGAAGCTTTCTGAGAATATGGCAAAGGAGAAAGGTAATAGCACAGCGTTATCTTCCCCTTCTTTCTCCTCGTTTCTTTAGCATGTTTCTGTTTTTGGTCCTCTTTGCCATAGACATGTGTACCATCCATTACCATCCTCTTGTTGCTGCAGCAGACAGGAAGGTCATGTTGACAGGGGATGTTAATGGATGGCCTCTGGGAGTTCATGGCGTTTGAGTCAAAGATGGCAGGGATGGGGCAACGCATCACAGATGCAGATGTATTTTTTAGATTCAAACATCCAACTCAGTGTCACTCCTTTTCTGTCCTTGGTTCTAGAGGACGACAATGACGAGATCAAGATTGGAACATCCTGTAAAAACGGAGGATGTACTAAAGTAGGTGAATGTGTTACTCTGTACTTGTTAAATCCTGCTCACCTAGATTGTCATGGTGTTGAAACGGTTACACGACTATATCTTTGTCCATTCCTCTGTCGGGCTTTGGCAACTGCAGATTACATTTTTCATGGATTTACTTTAAATTCATCCCGAAATTTCCACCAAATAAGTTTCGCCTTGTTCTTGATTTGTAAGCCAAATTCAATTGACGTAGTGCAAGACATCTATGGCAGATTTTGTTAAATGGAAACGTAAACGAATCACAATATTGGCCAGAGCTCAACGCTCTGGTGAAATAGATGCAGCTCCTCCTCCGCCCCCTCCATGTGTGCACTGAGGTGGATGTAACGCTACACCCTTGCTCAAGCTTATCTGGCCTGTCAGAGCAAAAAAGCCCAAGATTAAAACATAAATTGTAAAGACAATTTGCATTGGCTGGTTTTGTTGGCACTTGGAGTGGGACCTAAATGTTTTAAAACCGTTATGTGAATCACTTTAGCTGACTTGATTGAAAGTCACGGGTTATTTTGTCATGGGTTTCTTGCCTTCTATGGTTGCATGTTTCCAAAGTCACAGAGAACAAGATATTGGTCTAATTCATTCTCACAATGAATCTATATTTATCTGCTATCAAAAACTATTTACTTCAGTTTACTTCTTTTGAACCACGCCTTCTCGCTGTCGTCTTTAGAGCTTCGATGGACCGGCATGCGATTCGGACGTGTGCCTATACCACTCTGGGTTTCCTATCTTCCATGAAGGGTAAGTAATACCACGTTTCACGGCATTGACATGAAGTAGCAGATGATCTCCGGATGCTGTAAAAGAAGCGTGATGAGTGACACTCAGGATTTCCCTGTTGGCCGAGTTCACTGGTTTTCTTGAGTGGCATGTTATTGGCTGCGGGAAATCCATGCGAGTGAACGTCTCTCCTGCCTCTCCAGGATGAAATACTGGAGCTGCTGCAAGAGGAAAACATCCGACTTTAACACCTTCCTCTCCCAAGAGGGCTGCGCCAAGGGAACACATGTATGGAGGAAAAAGGACGCGGTGGGTTTGACAGCGAGTGATGGTCTATGCGTGCGAGTCCATCTGAGAGGAGACTAAATTGTGAATAACCAAACGTTGCCTTGAAATGCCGTCATATGAACTCTCCTCGCAGGGTAAGAAAGTGGTTCCGTGTCGGTCGGACTGGCACCAGACGGGCTCGCAGGTCATCATCTCCATCTACGCCAAGAACGCTGTCCCGGAGCTCTGCTACGTGGACGCAAACAGCACCACAGTGAGGGAGGGGGCACGACCCGCCCCGTCAATTTCTGTCCGTCCCTACGCTGCTTTGTTTCTTTTCAACCAAATGTCTGTTTCCATTTTCTCCTTCAGCTCGACATCCACATCATATTTGAGGGAGAGAAGGAATTTGTGCAAAAAATCAGGTTGTGGGGAGTAAGTAGAGCATCACTTGATACGCATGTCTTATTAATATTGGAATTGCTACTGATCTTCACAGTTGTAACTCAATATGACAGTATTTGTGACTAGAAATCATATTTCCACCAGACCAATATGGCTCATAAGTCCATATACTTTAGCTGCTGCAATATAGACACATACCGTCACTTTCCCTGTTGTCCTTTTACCTCCCGATAAAAAAATAATGAAATGAAACACATCTCATACGCACACCAAGGCTAATTCATCTCACGCACAAAGACGACACGTGGAACATTCTGCAAATCCGTCGAGTAGGTTTGATATACTGTTCACCCCGAACGTGAACATACACCAAACATAACTCGTAGCTGCTCAAAACTCACTCCTGTTTTGTTTTTATGCACAATCACCTTTCTGCCAAAGGCACTGAGCCACTTCTGTCACACGTTCCCTTCCCCTTGCAGGTGATCGACGTGAGTAAAAGCATCGTGAACATGATGGCCGCCAAGATTGAGATAGCCACAAAGAAGTCCGAGCCCATGTCGTGGGCTCGCCTGGACCTTCCTCCCCCGCCCCCGCCCAAGGAGCAGCAGCAGGAGGAGAAGGAAAAAGGGGAGTCGGAAAGCGAGGATGAAGATGAATGATGAGGAATTACAATAAAAAGATAGTGTGTATACTTTGCTGAATCAAAGGCCATGTAGTCCATTCCTTACCTCCTGCAAAGAGTTGCCTTTTTTGCTCTCTTGGAACTTCCGCATCTGCGCTTGAACATTACAGGGTTTCCCTTTTCATTCTTAGTTGTCGACTTTCCTGGTTTTGCCTGATGTTTTGGTTTTAATTGTCATTTCGAATGCTCAAAAATCTCCCAAGTGATATTATACTGATTGATAGTTAGCGTAACTGACGATTAGCTTGTTAATTGCAATCAAACTAGATTACTATGGGACACGTAAAGCCTTTTTTATGTGGAGCGCTCATAACGAGTCATTGTAATCGACCCACATTCCATCCTGTGGTTTAACAAAGTGTTTAAATTATTGCTTTGATTGTCCATTTCTTTTACATCAGACTAAATCTTGCAATTTTATACCTGTATATTTCCATCTGTATGACAATGAAGGTAATCTGTGTTGTTAGAGTAAGACATTTGGATCTTAAGATTTCTGCAACTGCATTATGTGGATTTATTCTGAATAAATTGTTTAAAGCAATAGAATTTGGCACCCAACCACCTTTTTCTTTTTTGCAATTTAAATAATGAAAGTTCTTAGTTTTTTTTTTTTTACATGACCATATTGTATATTTTGTGCAATTTTTGCCCCGAAAAGCATCCCGGCTGTATTTTATGTCCTCATTTCTTGTCAAAGCAATCTAAAGACAATTTTCTAAAGAGAATGTACTGTACTATCTGAGAATGGCAATTGAATACAATGTATTTTTAAGCAAAGTAGGCCTGCTTTATTATAAAAGTTGTGCTACATCAGTGGTTCTCGAGGTTGGTGTTGACGTCGCATACGCGTTGAGCCACTTGTGAATGCACACAAACGTAATAAGATCTATTTAAAAAGCAAACGATATCACTGGGATGTAATTGAAATTGCCCGGTTTGAGAACTACTTCATATATAGGCTGCATGTTTCAAAGGCTATGAATGTATGAATTGCATTGGGATAAATTAGGTGACTCCCAGTTAAGATTATTAGGGAACCAATTTATCTTCCTACAAATAAACTTTTGTGTTGAACTTTCAAAAGTGGGGTGTGTGTGATATTTCATACAAAATGTATACATACCAGGTAGTGTTTCGAGTGGTATTAAAGGTGACACTTGTCTTGAACTAAATGGGGTTTGACCTTTCAAGTGAGGACTTGGATCCACTTGCATATTTGTAAATTGCAGTGACTTTTGCAAATGTCAAAGTTTTTAAAGCCATGACATCACTCTGAGATTAGAATATGGAAGCACCTCCCGATGTTCTGGCAGTGTCTCAGACCGTGACATCCATACAGACACTATCACCTTCCTGCCTTTCCAGAAGCACGTCTCACACCACAAACATGAATCAATTTAAATGTTAATTAAACGTGGTTCAACTCAACTCCCACACAAAGATATTAAAAGAAAGTCCCCCAAGGCTTTGGTGAATTCATCTAAAGAGTTTGTGTTTCTGACTGTGCAGCAATTAGATTCATTTCTTCACTTTAAATGGCTGCATACTGTACATGACGGATGCAATAAACTGCCAAAACTTATTTTGAAGCTAATCAGCTAAATCCACGTTAACCATAAAGAATAACTGTGAAAAGTCATTTTGAAACATGTTACAGAAAAGTCAATTTCAAGATTTTCTCCATTAACATTTTACTCTTGATAAAGTTTAAATACCTTGACAACAAATATTGTGGACATCATCACAGTGAGTTAATAATAAGTATGTTAACATTAAAACGTTAACATTCCTACACAGAACATCCCCCTGGGGGGCTTCACAGAGTTGTCTGGTAGTTACGCTGTTTGGTTTCCTCTGAGTCACTGCAGATAAGTGGCTGTCTCTCCGGGACGGCAAATAAGTGTTTCCACTTGGTCACACGCAACCAAGGCGACGCTGCGTATCGCCGTCTCACAGTGAGGACGGCAGCAGCTGTGGTCACCGCTGCGATTCCTCCGCAGAGCCCCGCCAGCAGGAGCCAGGGCCACACGTCCCGCAGTTCCTCCAGGTAGGGACGCATGGATTCTGCCAGCCTCTGGTCTGGATAAAAGAAACGATGGAAGTAGCCCCCGGAAAATTATGCAAAATGTTTGCATAAAAGTAAAAAAAAGTTTTTAACACACTTTAGTTGAAGCTCATAGATTTCAGAAAACGCAATTGGAAGTAAAAAATGTAGTCTGTTTTTTTCTGAAAATACCAATTCATGTGTAAAATAGAGAATCCGAACTTACTAGCACCTAGCAGATATGAATATTCATATCCAAATTCCTTGCTGGAGATGAAGAATTCCCGGTTCCTATGGAGAGGCAGGAAGGGCACCATGTTGTATTCACTGTTGTGCCCTATAGGAGCATCCGAGTCTGGGTACTGGGATGGAGATGGTCTGTGCCTCCTGAGCCACTGCTCATAAATGCTTCCATAGAAAACAAAAACAATGCCAAGCAAGTGTGTGAGTTCACTCCAGTTACAGAATGTGTGTCTTCGTTTTTGTGTGTAGGTGTGCGAGCGTCTCACCTGTCAACAAAAGCGTGGTGGAGAAGGAATATGGGGTCGTTTGCTGAGCCCTGCACTGAGGACATGGATCCGTTCATGAACACGTGCAGGGCGGCGTGCATGCCCATGCGAGAACTGTTTCCCACCCCAGTCCGAGGATCCCCGAATCCTAATGACAAGTATGTCAAAGTTTGTGTTTGCAAAAGCTGGCTGCACGCGGCGGCTTGGAATACAGAAGCTCTTTGTTGTAAAAATTAGATACATTTAAAGATCCATAGTATTACATACCAAAAAGTGTGTTTGCGTGTGTGTGTGTGTGTGTGTGTGTGTGTGTGTGTGTGTGTGTGTGTGTGTGATTTTAAAGTCAAGCTTATCTGACCTTCCAGAGTGTTCCTGAAGCTCATGTTGGCACCGCGGTCCATGGCTCCGGTGTCATAGTCGGGCAAACTGAGAGTGAACTCCACCTCCGCAGAAGTCGGTAATCGTTCAACCACGTTACGGTTGTGGTTTCCAGGGTTACGGCGCAATGGGCCTTCTCCCCGAGCATCACACAGGATACCTCTGTCACTGTAATCGTTTGCTCGGGAGCACAGCACCTGTTGATGGAGGCACACAGCAATATAGACAATATATTGCTGCATAATCACACACGTAAATTCAGTTGCTCCCCCACTGACTGTCTCTGACATTCCACCGGTCACTTTCTGTTCGCTGGTGCACTTTATTTTTAATTCTAACATTTTTTGCTTTTTAACTTTTATTCCTATTTTCAAACTAACCCATAGCCTTATATTACTAACCCATGGCATTGTATTTTATTCCTCTTGCACTGTTGTCTTGTTGTCCATTGTCGTACTGTCTGTTATTCACCAACCGCCAAGTCAAATTCCTTGTATGTCTGACGTATTATGGCAATAAATGTTTCCTGATTCCTGATTGTCGCCACTTGTGTCCCGCTGCTTGAAATGAAGTCACAACGAGTTTGAAACTGGCCCTACTCTTGCATTTACTGTGTTAGGAGAATGACAATCCTCTTGATCGTGTATGTTTGGATCAATCAGCCAAAGGTTCAAATGTCCTGACTTCTTTTTTACTTATTCGTTTATAGTTTGGCTATACAGTGAGCCACCATTTCTATTCCGTTTAATTCCTTTATATTTTGTATATTATGTTTTAAGAAAAAAGGTCTGTATGTGTACAGATTATAGGGGCCACATCAGAACTGAGTCCTACTCTTAATAGTTTCAGTAAAAAGTGAGCCTCATACATCAGTCCCCTTATTATTATTGTATTATACACACGTGCGCGCACACACGGTTGGAAAATGTGTCCGCCCCCACCTTCCAAAAAAAGTTGTAAACCACGGGGAAACACTGCTTATCACATGCAGGTCATGCGAAGAGAAGGGGCCAAAGGGAAGAAAGGACCACTTTATTACGTTTTTACTTGACTGTGTTTACCGTCCAAGAAGAGAAGACGGAGCCTGGGCTGAGAAGACTGGGATCCCGGGGGCTCCGGCCCCCCATCAGCTCGTCGGTGCACACCTCACACCCCTGGGCATCCCTCCAGTCCCAGTACGGGATGCTGAAGCCGTCGTCCCCGGTCAGCTTCCTGATCTCGTGCTCCCAGTGCAGCAGGTACAAGCGGTGCCACGGGAGGAACGCGGGCGCCCAGTGCGCAAAGTCCACGTCGGTCCACACGTTCCCCGGGCCGCCCAGCAGCGCGCTCCGCGACACGTAGTAATGCATCCACACGAACACGTCGTACGAGGACACGTCCGCGAAGATCGGGTTGGAGCCGTTCTCCATCTCCCGGTAGGTCCCCGTGGCCACGACGTAGTCCCTGCTGATCGTCTGCTTGGCCAAGTTCAGGTAAGACACGAGCCTGCGCCTCTCGGCCCCGGACAGGTGGAATATGTTCCTCCTGAGAGACTCCCTCCTCTCGTTGCAATTCACCCCGAAGTAGCCGAACGCACAGTCGGCGCAGCTGAAGCCCATGAAGTTGCCCGCGCACCGGCAAGTCCGGTTGTAGAACACCAGGGGCCATTTCTCCCTGTCGTCCAACCCGGCGAAGGGGTACTGCGGCCCGTCGGGCTGCTGCGGGACCTCCACGTCCCTGCAGGAGCCCCGACCCGAGCTGGCTCCGCAGGGCGAACCGTCTCCCTCCCAGGCCGGGCAGCACTCCTTGGCCAGCAGGGCCTCCCGGGTGGCACACGGCCGGGGGAATTGTTGACGCGAGGGCCCCAAACGCAGCAGGAAACACACAAGTAGAAGTTGCCACATGGCAGCAACGGGTGGGTGCTCGGGTGGGGCAAGTCGCGGATGATCACCGTGGTAAAGGCCCGGGTTCTTGCATTTGGAAGGGCTTGTATTTTCAGGGCCCCCCCCCCCCCCTCCCCTCCTCTGCATCGAGCGAGTCACATGCCGCTTAACCCTCGGGGTGAAGCTTACCCCATGAGGGGCGCAATCGGTATTATGCAAACATCCCGAGACTGCAGCCAACTATTTCAAGGGGGAAAAAAAAGAAAAGAATTACTGGTATGAATATTTAGTGGAAGTTAAAAATGAAGAATCCCTCACAGTCCTATAGAGTCACATGAAGGCATAAACGACCACCGAGGGCCCCCCTCCCACCTCTTATAAGGCCCCTATGGAGTTGCAATGGAGTTTACAGTCATTTGCTATCTGGACGAGACTTCTTGAAACAGGCGTCCCTCAAATAAAGTAAACTGTTGTGTCTTGCAATTAATTCACCATGTCAGTACCGGGACCGCACAGTGGAAGAGACATAGAGGACGAGCAGAGGAATAACAAGCACATGTAGTAGCAGTCAAGTCCCCAGTAGCACTCCACAAAATGGACAAATAAGCTTCTCAAGGGGCCGACGTGTCACCTAGCAGTTAACTGGCTAATTAAAAAGACGCCCCAGTTTTATTTCAAAGAGCGCTGCAAAAAAATTCATTCATGAAAAAAAAACTTTATTTTAATTGTAAATTTGGCATAAGCAATGAATGTGATTCTGTGTTGGCAAAGATTCCTTGTAATGAAATCATGTAAGTGGAATACTTTTGGACAGTGTGGTCGTATGACCCGACAATAACACAAGTGATTAGTGTAAACTAACGCAGGCAACCTATAGCAAAGGTTTCTCTGAGAACAAGCGGATGAGCAAAGCATGATAAGAGCATAGCCTGAAGTTAAAGATATACGATGTGTGTGTTTGTACACTTGTACACTTTCCAAGAAAAAAACGTTGATGACTTTTGAGTTTATCTTAAGTCACTTATCTTATCTCTTATCTTTACTCACATGGTTTGTAACGTCAAACCACATGTCCACTGTACTCCCACAGAGTTCAACTTTCAGTCTGATATTAATGAAACTCTTTGAAAGTGATATTTACAGAAACGTCCGTCAAAACTAACAAATTTCCACTAGATGGCAACAAACGACTACAAGTCAATACCCATCTCTCTCAAAATTCTACCTTTTCTGTCTCCACAGACAACCAAATAAGCAGGACCTTTGCAGACAGGAATGCATTCATTTGGCTCCTGGTAATTAACCCTCATGTATAAACATCTCCAATCACACATTTGACCTCGCTTTGATTTGAGTTTCCAAACATCCTCTGAAAAGACGTGATAATTAACTGTGACTTTTAATGGCTTTATTTGCCGGTAGCCTGCTGTAAGCATAGATATATATATATATATATATATATATATAAAGGGACTGTAAGGCTAAAGCCCCACTAAAGATATATGGAGGTGCTCGCATGTCAGATGAAGCCATTAATCTGATGTGGTAAAGCCATAAATTAAAGCATTAGGTTCCTGATCACGATCATATGTTCGTCTGTGGAATCACATTAAGATACTGCGCGCTTCCCTCAGTCGTGTGGTTTGTTGTGTTTAGATGACATAGTTACATATCCGATCCTACAGATGGAGCCAAGTATCAACAAATGTTGTTTCATAGTTTAACTCCATGTTAGTTCAAGGCAAGACTTTGTGTCTATTTTATTCATTATTCGTCTTTTTATCAGACCAAAGACCTTCTGGTTTGGCCACACTGACTATTTGGGCGTTTTAATTGATAGATAGACTTTGTGTTATTCCCACCAAAGGCAGGAGAGGGATACAGATGCATTAAAGGATCTTTTGTGCCCTGGAATAATTTTCCATCTGAAGAACCACGTACTTGAATTGAATAGTGAACAGTCATAAAGCATCAGGCGTCTTTAAACTTTAAATTAATGTCATTAAAACAACACGTATTGTTCTTTGACTTCCACAGTATTTAAAAGTCACTCTGGAAACCGAAAATGTAACTTTCCAATATTAAGGGGATCATGTCGTTTGAGTGATTATCAATTGATCAATTCGACTCGGTTACTCCAGTTACACAAAAAAATGTGAAAAGCCGGAGGGATTGAGTTCAACAAAAATTTTAAGTTTAGGGGAAAGAAAAACCAAGATAATTGTTGGGGAATCGACGGTTAAATAAAAAAAAACACCACTTCTATCCGTTGAAGGTCTTAATTTTCACCGTTCCTTCCTTTATGTGAACCTCGCCTCCCAGAGCTTTCCACGCGTATGCTCATTTAGTCACTGCTGGTGCTCCATGCTCTCCACTGTTTTGGAGTAGGAGGAGGAGGAGGAGGAGGTGGTGGAGAAGGACGGGGGGGCGCGCCGTGTGCGTCAGTGAGTCAAACATGTTCCAGTAACGAGCTACATTATCTGCTGCTATTTGCAGTTTCCTGTAACCAGGCGGCAGGCTCGGCTCGGAGCAGAAAAACCCCGCGAAGCGCTTTCTTATTGCTCTTTTGCGATGGAGAAGGTCTCGAAAGGAACGGCACATGCGAGGCTGCTGGCAGAAAACAGGTAGGCGGAAGTTGTTTGTGTAGTTTTGGGGTATGCTGGTCGCACAAGTAACGCGTTGAGAATGCGTTTTACACAGGTTGTTGTAAATACTTAATTGGAGCACAAGCCTAATTGGATGAGAGGGGGGGGGGTCTCGATGAATTGCCAACATTATGTCAGCACCACGGAGAGCAAGTTGTTGATTTGTTGATGATTGTAAGGAGGAAAAGTTTGTAAGCTCTGATTTGTGAGTAAAAAGCCAAACTTGCTTTTCCTTCTTCTGCTTAACGCTACAATCTAAAATATAGATTGTTATCTATTATCTTATCTGTTATCTGGAATACTGCTTATCGTGCTATTATCATTACGCCATAACATAGATTTTTTTCTCTTACCTAAAGTTCTGGTCCTCAATCTATTTTGTTGTGAGTTGCCGAGCTTTGCAGGTAACAGCCACAAAGATGTTTTCTCTTTTTCGAATATAATGGCTCAACACTTTGGTGCGTAAAGCAAATACTCAAATACAGCAATGTCTATTTCCAGTAATCTTGACCGTGTTAAGGAAAATAATCCACAGACCTTTTTGTAAGGTCTTCTTGTGGGAATTATTTTTCTTTCAACCATTTTTCTGTAAATAAACCGTCATTAAAATACAACAGACTACATTTTTCCCCCCAACTCTTGAATTGAATATTGTCTGTTTAACAAACATTTATACGCTTTCCTACGTACTGAGTTCACTTGGAACCAAACCCTATCCCCTTCTTTAGGAATCCAGACCTTACCCCAGGCACCACGAACACTATGCCAAAAAACGCACATCCATCCGCACGTCAGCTGTAAGAGGACCGATGATGACAGGAGGTGCAAGGAGGAGCACAGCGATGGGAGATAGATTAGGCTTATACGTGAGGCTGATAGCAGTGAGTGCGTTACTAGGAGCTGATCTGAGCCGCCTGGGACTGAAAGACCAGGGTGGGGTCAATGCTCAGACCACCGATAGAAGGGTTTTGACCCACATCCCCGGTGACATCATCATAGGAGCTCTGTTCTCCGTCCACCACCAACCGCCCGCAGACAAGGTACGAGCTCCGTGTGCGTTTCTGTGCATGTGCTCGGATTTTCTCCAACCCGTGTTGATGTTAGGAATCTCAGTTGTGTAACGCTTTGTCCAGGTCCATGAGCGAAAGTGCGGTGCGGTGCGTGAGCAGTACGGGATCCAGAGGGTAGAGGCCATGATGCACACTCTGGATCGAATCAACGCAGACCCCACTATTCTCCCAAATATCACCCTGGGCTGTGAGATCAGGTCAGAAACCATACAGAGACATTCTGGAGTTGCCAAGGCCCCAGACTGTTGACTACACAGAGTTGTGACACTTGTCTTCAGAGAGAAGACTCCTCTCCCCTATGAGCGATGTGAAGTTAACCCTTCAAAGCGTAAAAAAATTAGGGACAGAATCCACCACACAAAATAATTTATAAGTCCAGCTGAAGCCAATGTGATGGCGATTGATGATTGATTTGATGTTGACCCACATGTGACTACAAGGACGCATCTCACCACTGCAGCTCAGCAAGGAAAGAAAAAAAAGACAAATTTGTACAAAAAAAAAGGCTTAGGGTGGTTTTGACTGACTGATGAAAACACTTTGACTAAAGCTTTGGATTGCAGATTTTTCAATGCTCTCATTTTTGCAGACTATGTTCTTAAAAAGCATCCAACTGGCTCCTTCAGGCGGTTTTCTCATTCCCATTCAGCCCGCCTAAACGACATTGAACTCCCATCTGTCTATACCAGGGACTCATGCTGGCACTCTGCAGTGGCGCTGGAGCAGAGCATCGAGTTCATTCGGGACACACTGGTGTCCAATGAAGAGGAGGAGAGCCACGGCAGGTGTACTGCTGAGGCAGGGAGCATGTTGCTGCAGGCCAAGAAGCCCATCGTGGGACTCATTGGACCTGGATCCAGCTCTGTGGCCATCCAGGTGCAAAATCTCCTCCAGCTCTTCAACATCCCACAGATCGCTTACTCGGCCACCAGCATGGATCTCAGTGACAAGGTAAGACCAGTTAACAAAGACAATGACACCTTCACTTATAACATGTTACAGATTTATTTATTCTTCTAGGCAGTTACTTGTTTGAGGTTTTATGAAACTCGTCGTGAAGATACTTAAAGTCTAAAGCATTTTCGATCATTAAGTTCAGTGTAGACTTTACAAAGTACACTGGATTATGCCGATCATGTCGCCATGACAACAAGAACAAGCAGATATTTCATTCCCTAGCTCAAGGACGATATTCACATCATAAGTGGGAAGCCGGTGAGTGAAGGCCACATAGAAAACATCGAAGAATCTAAAATAAGACAGCGTGTGTACACCAGATCTGTGTCCTGTTGAGACGTCGGCGTTGTTCTTTGTTTTAATCCCATCTGGAAGTTAATGACAATGGGTTAGAGGGAACGGGGGTTTGTGAAAGGCATTATTATGGGTGCATGTGTGCTGCCAGGCTTGTGAACATGTTAATTACTTCCAACAGAGCCTGTATAAGTACTTCATGAGGGTGGTGCCATCGGATATGCAACAGGCGAAAGCCATGGTGGACATTGTCAAGAAATACAACTGGAGCTACGTGTCGGCGATACACACAGAGGGTAGGACTGTGTGTGCATTCTGTTCTGTTGCATTCTCCTTTCACATACCTTTATTATTATTATTATTATTTACCAGGTTATTAAACAACATGTGTGTAGTTTAATCTGTTCAATCTTTTGTAGTTTTATAATAATCTCTATATTTAGCCAGAAATGGAGAAAAATCGGCATTATTGTGCGCAGTGCCACGCATACAATGCCACTCGCTGTTTCTACTGCAAAGTGGAGAAATCCATGGGAAATTAGCTCTGATTATATAGTCTCTGTAATTGTGTTCAGCATTGGCAAAGCTTCCCAGGGAACATCTGTCAAGGGCTTTGAACTCTCCGAGTATCGTGGTGTTCTGTCCCCCTAATTCTGTGCTGCTTTAACAGTTACTTATGATGCGATTTGTATTTTATTTAAATGCTTTCACCTATCTATGTTACTTTCCGATTGAGTAAAAACTATAGATGCTTTAATAGACTTTGATCAAATCCACACATAATTTAAAGAAAATACAATACATACATGTAGGAAAAGAGGCAGATGAAGTTGCATCTCTATTGTTGCCCTTTAAGGAGGCTAAAGAACATGATATTTACCGCTCAAGGAGACATATACCCCACAAGGGAATAGAACATTCTCAAAGATTTAATGAGATGGATGCCTCAAACAGTGTCCTGCACAGTGATAGTACACTTGCTTAGCAACAGTAAGTAGATGACCTCATTTCCAGGAAAAACAGCAGAATGTAACCCCTGACAGATGCCATAATGGGGACAAATTTACTCGATTCCCAAGTGTTGTACCGGCATTACACCAGTGTATTTGATCGTGTACCCTGTGTTTGCGTGAGCCTCAGTGTGTCTCACGAAATCGCAAGAGAGCATTTGGGCCATAGTGAAAGAACGTAGATGCAAACTGCAGATTCCTGGTGGCTTGATTGCTTTAACCAGGCAACAAATCCCAGATTTTGTGCTTGTGCAATGTTTTGTTTTTCCACGTATTCCCTTCCATAGGTAACTATGGCGAGAGTGGCATGGAAGCGTTTAAAGACATGGCAGCAAAGGAGGGGATCTGCATTGCTCACTCCGATAAGATATACAGCAACGCTGGCGAACAGAGCTTTGATAAGCTACTGCAGAAGCTCCGAGCCCACCTGCCCAAAGCCAGGGTCGTGGCCTGTTTCTGCGAGGGCATGACGGTCAGAGGCATATTGATGGCCATGAGACGGCAGCGTCTGGTGGGAGAGTTTCTGCTGGTTGGAAGGTGAGTTGAGCGTTATACTATGTGGAATTTATGACTGAATTTCACAGATGCGGATGTATTTCTGCTTCAATCAGAGGCTGAAAGCATTGACTGGGGGTTTTGTGTTTCTGGTTGTTTGTTTTTGTTCATTTTCAATGCAAACTGTTTTCATGTCCGGCATCTTTGTTCTCTCATCGTCATCCTTAGTACCATCTTCATCGCATCAGTCAACTTCATGGCGGTCTGGGAATGTGAAGGTATTTTCAATCAAATTTCTTTGTGATTATAGGACAGAAACAATTCTGCACTTCATACCTTTCGGTCTGTATGCATGCACTGTTACTCGGCTAACATGGCCTGCTTTGTTTTTATCTACCATTCCAAATAAGATTCACCCATGCAGTCGTTTTCCCGGAGCACGAGGGAGGTGTTTGATAGGAACAACATTCAGCCCTGCACAGAAATACAGTCGAATAATCATTAATCAATATTTAATCGTATAATATTATTTTCATTGTTACAACAGCACAACAAACAAAAGCGAGAGCTTAGAGTCAAATACATTCAGCGTATCAGGGATGTATTACTAAGAGAGGCCACCTAAATAGACCAATTAATAAAGGAGACTATTTTTTGGGGTATATATTTAATTTGAAGTCTTCAAATGGTTCTCATAGAGGTTCATTTAGGGCAGAACAAAATGTTTAAGACTGTACTCGGTGCAGGAGAGATAATATGCAATTAAAAACACAAGGGGACGAAACATTTGCGTGAAAGAGGGGGTTGATTGAGCAGGAGGTTTCAATCTCTCTGAGAATAACGTGTTTTATTTTAAGGGTTAGCTCTCTAGCTCACTCTTGTCCCTCGTGTTCTATAAATGCCTTCCCTCATTAGGAGCCACATATGTAGGCTGTCGCTCAAATCTGACAGCAGGAAACGTAAAATAACCTTGAACTACATATTGCGAAATATCCTACTCTCTCATCCATATTTCCACATAGAATTTCCAGACAGCTGACATCTGTTCATTAGGAAATATTAGCGTTAATTCGTTAAGATTCAGTGTTATTTATTCTTGGATTTGACAGGAGATGTACTGTTGATATTGGCAAATTGTGTCAGTTTGTGTATTTATATGTGTGTCGTATTAATGGCTCTGTCCTTCAACATCATGTTTATGATCTCACCTTTTTGCCTCCACTACCTTTCTTTGTGTCATTGTTAGTGCACAGTGCATTTTCACATATGTTCCATTTATAGAACGAGAGAGACGGAAGATGATGATCTTTTTTGTTTGTTGCTGCTTAACCCAACTTTTAACCTTTGTATCTGAGCCACCGTCCATCTTTAGATTGTTTGTACCCAAATGCCGAAATGAGAATGCTTGCATACATTACGCCTTGAAATCAGCAAGAACAGTTTTCTCTCCGCTTTTCGGCAACTCTTGGATTAATTACACTTTTTCTTCGGTGCAATTATGTAATTATTATAAGAAGAAATATCGACAGAACAGGAAATATTGCCATTCAATTAAGCTGCCCACAATTAAATATGAAGTAATTGGGTCATTCCTTGACTTTTTGTCTAGCCCATCCAGTCAAAAATGCAAACTGGTAGCATTAGATACGAAGACGAGAGGTGTAAATCGTGGAGCACAAAATCATCCTGTCCAGTTTAGTTCAGTTCAAAGTTTTCTATTGTTTATTAATTAAGCTATTCCATTGTCATCAGGTACAGATTATTTTTCTACTTTAACCATAGATTTATTTTAATTAGAGTGTAATCCATTTGTCACATATTGGGTTTTTCTTGCTCAAATAATATGAAAATTGGACATTTTCTATTAATTTGCAGCTGTAGGTGGAATTGTGTTATTGACCCTTGTCATTGATGTAGTCATAGGGCAAGAATAATGAAAAGGTTGTAATATTTTGAGTGTAAATTCATACTAGCAATTATTCTTTGTCTCATGTACGTTTTCTGGCATACGGTTTTGTGACTGAGGGTTTTTTAACGTACTATAACAAAAACGATACCAAATTAACTATGGTAAAATGACGCCATCGCTTCTGACAGCTGTTTCCCATCTCGATCAGTTTAATTTTAGAAATAGAGAAATTTCCAGCCTCAAGTTCGTCCCACTACCAAGCAAAGTATCCACTCAGAAAAGATCTGGCTGGGAAGCTGAGCATTATTGTGTTGTGCGAGGGGAATTAATAGCGGAACGTGTGAGTAAGTGGGTGTGTGTGTGAGAGCACACACTTGTGTGTGTGTCTTCAAGCTTGTAGGTGGTGTAGCAACACGCTGCATACAGCATATTGCCCTCCGAGGTCGTTGTGTGGGTTTGAGAGTGATTCAAACTATCCAGAGTCAAAGCCATCCATGCTTTCTCATATCCATTCCTATCCTTTTTATAACAGTGTACCGTTTCTGTGCTCGCTTCTCTAAGGATGTGTTATGAAATGATCTCCCCACCTAGAGAACCAGGCATCATGAAAAAAAAAACACCCACACTACTGTTGTATAACCTCAGTTTGGTTAGCGCTTTAAAAAAACCCGACTTCCTTGGCTTTTTTTGCCCGTTAGAAGGAGATGGGTGCATTTCTTTGTGTCGGCGAGGTACGAGTGCTCCCATGGATGCACGTGTGAGGAGGTGTAATCATCAGCCTTCTGCCTTTGTTGATCGTAGACAAGCGTCTAGTGGGAGGGATGATAACAGACAGAGACCTTTTCAAACAGACAAGAAAGCTTATTTAGGCCAAGCCCACAGTGTTTTTGCATAAACAGCAGATCAGATGTGTCTGCAGAAGCTGCAGTCTGACGGTGGATATCCGGTGTTTAAAGTTCATTCAGCATCAGGTACCTTTTTTAATTATAATCAGAAACTGCCTTTCTGTAGAATAAAAAAAAACCATGCATATTTCTGCAGGGCTGGGATATTTTGATATTTGCTCCTGGGGTTGTTGAAGCAAAGTAAATCATTTTTAGGTAAATGTTCAGGTTTTCTTGGCACATTTGAAGAAAAATAAACACTTCTCACAAAAATCACAAATTCTTCAAACTCGGATATTAGCGCAAATACTTTATCATGTTTATCAACCAGTGGTACGTGTGACTTGGTGGTATATCTGAGTCATAATATTAAATATTTATTTCGCTGTAATTCTCTGCAGAACAGTCATAAGGTTCATCTTGCAACGCGCCACCTGTCTCTTTCAATCTGTGTAAAAGAAAAACATGGTCATAAGCACTAAATTAAACTTTTTATAGTCATACACAAAATGCACTGCCATCATGGAGCTCTTCATTATAACATCATAGATTACATACGGTGACCTGTTGTTTCCTTATCCTTTTATTTAGTGACGACCTTAATTGGATGACCCGACTTGTTTAATATGAGCTAATAAGCTAATGTTGGGCATTTCTGCTTCTTAGATGGGCCAGCTCAAGATGTCAGCCATGCTGTTATACTTCTGTTGGTAAAAACATATCCTTATGGTGTAAAAAAGATTCAAGGAAAAGTATAGAATAATCCCAGTACATTTGCTCTATATGGCAGTAATTTTAATAAAAAAATTGAATCTAAAGCGAAAATCTGAGATGGAAACAAGCAGTATAACTGCAAAACAAAAAGAAGTAAAAACACAAATGAATGAAATTCTAACCAACAACGCTGTAATGTCTTTCTCCCCCTCCTATGCAGCGATGGCTGGGCAGACAGGTACGATGTGACAGATGGCTATGAGAGGGAGGCGGCCGGTGGAATCACAATAAAGTTAAAGTCGGCCTATGTGACCTGGTTCGACGATTATTACCTGAACTTGAAGCCCGATGCCAACCTGAGAAACCCTTGGTTCCCCGAGTTCTGGCAACACCGCTTCCAGTGCAAGTTGATCGGACATCCGCAGGAGAGCAGCTTGTACAACCGCACCTGCACCTGTTAGTACATCGTCATGTTCCACACGGTTCCCATCATGAAACCCTGCAACATTACTTTGCAGTGACTGTGTTTGTTTTTACGAGCAGGTCTCTGTTCTCCACAGGGAGAGAGTCTCTGCGCCATCAGTACGCCCAGGACACCAAGATGGGCTTCGTCATCAACGCCATCTATTCCATGGCTTACGGACTGCACGCCATGCAGCAGTCCCTCTGTCCAGGATACAAGGTACGCTAATGAACAACGTGCTCACCTGTGCTTCCACTTTGGGGCGTGACAGTATTGACGGCCAAGCATTTGCTCCTCCCCCTGGTGCCAGGGGTTGTGTGAGACCATGCGGCCCATCGACGGCCGCAAGCTGCTGGACTTCTTGATGAGAACCAACTTCACTGGTGTGTCTGCAGAGACCATCTACTTTGACCAGAATGGAGACTCGCCTGGCAGGTAAGGACCCGGTGGGGGCAGAAAGGAGGGGATGTTGAAATTGCAGTTTCATGCTCAAAATGTATGTGCTTTAGGTATGAAATCATGAACTTCAAGCGCACAGGCGAAGATGAGTATTCTTACAACCACGTGGGAAGCTGGGACCAGGGGGGCTTGAAGATGAACGATGAGGAAATCTGGAGTAACAACAGTGAAATCATCCAGTCCGTTTGCTCTGAGCCGTGCCAGAAGGCACAGATCAAGGTATGCAACGCGAATCGACTGGTTTTATTCACATTGTCGAGAAAGATATGTGTTAACATTTAAAAAAAAATGTTATTTAGTAGGCAAAGGTGCACTAAATATATCTACCTTTTATTGGCTTGTATGCAATGGAGTATTTATCAACCAGAGAACACACAGTGTAATAAATTCACTTTAGAAGAGCCATAGGCGGCGACCAAAGGTTTGCAATCTGCTAAATCGATCCAACAAGAGCCTCCGAAACCCCACCAGGGACTCAGCAAAGCTCTTTGTTCCGGCTTTCATCATGTCCCATCTGTGTTTCTGCAACTCCCCGCAGCTTCTCCAAATCATGGAGAACAATGCAGTCTGCCTCCTCTTAATCATCCAAAAAGTCTCCAAAAAAAAGAAACCCCTCCTACACACTCTCCTCTGACTCCCAGTTAATGTGTCAGCTCGCAGGGAATTCAAAACTCCAGACAAATGTTCCGAGGAAGACTTGCGTGTTCACACCTTCAGACCTCGTAGACCAAATTCCTATCCGACTGTTTGTTTCTCTCTCCTATCAGGTGCCTCACACATTCTCCCACTCTCGCTTCCATCAAGCCTGTCTCAGATTGATACCTTAGGATGACAGTGATGTGGCAGTGAAGAGCAGTTGCCGGATCTCCTGACCTGCATGTTTGCATGCGAGTTCCACATAAGATATCAACCCGGAACTTCCTGTAACCGACCCGACCTGCCTCCTCTCTCCTCAGCTTATTTTCACAGTGAAGGGCTGATCAAAATAAATAGAATTGTTAAATGTATTCAACACATGTCTTTTTTTTTCTTTCTTTGATCCCCCGACGAGGGAATCCTCATTACGCTGCACCTTTGGGTAGTCACAGTTCAAGATTAGCTACATAAAAAGGCCATTGGAGCTTTGAGACCTTTCCGCCTTTCTCACACTGGTGTGTGTGTGTGTGTGTGTGTGTCCAGGTTATCCGCAAAGGAGAAGTGAGCTGCTGCTGGACTTGCACTCCTTGCAAGGAGAACGAGTTTGTGTTTGATGAGTACACTTGTCGAGCCTGTGTCCTTGGCTTTTGGCCCACAGATGACCTCACTGGTAAATACGTATGCGCGTCTGCTCAGCACACCTACATTGTTCTAAATCAGGCCAGAAGGTCATGCGATCATGCTTCACCCCCAAATCCCCTTAAATCAAGACACATGCTGGAGTACTGAGCACACACAAGGAGCCTTTAGGTCTTTGCCAGGATAAAGAATTTGGCAGCAGCCTAATTTCTTTATTCAAAGTTCTGTTAAAAGTATTCAAAAGCCTTTCCCCAGCTTTGTAATCAATTATTGTTTACAAATCCTGTTCCTCCGTGTTCATAAAACACATTAAGGCTGTTTCTACGTGGATCCTCCCGAGGGGAACAGAAGTGTGCTTTACCTGTCATCCCTCTGATCTATCTCCGTATGATCCCTCATCTCTCACAGATCCCTTTAATCCGTCACAACTCTCATGACCACATCCTTTGCTACATCCGCGTCAAGCTGCGAAATGCACGTACACAAACAAACATCCTCATGCTATTGCCCTACAAGATGAATAAATCCCTCTGTGTCTTCTCGCTCCCTGTGATCCCTCTGTGTTCTGCAGGTTGTGAGCCGATCCCTGTGCAGTATGTGCGCTGGGGGGATCCAGAGCCCATTGCTGCCGTGGCCTTCTCCTGCCTGGGCCTTATGGCTACGCTTTTTGTTACGTCCGTCTTCATCAAGTAAATGAATCCTGTAGCTTTACTAGATGGGTCAGAATCGATCCAACTTTAACGGCGATAACATGAACCAAACGCGATCAAGGGTTAAAGAGTAACACCTTGATTTTTCTCCCGCTGCCTTTTTTTTACAATCAACCTTTATATATTTTTTTATTCTTCCGTAGGTTTTGGGACACTCCAGTGGTCAAGTCGTCTAGCCGTGAGCTCTGCTACATCATCCTGGTTGGAATATGTCTGGGCTATCTTTGCACCTTCAGCCTTATCGCCAAGCCCCACATTGTCTACTGCTACCTCCAACGGCTGGGAATCGGCCTGTCCCCTGCCATGAGCTACTCTGCGCTGGTCACCAAGGTACTTTCTTTTCTGTTTTGTCACCAGGAAATGAACGCTGAGTCAGTAGTAGGAGTTAGTACCATTATTTGTGAGTTAAAGCCTGAAGATAATTAATTTATAAAAATATTCCATACTGTAGCAGCCTTGAATTAAAATTAAATGGCCTGTTATTGTAATCCAAGTTTTTTATAAATATATATTTTTTAGCATTAATAGAAGGGCACCTAAGGTTAAGGGCAAGAGCAACAGAGCTACTTCCAAAAAATGTACAGTTGTGAGTGAGGTAAGGTAGAGGTGTGGGCAGAGGTTCATGTTTAAGACCTAGAAACTGAAATGGGGATTATTATTATTATTATGAATCACAAGTGGTTTTATCCACACTAGATGTAAGTGAAGCCTCCATAACCATTTGATCTATTTTTTATCCAGACCAACCGTATAGCAAGGATCTTGGCAGGCAGCAAGAAGAAGATCTGCACCAAGAAACCGCGCTTTATGTCCGCCTGCGCACAATTGGTCATCGCCTTCCTACTCATACTGCTGCAGTTTGGGATTATTGTGGCACTTTTTATCATAGAGCCACCAGAGGTTTGTGTGCAAGTGTGTGTGTGTGTGTGTGTGTGTGTGTGTGGTTTACAGTGTGGGGGATGTTCAATTACATTTACTTACCCAGCAACAGTGACTCCCATTATCTTCTCTAAGGTGATCTATGATTACCCCAGTATCCGGGAGGTGCACCTGATCTGCAATCTGACCACCCTGGGGGTGGTGGCGCCGCTAGGCTACAACGGCCTGCTCATCCTGAGCTGCACCTTCTACGCCTTCAAGGTACCTCAGCATAACAGTAGTTAATAATGCATGGAACCTTCCATTGAACTGACTCAACCCATCTATCTTTCTCATAGTATACTTTGTCGGCTCTTAAGCCTATTCTCATTTTGATCCTGTTTTATCCCTATAATAAATTATATTTTCTTCCTTTTCTCCGACAGACTCGAAATGTTCCGGCTAATTTTAATGAGGCCAAGTATATTGCCTTCACCATGTACACCACGTGCATCATTTGGCTGGCCTTTGTTCCTATTTACTTTGGGTCCAACTACAAGATCATAACCATGTGCTTTAGTGTCAGCCTCAGCGCCACAGTGGCTCTCTGCTGCATGTTTGTCCCAAAGGTAAGAAATGCAATTAAAAATTCTCAGAATCACAATAGAAATTTTCAACCTTCCTTTTTCCATTCTTAAGCTAATAGGTTTATTGTATTTCGTTTTTGTTTTCAGGTGTACATCATGCTTGCCAAGCCTGAGAAAAATGTCCGGAGTGCTTTCACAACCTCCACAGTGGTGCGCATGCACGTGGGGGATGCCAAGAAAGTGACAAAGACTGGCAAATCCTCTAGCAGCATGGCCAACTTGTTCCGACGGCGTGGTTCTGTGCAAGACAACACCAGGTATATGGGAGACTTGAGTGGGTATTACGCAATGAATAAATTCCCCTGGTGTCTGATAATCAAAAGTTATTTTCATGGGCTTAGTTGGGGGTTTGCTGTCTTGTCTTGATTTAAGAGTTAGGTAAGGGGGTAAGCAGGATCTGCCAAGCAGTCTTAATGCAGCTTTGGACAGCTGCATGAAGAAAACTGATTTTGTTTCCTCCTGAATGGCACTATTATTTAAAACTACTGACCCGACACCCACATAGCGAAGGTGTTTCTGATAATGAGTCCATGTATAGAGGTTAAAACTCTGCTGAGATATTCCAAAGAAAACCCTCTTGAAGTGGGAAATCAGAGCCGAATCCATAGCAACAGGATCAATCGCTCCCTGAGCTGAGGAAAGGCTACATCATTTGGGTTAGGCTTCTCATAGGGGACCCACTGCCTTTAAGGATTTCTCTTTCTAGGGAATGATGAATGATAAGAGTGCAAAAGATAGAATGGGGGATGGTAGAAATTCTGACAAGTAGAACATGAATTCATTGCCCTGGTAATGGATTACCATGCTAAGAACAACACATGTTAACAAATAATGTATTGTATATAATATTGTTTGTATTGTATTGTCATATTCCTAATAAGGTTTCATAAAATGCCATCTTATGTCCTTCGTGCGTTTCGCAGTTCCAATGGGAAATCAGTGACATGGTCGCAGAATGAGCGCGGCCACAGGCCAAACATATGGAAGAGGATGTCGTTCCACGTCAAGAAAAAGGAGGTAGTTGAGACAAACCAGACCGCCATCATCAAGCCTTTCTCTGAAGGAGGAGACGCGCCCGCGGACACCGGCGTCAGAGAGCAGTTTGCAGAGCAACAGGTGTCTCAGCACTTCAGCTGCTCCCCTTCTCCGTCACCGAGGAGCTTCCATGGAGGTGAGGGTGCCGAGGATGCCTCACCCACTTGTGAAACGGAGCACCCGGCTGGGGTCAGGAGAAGAGGCGGGGACAGCGGCCAGTGTGATGGTATGGCGGACGGCGGGGACATTAGCGTCATCGGCGTGGGCGACATCGGCATAGGGATGATCGGTGGCCAGGCTCAGGGCGCCACCATCATGGACCAAATCAGCTGCGTGGTCAACCGCTTCACCGCCAACATCAGCGAGCTGAACACCATGATGCTGCCGGGCGGCGTCCCCGCCAACCCCTCGTCCGCCGCCGCTGTCCCGCCCGCGGCCGCAGAGGCCGCCCCCGGCCCGCCTCAGTACCTCGGATCCAGAGGCAGGCAGGCCGCCGCCGCCACTGTCACCACATACGCCGAGGTGGCCGTCGTCTCCAATCTCTGCGAGAATCGACCAGCGGGTAAGATTTACGAGCACCTGGCCGGGACTTGCGTAAGCAGCAGGCGAGCCAAGGACATGGAGGAGCTGGTCGCTCTGACGCCTCCATCCCCGTTTAGAGACTCATCTCTGAGCTCCAGCGACAGCTCACCCCCCTCGCTGTCGCCAGCCTCTGAGGCTGAGTACGACCAGCTGCTGCTGAGACACTACAGCCAAAGCTCCTCTTCTCTCTAAACATGCTCGCGCTACACATTCTTGCTGGCCCTCGTTTATCCTCCATCCTGAAGGAACTGCGTCAGACCCCGAGCAGACTGGTGGATGCCCTTCTGTGTGCGGGTATTCTGATATATTTAGGAGGTTTTTTTAATTGAATTTAAAGATTGGATTAGATTAACTCGAACATTGGATAGGTACCATTGTTGAGACGGGAAATTCTAAATGCTGAAATGAAGCTGTGCAGCTTCAGTGCTTCATCGTTGTCTCCGAGTAAAGGACTTGAGAAACTGAAACACACTTGTGGGCATTTTACAGACTACAGGTATCTACATATTTGAATCCCAAAGAAAATACTCATACGTTTAGAAAACATAGGTAAAATTACCTTTAGCATTTTTTTATTATATATTGGTTATCAATCTTAAATGGGAATATTTACCAATTATTCATGTTTGGTGTTTTATATATTCCAAATTGGTTCGTACTCTGACTCTCAAAATGGCATTTGAATTGTTTAGTTAAGTGCAGGTATTCCAACACTCAACGTAGTTGTATTTAAGTTGTCAAATTGCTTATAGTATATGATTGTGTTTGACTCTTCTTTAATGTTTTGAGACCTGCTGGATGCAGATCGTATCAGCATGAAGGCATCTTTCCAGACAATTGCTGAAACAACAGCAACTGTTTGACCCATTTCTCCTTACTTCTAATGTGTTGTTAGTCTTGAAGGACACGAACATTTAGTATTGTGATGCTGGAGTAGAAAGTGTACAGATGCTGCACTAATGTACGCAAATCCAAAAGCGTGTGGAGAATACTTAACAGCTCTCCCGACAACAAAAGGCACGACCCCCAACAGGTGTCTTGCACACAAAGAGATTATGAACTTCTTGGATGTTTTCCTTAATTCTTTCTTTTAGATGTGATTTATCTGAATGATTGTTGTAATGAAGTGGACCAAAACGATCAACCACCTCAGGATGTGTCTGAACCTCAGTACTTTCACATTCAACTCGTACCTGCTGAACGACTGCTGTCGTTTGTTGGCTCAAAGTGTTTCCAGTTTGCATGATGTCGAGATTTGGTTGCACTTATTTAAGCTATATTTGTAATAAGTTACTTTTTGATATTGTAAATGTAAAACCGATAACACAAATAGCTACAGTAGCAGGACAATGATACTATCTGTGTGTGTGCGTGTTTATATTGATGCATTTTTAAGATTAGTTTTAGGAGGAGAGAGGTGAACAGTTGTTTCTGGCTGTGTCGATGTTTCTTAGCTTGTTTCTATAGCTGAGCTCATGTTTCAGGCATTATAACGAGGATATTCTTTTTTTTACTATTAATTATGCTTGAAATATTCAATGAATATACTTTTTTGTATCTGCATTTTGGCCTCCCTGATGATGTAGGTGAATGCCAGTATGGATTGAAAGGCTAGCAGATGTAACTGATGATAGAAACGGAGCTGGCTTTCGCTTGTTTATCTGTCATTGAGTCCCTATTCTTTCTGAATGTTTACAAAGGCAGGAGTGCATCCATGCTTTGTTTTAAATGTGCAGGATTCTTTTATACTGACTGTTAATGTGAGACATTTGCCATATTTGCATGCTGGTTTGTTTACATTTTGCAGGTGTATACTATGCGTTATGCCAATAATTCACTGATGTTATCTACAGAAGACATTTGTTGCTTATCTCTTCATCTGCCTTTCAGAAAACCTGAATTTACAATTTAAACGTGTGCTGCATTAAAGGTTTCCATCCAAATTAAATGCAGTATCTTTCAATTATTGGTAATTATTTGTAAATGTTCTTTATTCACACTGGAGGAATTATTCATCAAATTAAAAATATATATAGTGTAAGAGTGAATTGATTGAAAAACTAGATTTTCCATGACACCGTGTTTTATGGAGTCATGTTTCTGTATAGGAAACTGGATCATGTGCAGCAGTAGTTATTTATACAGCTCCAAAGTCGATTTTACTTATAAACCTTCTCTAAATAAGAACATAATTATGTCAAATCACGGGCGATAATTAATAAACCTAACGAGAATAAGGGTTTCTGGGGCAACTCTTTATTAAATAACTGGATACAATGCCGTGCATTGTGGTAGAAAATCCTTCAGTGAAATTCACAAGATGACGGGCAAAGTGTACAGTTGGAGTTTAATAGCTTTGAGGAGCCCAGGGAGAGCAAAGCCTCAGCGGTCCATAACGCTTTGTTTTTCCTCGGCATCCGATGGTGCTCTATGCTGTCACATACTGTAGTCCATCGGTGTAGGTTAAATGGAAAACATACAGGCACACTATTATATAATGATTCATGCACCACAGCTCCGCATAAAAACAACCATCACGGTGATTTCTCTCGCTCCCACAGGCTATTTTGGATTCACACGACAAAGACTGCCGCATGCCATACATTTCTATATGTGGCTTGAAGTGGAGGGCTCTCTCTGTTGCCTGTCTGATTTATGTCATTCTTGCCCCTGGTACATGAGTACTGGTCCTTTCTTGGCTAATTCTTTACTTTTTGTATAAAGTAGATTTAATAGTAATGTGATATAATGTAATGTAAAGTAATAGTCCTTTATTTGACTGTGCGACAGATCATGTCACACGTTTATTACACGCAGGTGGACTAATTGTGTGACTTCTGAAGGCAATTGGTTGCACCAGATCTCATTTAAGGGCTTTATAGCAAAGGTGTTTAAAATGAAAGTATGCACCAATTTTATTTAATTTTCAACTCTTTTTTTCTTTTCGATTCTACAGTCATTTAGATTAATTTTGTGTCCATTACGTCCATTACCTGAAATACAAACAAAAGTCTACTTTGATTTCTAATTGTAATACAACAAAATAACAAATGCCTGAAACTCCTGTACCATATATTTCAGGATATATAACACATTCTACCAGGTTAATTTAGAGAATTCATCCTTTAATAGTAATGAACATGCTTCTTAGAAATATTTAACCTACCAACTCTGCGGTGGTACTGTGTTTTACCTTTGTGAATGTCTTTGTTCTAGAACAACAGCAAATGTACTATTTAAGAAACAATTTTAACAGCAGGATTAACATTGTAGAGCAGGCTGTCATGCCCCTCAACGCCTTCTTGTTCTCTTCTCCCACCATCCTTCACCCAGATGCTCTTGGTCCGTGATTAGTGGCTCTGTCCCCAATATTTAAACGTGGCTGGAGAAGGTTCTGACTATTTTAAGACTCAGCCTGCTGCTTTTATTTTAGCCTTGCTTACTGTTTCAGTTTTGAGTTTGCAGACGGATGACCGGTAGTCCAGTACCTTTATTTACAGTCGCATTTTGGGTTCTGGTACTTTGTTTTAGATATTTGTGGCCAGGCCTCCAGACTCACAGATTTGGTTCATTTCTGGCGTCAATTATAAATCAAATTGTATTGCTTAAGTTACTATTGGATAATGCATCTTTTTTTTGTACAATATTTTCATGCACGAGACCGTAAGAAATGCCCCACAATGAGATTCCAAAGAAAAGCATGTAAAAGTGTTTGTCCTGTGTGACATACCTGATCCAGCAGTTGAATGTGCCGCTAAATTTATGAATATTAGAGTTAGAGAAGAGTTTTACATATTTCATATAACTGCAATTACTGCGTCTTCTCTCCTGCTGGGTGCATTACAAGGTATGGCTACCCAAAATCACTTATTTTCTAACTGCATCTAAACTGACATTTGGCCAGATGATGGGGCGATGAGAGTAGCTACATTTAACACTTGGCACACCTTTTATGCACCACAGAAGACAGGGCCAGGATTCCTATTTTCCTGCTCTCCTCTGCTATGTAACGTTTTTGTATAGTTTAGGGAAGGAGGCGACTATTACGCAGCACACATGGGGTTAACATGTGAGATTCACAATGGCGCAGTCATGCAGCGCAGACCTCAGAACAGGAACTACCCAGCAGCGCCCTTTCCTCAACCGTGCGCACGTCTCCGAGGTCACAAGTTCCAAAGCACGGCCCCTGTGCAGATCACACGTTTCCCCACTCCCCCCACAAGGAGACGCACGGGATGGAGGGTGGGGCGGCGGGGGCGGGATGGGGGTTACGGACTCAAACTGCGCCTCACGCCGTGCCAAAACTTTCTTGAAGCTTTGAGATCCGACAAGTGATGAGCCATCAGTCAGCGCACTCCAACGGCATGCAGAGCCTCCGGAAGGAGTACCTGTACAAGGTGCTGGTGATCGGGGACCTGGGGGTGGGGAAGACGTCCATCATCAGGCGCTACGTCCACCAGACCTACTCCACCAACTACCGAGCCACCATCGGTGTGGACTTCGCCCTGAAGGTGTTGAACTGGGACTCTGAGACGGTCCGGCTGCAGCTGTGGGACATTGCAGGTGGGAGAGGGGGGATGTCATTGGATAATGCATCTTTTTTTTGTACAATATTTTTGTACAATATTTTTTTTGTACATATATTGAATGTCATTCATTTAGTGGGTATAAAAATCCTGCGGCCACTTATATATTTATTATATATTTGAAATTTTAATTTTAAACTGGTCACCTGCAGCTGGGGTGAGCCATAGTCGATGGGTGTGATGCGCTTGTATGTGTCTAGTAGTTAAAAGTTGAAGTACATTCGACTTTTAACTACTTAAATATGTCAAATATTTGCTAAAACTACGTGAACTCCTTAATATGTTGTTAAAAAAAGTAAACATGCCGTTCCGTTAGTTCCTTAAAAGTTGATGTGTGGGAAGATACGACTTCTCTTCAAAATGACAGTGAGACGTGACTGTTGTGAAAAATGTACAACTCACTGTGACGAGCAGTATTTTATCTCTGAATTTCACACACATCTGGCTTTTTGGCGTTATATTTACAGAGAGCTTACTTTAGAACTCTGTATCCTACTTAAAAAAAAGAGCTGCTAAAGTTAAGAGTAAAAACAACGGTCATAAGCGCCCTTGGTTACTGAGTAAGGGGTTTGGTGGTGATTCGAGCAACGTGCTAACAAAGCCGATGGTGTTTGGGGAAGAACAGCATGCTGCCGTTCAGCCATTCATTCAAGGTATGATGCTGCTTCATGTGATTAGGCCCATGTGAGGGAGATTTGGAAGCCGGTCACATGGGTTTCATTGTAGCCGAAATAAAAACCTCATTAGTCACTCACATGCGCACGCTCGCTCTAAGCTGTCAAATGAAATTGCTAGTTGCATCTGATTGCATCTCATCTACCTGCTTGAAATGCATCCTTTTTAGGAGGATTAGAGAACGACGTTATACTCTATGGAGTGGTACATTTTACATGTTGTACTTTGCAGAACACATTTATAAACATATACATACATTTATAAATGTACTTGAGCAATGAAAGTCATACACTCTCATGCACGAAAGGGGGAAGTTCCCCATCCAGGTCCTGCCCGATTTTTCGCTTCCTCTTACTCATGTGGCAGCATTTTGTCTTTGCCAGCGTGACACAGTGTTCCTAGCAAAGCCAAAATGGACTCTCGTGAGTTGGTGTTTATCAACCATGTACATTTTCTGCTGAGGACACACCTACACCTATAGTACATGAATATAGCTATGGTCTGGGACAAAGTTTATTTCCACAACAAGTCAAGCATTACAGGTGTAATTTAAGTAGGCCTATTATCCGCGGGAATAAACAGTCGCATTGACCGCCTAGTTAAGTGCAACGTGACAGTAAGTCCACAGGAATGTCCTGATTCATGCAAATGCATGCGGTCTGAGACAGCCACGTAAATACCAACTGCATTAGCTGTCTTGCAAAACCACGAGTCTCTTATCAAGCTGATGGCTCGGAATAACAGCGTTGCACAAAAAAAATGACCAGAATCTCCCTGTGCGTGTGTTTGTTCATCGAAGGTCAGGAACGTTTTGGAAACATGACCCGAGTGTACTACCGTGAAGCCATGGGAGCCTTCATAGTGTTCGATGTGACGAGGTCCACGACCTTTGAGGCCGTCATCAAGTGGAAAGAGGACCTGGACTCCAAGCTAATGCTGACGAATGGAGAGAGGATTGCCACTGTGCTCCTGGCTAACAAGTGCGACCAGGGCAGGGAGTTGACCAACAGCGGCATCAAAATGGACCAGTTCTGCAAGGACCACGGCTTTGTCGGGTGGTTTGAAACCTCGGCTAAGGTGAGAACAGAGCGTGGTGGGGGGTTTTCTTAAAGAAGTTTTCTGTTAAAGTTTTCTGTTTTCCTCATGTGCTTTTTTTCAACCAAGAGACACAGAGTTTAGCTTCGCGTATTACTGGAAAATAGAGCAAACAGCTAGTCTGGTTCTGTGTAAAGGTGAGACTGCCTACAAGCTACAGGGTTTACACCAGTAAATGACATGACATGAATTCCACTCACAAGTGGGCATGACCAGCAGTTGCACATCATAAATAGGCCATTTGTTAGTCCTAAAATCTCATATAAAGCAGGCGAGTTAAAAGTAATTGAATCTAAGACAAAATGTCAAAAAAGCTTGTCTTACAACAATTACAACTTCTGTTAGGGCTCATCTTCAAGTGTTAAAAAAAGGAAAATAATTGAATTGCGTGAGTATGTGCGGGTATTTTCGAGTTTGTGACGTGCTGATTGTAAAACCTCGCCCTCAGACAACGATAAGCTAAGATACAGGCCGAGGGCTTTTACCTCATATTTCACATAGTCTTAACATTTTTATACAATGAAAGAATGCATCCCAAAACATCAACGCGTTGCTCTGTTCATCGACATGTTAATGAATGGGCCAGATGGTTGGAACGGTTTGCCTTTGCAGTGAGCGTCTGACACCCTCCGTAGAGATCATCTCCCAATCAGGTCACTGCAGTCAGTGAAAACATCCCTGCAGAGCCAACTGGAATTTCACATCCTCGTGGAAAGTGTTTCTGCTAAATTAATTTGAAAAGCAGGTTCAAAACAAGTTATTTTTGTGAGGAGTGAGGATTTTTTTTAACGAATTTGTAAAAAGAAATTGATCATCGATAGGAAATGCTAAGTATTGTGTTTGTCACATACTGTACAGTATGTATTACGTAGTTAAGCTACAGGGTCAACATATTCATATACTAATATTACATATAACATAACATATAACACTTTATTTTGGTACAGTAAACAGTAAGGATGTAGCTGACTGACACAATATCTTTACAAAACATTCCTTATTCATTACAAACATTTTTGTAATGCGTGACAATTTGAATTAACTTTGTTCCACGTACTGATCCAAAAACTAGAAGAATATCCTAGAGCGATTAAAAGTACTTATACAAAGCTATAAATTCTACAAAATGTTTTTACATTCACACATTCTCTGTTGACACTCGTGTGTTAGAGGCTGGAGACGTATAAGTGTGCTGCCATTGTGGCATCAGGACTCAACATTCTGAAAGGTGAAAGGTCATAAGGTGGAAGTTCATCCATAAATGTCAGAAGGCTAAGCAGCAGACACACGTTCTCCTTTTGTTGTCAGATTTTGTTTTGCACACATAATGTTTAGAACATACACTGGTTACCCACATTTGGAGCAGGCTGAAGCTGCAACGTCATGTGCTTCACTGATTAGCTGAGATGATCGTTTTGGTATCTATCACTCACAGATCCTTGCAAATCATTTGTCAAGAAATTCATAAATATTTACTCTGGTTTATTTGACACAATTTATTTCTTAGGATCATAGATTTAGTTTCTTCTTTCCAAAGATGGAAACAAGCAAATTGTCTGACAGGATTTATAATTAAGGAAATATAACTGTGATTAGTAATTCAACCCTACGCATTATAAAAGAGAAGTGAAAACAAAATGATAGACTCATGCCTGAACATCTGCTCTCATTTTTAGGATAATCTTAATATCGGTGAAGCTGCAAACCTCCTGGTGAAGCACATTATGGCGACGGAGAACGACATCCTGAAAAGCGTTCTACCAGACACCATCTCACCTCAGCTGGACTCCAACAGGCAGATGAGCTGCTCCGGCTGCTTTAAATAAGGATAGCAGACCGAATACAGCGGAAAGACATTAGTACAAAGAGGGACATGGACACCAGCCGGCCTTCTAAGGATATACAGTACACATCGGCCTCGTTGCTCCAAACCCGGGTCAAAGGTTTTATTCCGGTAAATGTCTGTGGTTTGCTTGTGTTGTCAGTGTCCAATAACAAGAGAAACATAGTTTGTAAACTAAAAGTACATGGACTGAGAAGTAAGAAGCGCAACTATTTGTGACTTAACGTGCTTTGAGTTAAAAGTTATTTCGGCTTCAGCCCTTTTCTGTCTTATTTGGCATGTTTTTTTCAATTTCATAAAACGAGGTGAGGAAAAAGCAAACAAATGGACAGAATGCAAACAGGACTTGTGATGTTGATTCGTCACCATTTCAAGCAACTATGATTGTGACCATAACTATGTGGAAAACAAGTTTTGGTTGACATACAGGCTTCCTTTACTGTTTATTCTGCAATAGCCAAAGAAAGCAATGTTGACTGTGTAATTATTTGAATTTTGCACATACATGTTTTTTTAAGTTATTTACATGCTGTTATGATATTAATGCCCTTTAATGTAATATGCTATTCTGCGTAAAGGTTTTCCTACACCTGACAGTCAAAGCCAAAGTCGGCAAAAACTTGTTTGAGGGCGAAGAAATGTTGACAATCAGCCACACAGACAGTCAGGAGCTTGCCCTTTTTCTAGTTCCACTGGAGTAGTTCAGGTTGGTACTCAAAAGGTTTATTTGTCAGCAGAAGGGAGTGGTTGTCCTTTTGTGCAACATTCGCTGCCGTAACCACAATGCATGTCAGCAACATTTAAAGTGATTCATTTCACTCGTTCCTCATCAGAAGAAAATATTGTGTTGATTGTCTGCATGCAAACTGGACTGGACATGAGTTGCCAAAGCCTAACCCTCTGTATCCATGGCAACTAGATCATTTTTGCATGGTTGTCCTCAACATCTGTGAGAAGCTATTCCCATACAGGCAAAAATACACGCGTCTACACACTGCGCATAGATTCTCCCTGCCTCTTTTTATATCAGCTGTTCGAGTCTCCCACTGCTCTCGAAATATGGCTTCTTTCAGTATCTTTCTTCAGTTGTGTATGCCGCCGATCCCTCTCCTCCCTATTTGTCTTGTTCTCTGATTTACAGTATGTGTAGCACATGATATAAAGGTGCACGGGTGCCACTACGAACCCAGTGGTGAAGTACTTTCATTGATCGCCCAACACAGACTCTTTGAAGTTGTTTTCTTTTTGGTGACTTTGCACCTCTTCATTACTTTGCAGGCGCTGTGTCTTTAAAAGGCAACTTCTACTGTGCTCAATGTCTCGAGTCCCTTGGAGTCCAGTGTGCCAGCCCTGTATAAAGTCAATAGCATTATGTGGAGTGTTGCCGTTGAGACGAGTGCAGGAAATGTTAAATGATGTATGCTCCATTGTTTCCTTCAACTGGTGTTTGGCAGCAGTGCTTCTTGCACAGTATTTACGAACCCGATCACAGCAGTGTCATGTGTTCTTGCGTGACGCCTTGTTGGTCAATTACAGGATGCACATTGGGCCTGTTGGTCCTAAACAACAGCCTTTGCACACAATTACAGTTTCCCATTGTGAGCTGTGCTCATCATGTTGCTGCGTGAAACGAGATGATGGGATGTTAGCATGGCGTTACACTATCCTAGAAAGAACCGCATGCTCACACACGTTGTGTGTAGCACAATGATAAAATGTTTTGTCTAACATATGGACTGAGAAAAACTGCCGATTACCGTATTACCGCTCCGTATTTATTGTAAAGTGTAAAGTCATATCACAAGTTTTTGTAACACAACGTGACCTCAACGTGTAGTCTTGCCATTTAACTTTAACCTGTAACAACCTTTATTACAGCCTCATGATCACTAAATTTAACACACACTGTAGTAGTGTCTTTGTGTGTGTGTGTGTGTGTGTGTGTGTGTGTGTGTGTCCTCACTGATCAAGGACCCTCAGGTTCTCATTAGGAAGCCACATGACTGCATGGATTATCCTTTGCCAGAGGGATTAGATTTGATCGTCTGCTCTTGGCCGATGTTAAAAACATCACCAGCAACACCCCACATCAACTGATCCAAAGAAGCCATACATCCACTACGGAAGAATGCTGTCCCAACACAAAAGAGCTTTGTGTCGGCTTCAGAGGGATGCATCGGCAGAGATGACCTGATACTAAGAATGGTTAATGGTTACGGTTGTTTTCGTATCTGCACAGGGAACAGGTCCACTTCATTGAGTCCGTCCATGTTGCACCGACGTGTTTCTACACCGCAGAACCTTTCCTCTTACTACGTACCTGAAGGCCAACGTGGTTCTCAGACACGCTGAGGGAGGGCCGAGCGGATGGTGTGTGAGCTGGATGCAATCTGCAACCTGAACGCTAGATGCCTAAAAATCCTACACACATTTCACATTCACTTTGGAACAATATCCTCAACGTTTTGGGCCATTAATTCTTCCCATGACACCGGCTGGCACAGATCTGACTATTCATTACAGGGATTACTAGCCCAACATATTGTGTTCTCTTTAGTGCTCAGGCTCTGCCAAAGAACCACCTACAGAAAACTCCCACATATCCTCTCAGATGGAGAGAGAGACGGAGAGACGGGGAGAAGCAAGGAGCAAAAGATGAAGATGAGATGGGAGTCAAGTTATGCTGTAAATCTGATTTACAGCAACATGAGACGGTCGGCCCATCAAAGGTTCATGCAGGTGAACAGAAGCAAACACATTAGACAGGTCACGCCGAAATTCATTGGAGATATTTTCCAGATAGAATTCACACATATCGTAAATGATAACTCCATAAGAGCAAAACCCATTTAGTGTGGTTATGGCGCCCAAGAGGCGATTACACAACAAGGAGAAAGCGACAAGGAGAAAGTGAAGGAAACAAGATTAAATCGGATTGAGCCTTTTGCCCTGCTCATCTCCCCAGTAAACTGCTCATTTAGTGCCATCTGTTGTCACATTAGCAACACTGCAGGCAATGCACCTTCCTTCATTTCTAATCGTATCAACTGGACGTAATGCATGACGTGACTCGTATAGTGTGTTTCATTACTGCAGAGAAACAATATATTGTTATGTATTGTTGGATTTAGTTGTAGAAACACACACACAGCAAAGTTAAAGTGAAGTGAAACCACTCCAATGATAAATGACTTTAAACTTAACTACAGCTTGTGTTCATTATTAGGGGGATTTACTGATCCTAAATCCCTGAGACCTCAGCAGCTCTTGGTTCCCACTCCGCAGTGCCACGATCTATTAGGCCCTCTTGACCTGCTTAACCTTTCCCCAAAGGGTCTTTCTTGAACGCTCTCTTCATGATCAGTTAATGACTATGTAGAGAAAATAACCAGCATTGCGGTGATTCACATTGTAATATAGATTCGGCGCAGGGGAGCTATTACGTCATGTTTGCTCACATAAAAAGGAAATTTAAGGATGGAATTGCAGTCTCTGTATAACGACAATGGCCTCCGGCGAGAGACAGGGGGAGGACCGAAAAAAAGAGTTTCAGTGGGAAAGGGTGGCTGATATCTAGGAGGGAGAAACAGGAAAGACTAAATTCAGTATTAAGTCATTAATATATGTATAAGTTAAAGGAGCAATCTCCTCAAAAGCCTTATGAGCTGAGCTATCTCTAAAACTGACATATTTGATATGTTATTATCCTTATTGTTATGTTTTATCTATTAGATTTTGCAATAATCTGATGCAATAATCAATGGATTATGCATGCAGCATTGCATAATCCGATGCAGTAGCAACTTTTCTTTACGACTGAAAGAAAGAAGTAAACATATTTAATAGTTTGAAGCATTTTATTTGCTGTAAAAAAATGCAGGAATCCATTCTGAGATCATTATAGAAAGATGTAGTCCTTTAGAAGTAATAAAACTACAATGTGCATGTGCTATACAGCTTTAAGTGCCACTAGAGGGCAATACGCACCAGCATCATCGTCCATTTCACTGAGTGGATGAACTTCAGCAAACAGAAAAAAACACTTCTGAAGTCATCGTCTAAAAACTCAAAAATCGTAGTGGTCCCTCGCTATTTCATCACACAATCAATGACAAACTTCTAATTTAATATTTGAACTGTTGTGATTATCATGGGTGAAAATAAACTAATATATGCAAATATGATACAGTGAAACTTGATTATGAAAAGGTTGCAAAGTTGAGTCTTGGGAAAGCAGGGGAAAGGCTCTAGGTAAAAGTCCAAACAAATACAAAACATTGAGTAAAGAATGAATTAACATGATTGTTGATAATACGGGAAACACAAAATATACACATCAATGTGATTTTCATCCCACTGAAAGAGGCAGCGTTTCTGCTAAAAGTATAGCTGATTTGTTACTGTTCAGTGTGATAGCTGTGCTAAGACGCATTTTCTTCAGGCTGCACTTAAAACACATTAGGTCAATTTGTGAGGTCTGTTTAGTTGAGTCAATGCTGAGCTCTGAGAGGGGTGTGCAAACAAGGAGAGCTGTGTCACTGTGGTCAGAGGACCACAATGCAGTCTGATATATCTCAGCCAGACACGCGGCCCTTAGGTAAACATCGCACATTATGGTTGCTGTGTTGTATGGTTTTAGTGCAAAATGCTCTAAAGGGAGAAACAACACTGTCTGCAAGAGGTATTGAGTGCTGAAGTTTCCTATTGACACCTGAGAATCCAACAATTAAAGTACACATGTATAAAGAGGAAGCGTTTTATCCCAAGATAATTAAACAGTGATGCACATAATAAATAAAGGTACCTTTGTTCCCTGATGTATGCAATGACTTGTGATTACAATTGTAACATTCTCATCATGCACCCTGGCTGACTTGATTGGTAAGCAGGTTGTGTTCCGCTTTAACCAGAAAACTAAGTATAATCCATTTGAAAAACGTGAAAAATTTGCTGCAGCAGGTTATCAGAGACTATAAAGTAAATTGACAAGTTTTTCACGCCTGGAATACATTCCTGACTTTTTCATTTAAGTTATATGTTTTAAATTGAAAAGGTAGCAAGAGCCGATGAGAATTTGTGCAGATTATGGCCTTCTCATTATAAATGCATTGCAAGTATGCCACTACCTTACAATGCAGCACGTACTCGTCTACAAATACTGTCTGATGCAGAGGGGGAATGTTTAATAACTACTCATTTGTGGCATTTACGTGTGCCGAATGTGCATTTAAAGTGGTCGTTGACCATCACCTTTAACTGTGTCCGTTGTGGAGCTGGACGGAGCCTCCTCAGCCGCCGTGTACATATCGAGGTGGCCAAAACAGGCCGAGAGTGAAGCCTGAGGTTGGAGTAGCGAGTCAGGCTGTGAAACGAATGAATCTACGTGAGGAAACAAAGACGACAGAGGGCAGTCCGAGGAGGTGTATTGGGCCAACACCTGGAGCTGATCTGGCTTCAGGTTGACTTCGTTGCAGACTTTCTGGCATAATGCAGAGACGCTGTGACATGTCTTCAACCTCAGCTGGCTCAAATGGCTCCTCTCCATCATTAGCTTCTCCCTCTCTGTCTTCTGTGAAACGTGGTACACACACACACACACACACACACATAATAATTGACATGTCTGTAAGCAAACAGTGCTTAAAAAACGTTCCCTGGTTTGAGCAAAGGCATGTTTTATTACCAGCTTGTTGATTTCACACTGCAGATCATTTATGCATTCCAGTTTCCTCTTGCGGCAGCGTTGAGCTGCGAGGCGGTTCTTGCTACGTCGCCTCATGTCGTGGACAAACTCCAGCTGTTCCTGTGTAAAGACCTGTTGCTTCAGCAGCTGTTGGAAGTCATTCCTGTTCAGATCCACAATCCACTCTACAGAGAAAGGCAACCGCACCTAAAGGCACCCGAACAAAAAAACAAAGGTAAACCGAAACAGTGAAGCTCTAAAGTATCTGCATAATGACAGATAGAGCCCAAATCAATAAATATATATAAAACACGTATAACATTCTTTGTCTTTTTTTTTTATGACGTCAGGCTGTAGATGACATATGAGGGTGACGATAGCGCACAAACACACAGCTGCTTCACAACAACAACGTGAGGAGGCAGGTTTTAATGCGCTCGTCTGAACATAATAATTAGAGTGGCACCATCGGCATTTACATTTGTTCCCGATAAGCCTTGATTTTGCTTGGCAATTCAGTGTGTCGCTAAGAACCTGAGAACCATCTCTTGGCAAATAATGGTCCAATTCATAGCACAAAGGGAAGTGGGTCGACTGTGGCACAACCAAAAACAGGAAGAGGATAGTGTGTTTGTTTTCCTTGGTAGTTATTAGAAGCTATGGCATCAATGTACAGTAAGTCATTTGACTACACTAACCCAAGTAGTGGAAATGTCAGAAGAATTTACAAACTGAGTCATTATGCAAAACTAATTAATATATAAAAATTTGTTTTTAAGGAAAATAACAAAATTATACAATCAAATATTTAGATTAAAAAAAATGTGGCACCTTCTGTTTTTTTTAACACTAAACAGTTAAGAGAGGCAAACGTCAGAATGGATTGGTAATTAAGACACCAGGTTATATTTTGACTAAGCTGTTAATAATGAACTCCTATGAGGAGTTGCCTCTTAAAAGCAAAGGTTCTGAGGGGGGGAGGGGGGGGGGATTATTGCTGCTGCTGAAGTGTGACCTGAAATGTACACTCACTGATTTACCAGAAAAGTTTTTATCATGTAAAGTTTTATCTAGAGTAAATAAAAGCATGGTTTACCCTCTGAAAGGACCTTTACCCCACAGCATTATTCGCACCTTGCCGACAGTAACAGTGAGAACTTCCTCGAACCTATTGTTTGAATGGCCTTCAGTTATTGTTAACTCATCGGGCTGAGTCGTCAATTTCAAATGAACTGGACTCTGAACTAATTGTCGAGACTCGCGCACACTTTCGCAACACACATGTGCACACGCACATCATCATTTCTACATGTTTAATAATTAACTTGACACTGAAGGGATTCTGCTTCCTGTTAAACAAATGCAAACACTTATTTGCCTTTGATAAAATGTACCTAACTCTATCTAAAACAAACATAGGGAAACGTAATCTACAAGTAGTGTGAGCTTGTTGGCACTTTTTGACGCAGATTCATTTTGAACTTCACAGTTCGGTGGCTGTAGGAAAGACGCATCGACAAACAGAACAGATGTGCGGGGCCTAGGTGGGCTTCATTCAGGCTTTGACCACTCACCTGTCTGGCCCTCTCTCTTGTGTAGGACTCGCTGTCTCCTTCTGTCTCTGTCTCTGAGTCTCCATCGTCCCCCGAGTTAGGGGAAGATACACCTGATTGAGACGCCCCTTCGCACTCAGACACCTCTGCGCCCTTCCACAAACACTTGCTTTGGTCCAGCTCCTGGTAAAAGGGACAGCTCGTGGAACTGAGGTTGTGGCATTTCAGCCACTGCAGAGACGTGTTCTGCACCTTTCCGTTCTCTGCATCAGAGGAACGTCCCGCTTCAGGGTCCTGGAAATTCAGCTGAGATAATAAGCCCGTGTGGGACACCAGCTCCTTGGCCAGGTGCTCGGACGCGTCTCTTTCACGGCTCTCTCCACTGTTTTTTACCCACAGGTTGCTGCCAGTTTGTTGTATTTTCATGTCGTGATCTGACCATCTCCGCTCAGCTTCTACCTGATCCTCTGCCTTTGGATGAGTGGGCGCTGACGCCAGCGCACGGGATTCCTTCTGGCCCTCCGCACCGTCCACCGAGAACCTCTTGTGCCCCGGTGACCTGGTGATCGCGGGACACTCGCCAAAGTTTGCCATGGGACAGTGGTACAACATCAACCCTGAGGACCTGTCATCCAGCCCTGTGCTCCGCCCCGACGGGACTACCTTGAATGTGTCTGGACAGCTGATGCCTTCCTCCATCTCCATCACTTTTTCCTTCTTATTCCATTGTCTGTGCCTCTCGTTTGGGTCGACCTCCCCTCCCCTACCGACCCCTTCTTGTTCAGTTTTCCGTGGCTCATCGGCCGGCCCTTTGCCCTGGGAGGTGGGAATGAAGGGCGAGTTACCGGGCCGCTCACCGTCGTTCTTGCTGGTCGCACCGCTGGAGGCGGGCGAGCAAGGGCGGTCGCAGTCATTCTTGATGACTGTTGTGATCACAGGATTGTTTAGACTTTTCTCGGGGACACACGTTTCCTTTCCACAAGCCAGCTGGAACTTGCGATACTTGGGACACTGTATCGCGACTGTGAGAGTGCCTGTACCCTTCTGACTTTCCATTTGGCTGCCAGTGACTTCCTGCTGAGATGGTGAGTCAGCAACCGGTTTTGCTTCTTTTTCAAACAGCAAGACGTCGCCAGAGTCGATGGCACCGTCTTCCTTTGAGAGTCGCCTCTTGCATTTCTTTTTACAACAGGTCTTTCTTGCAACGGGGGCAGGGCTCTTGCTGCTGGAGAAGAACTTGGGGAGGAGGAAATCGAAGCATGCCTTGTCTAGGTCGTTGAAACCGAGAATGGAAGCGGAGTTACGTATTTCTAAGACATTGTGTTTCTCAAAGATGAGTTTGGATGTGTAGGCAAACTTCAGCAAAGGTTCAAAGCCAGCAACTGTCACCTGGAGAAAGGACAAGGGACATGAATGACGCTGGGGTTTATTCTGAATGAATGCAATTGGTTATTTGCCAATATTTTCTGTCAGATAATCTGACATACGACACATACGAGGAAAACAATCACAAGTGTTCAGTTCACTCAACAAAAGTAGGTTCTCCCACTCACAGAATTTCGCAATTTGGTTTCTTTTTTGAACAAACGTGCAAGAACACAAAGTACATAAAAATGAAAGGAGATGTATTAATTAGAATTACGAAAACAAGCTTTTCAGTTCAATAACCTTTCAGATCTTCTTCTTCTCTTATTTTTTTTCTTCATTTTTCTTGAATTGTTGATATCTGGCAGCACCGATCTACTTTCTACCTGTCCGGTATGGTGAGGTGACATCTCACCTCTTGGGGGAGGGTGATGACCGCTCCGTGCTGTGAAAACGAGGAGATCCTGTGCATCATGTACTCGCTGCAGGAAGCGAGAATTGAGCGGTGGGCTCTGAAACTCTGACCTTCCACCACCACGGTAACATCACACATTGTGTCTCGCCGACGCTGCTCGTCCAGGCAGCGCAGCACATGGGAGGAATGCACTGTAGACTCAAAGGTGAACACAGATGACCGGGGGGCAGATGTGGCCATGAGGGATAATCTGTAAGTAAGCAGAAACACACAGAGGCCCCGCGCGTACGCATTTGCAGTTAACGTTCCATCTTTCAGGATGCATACTTAGTTATACGTAGAAATGACAAGAAAAACGTTCCTACCTTACGAGACTTTATATATCCACGATTCTTAGAGTATTAAAAAAAGTCTGCCAGCTGCCGAGCATACATTGCTATTTGTAAATGGAATGCTGCCCAACCAGGATACGTTTCCCAGAAAGCCTTATCTCAACTGTGGTACAAACTAAAAACTGAGCTTGACTCAGTCATGTGGCTCGTGTGTGAGTATGTGAGAGGGAGAGAGAGAGAGAGAGAGAGAGTGTATGGGTGTCTGTGTGGGTGTGTGTGACTGCGTGTTTGTGTGCACGTCTGTGTGTGTGTGTGTGTGTTGGTTTCGCAACAACTCTGGGTGTAACAGAGCGCTGACTCATAGACTCCTGCTGATATGGGATGAGCAAGCAGTTTTCTCGTTCATGCCAATCCCACACGTTTCGCTGGTAAACTAAAAGGCTTTTCCCAGAAAATGTCCCAGACACGATTAAAGTATGTGCCTGTGTCTTTAGAGTTGTACAATAAACTGAACCTTTGCGAGACGATCGGGACTATAATGTCCATGTGATTTAAACATTTCCCAGTAAAACTATTACCTTGTTTTGTGTTTTTTAAATGTGGGAGGACATTTAAAAAAACTAAAAAACATTTGCGTTTTAGAGAGTCTGGTTCTCTGTCTGTGAGTGTGTGTGTGACAGAGAGAGAGAGAGAGAGAGAGAGAGAGAGAGAGAGAGGGAGAGAGAGAGAGGGAGAGAATGTGCTTTTGCTGTCACAATAAGTTCACGTAAAGGAACTTATCATTAATAATTTAATGATAAAGTTAACTTTAAAAGATTACTAACATACTATAATAATTTACTATAACACATACTATAATTGATTTGTAATTATATTCATTTTGTATTTGACACCAGCTGTGAAACTATGATAAAGAGGACTATAGAGGCGCAGGAATGCTGCCAGAAAAAGTGTTTAATGATAAACTTTGAAAGCAATTTTTCTATAAAGTAAAAGCATGCAGTAAAGCACAACAAGTAGACCAAACATCTCCGCGAAGCACAGTCGTCAATGTCACATGATTTGAAGGAGGAAGAGGGAAGGCTGCCAGTGTCGAACTGGCCAATCAGGTGACGTTTTCAGAATTCCACTGTGAGCTAATCTCCCCATGAAAAAAAAAAAAAGAAATTTAGTTCCTCTTTCCATGTAAGCACCACAGCGTAGTCATGGAGACGGCACAAACACACAAGCATGGCGAGAAATGAAACTTTTGCTACTGTTAAAGTAAAATGCATTTTATCACCACATGTTTGTGTATGTATACATCCCCTTCCACCGGCGGGTGAGACACGCTACAGCAACAAAATGTACTCACACAGTGCTGTGTGTCGCAGCAGATTGGTATTGAGAAATTTACTTTTGCTCTTCTCCTCAAATGGCTTTAATTTCCCAATCCCTGACTCTGTTCGACGTTTGTCTCATTTCCTTTTTTACCATAACAGGAACTTGAATTGTTAGTAACGAGTTGGGAGAGAGGAAGAGGAAGGGGAAACAATCCTCAAAATACAACACTTGGCCCACATCATACCACCTTTGGCTCCCTCCGCAGACCTCAGCTAAGAGATCTGAGTCTCCAAAGGTCTTCAGACGGATATCTGAATATCTGGTCATCCACAGAAGCTGACATTGTATAAATATAGACTGCGAGGTGTTGCAAGGGCGACCGGGGAGGTTCTGCAAGATCACACAACAAAACCCAGAAAAGTGGCCTTGTGTCACGGCTTGATAGAATTGATGACAGCAAGTCGCGGTGGTTCAAACAAATGACTCAGACATGAATAAACACAACGCCTTTCTGAGGGCGGATTCACTGACTGTTATTATGAAGAATAAACACTAGTTGTGCCTTTATTTCTGCATGGTGTCCGGGCATGCCGTCAGCTGGATGTTTGGAGGCCTCCGGTTCCGCGGGCGTCAGAGGTCACGAGGGGTCCTGTCTCGTTTGATTGGTGTAGCAGAGCCTCTCTAGCTGCTGAGCGCGCTCGTTGTGGACAGTCATCAAGGTGCGGTTCTCCTCTGTTAGACGCCGAAACTCCTCCTCCAGACGGGCAATCTCCAATGCAACCTTCTCATCCTCCACCAGCTCTGCTAGCAATTTGCGCCTAAGAGATGGAAATAAATGTACCGTTCCATCATTTATTCATTTGCTATCTCTTCCCACTTAATATTTTTTCAGCTGTGAAAAGTTGTGGAGTTTGGCTTGATGCAATGAAACAGGTTCCCAGTTCAGAAAAGGACAAATTTGCAGACGATCAGTCAAATTTTGACATATGAGCAATTCATTTTTCCAGATGTTTTGTCCCTGCTCTGTGGGAAAGGAAGCAAAGAAACCAAAACAAACAAGGACATTATGAAATTATGAAAAGGGCTGAGCTTATCAAAAATAAAAACCCTGCTTACTGTATAAAGCTAACCGGGTCCAAAATAAGTATCTGCATGGCTGGGAAACAGGCCTAAATCAGAATAAAATGTATATTTTAGATACGATTTTGCGTTATACACTATATGATGGTAAATACTGTGCTAATATCAAGCCCTTAACCACAAACATATTTTTTAACCATAAAAAGCCAGAATTTCACTAAAGGTCTGAAAAAAATAATTAATTCTTTGTTACATCCAAGATTACACAATACATCTCAAAAATATTTCTCCACTCCAACTGTATATTTGGTGTCTTGTAAATCCATGTGGGCTGAAGCGGTTATTTGTGCATAACAGCATAAATAACATAAAGTAACATTATTTCCCCATCCTCACATTCTCTCGCAATGAAGCCAATCAAAATGATTGATGAAGCCAATCAGAACTCTCACTCTGTTTTGGACAAGATGACCTGACTTTGGCCGGCTAACGGCGATTTCACACTCTGAGAAGAGATCAGCCTTTGGACTTTGAAACACAGTGTAAGCACACATGCACACAAATCTATGTGCGTAACGTGCATGTCGTGTCCTCGCGCCTGAGAGTGTGCGAATATCAGTGTTGTATTACGCCTGGTAGGTGCCAAGTCGCGCAACAGCAGCATCAACAAAGAAGAAAAAGGAGTCTCCGTTCAGCTTGGATGCCATAACTTTGACAGAAAATTACTATTGACTTGTGTTTTTGATTTAATGTCAAGTAATTTAAAAGCCCAAAATGGTATTTCTTATTAGTGGAAACTTTCTCCAGCACTGATTTATACTGTTTTGACCAGCGGCGATCAAATGAACATTATGTTGACCTTTGGAATCTGTTCACTGGTATTACAGGAATGAGTTAAAGTTCACTATACTATGTAACAGCCTTTACTTGTTTGATACGCTGTGTAAATATTATTTACTAGTTTAATAGGCTGAGGGAAGTTTTGGAAAGCCCCTCCACAATGTATTAGAAAGTCATTCTTGCATCATTTCCCTTTAAGCCTAAAAATATCCCGTTGTGTTAAGAAGTAACCAAACTGTCATTACAATGGTTGATGACCGATACTGTAGCTAAAATATTCACTCTTCCACAAACAACGTGTTCGATGCTCAAAAATCAGTGACGCCTTTTTTGCAGTTTTAGCATTGATTTAAAAGCACAATTGGTCTTGCCGTCAAGTTGTGTCTCACTTTACTTTAAATGTGAGACAACGTTGGCATGAGCTACGGCGTGAAAGAGAGACCAACCAAGAGTTGCTACAGGCCTGACTCATCATGTTCTTATCTAAACTCAAGGCTAAAGTCATCACATCAGAGTCTGCCATGCTGTTTTCTATTTAGGTGGTGTGTGTGTGTGTGTGTGTGTGTGTGTGTGTGTGTGTGTGTGTGTGTGTGTGTCTGCATGTGAGTGTGTGTGTAGGGGGGTGGTGGGGTAGCAGCAACGGCCTTGAATTAAAAAGCCCACTGCTAAAACTGCCCACAGCTGCTGAGGACACAGGGGACCGTGTGACTGTGTGTGTGTTTAATGCACTTTTGTTTATGTGCAAGGATACACACAGTGCAAACGCCATGTGCATTATAGCACACGGCAGGTCTCACTCAATTGCATCTGACGAGGGCTGCATGGTATAGTATAAAGTATATAGTATTCCCCACAGTAAAGATAAATACTTTTCCAAAATGTGATCTACAATCGAACAGCCTTCCCATTCACAATGATTTCTGTATCACACATGTTTGATATTGTTTCTAATTCAAAAGTAATTCTCGTAATAAATCTTAGATCTGTAGTCAAACTCATACATTACAAGCTGTTTTGATATCTCTTTAAATAAAGGGCTGAAGATGATATGCTAAACGCTGTGGGAACATCTGCCATCTGGTGGAAATTTCAATCAAAAATGCCTCATGATCCTCTTGCAAAAGATTTGCAATTTCTAGTGGTCTACATGTATGTTCCAAACTTTTACCAATATTCTTATAAGACATGATTATTCAAATTACGGAAGCACAATCTTATTGGTTTTATTTGAATCAATATGACCAGTTTACCAGAAGAGCTCTTGTTTGTTTGACTCACTTGCGATCCTCGATCACTGCGATGTCATGTTTGACCTGGTGGAATTCTCTCGCCATCCTGCAGTGCTCCTTGTACACCTCGGCGCTCTCTCTCAGAGACCCACAGGGGGGCACTGGCTTCAAGAGGTTAGAGAGAGACATGTGACGTAGGAGAGACGTCGGGTTAGTTCAGGGCCGGGGGCGAAAAACCAAACAAAAGAGATTAGAATATATACAAACCTGGACCTGTTATTTGCAACAGCACTTTCCAGGCAGGCCCATGCACTTTTCTACAGACATCACTTCTGGTGAAACAAGAGATTGCCGTATGTGAGGGCAGCAATTGAGACCTGAGTTAACTTGTCTCCATACTGCTTTTATAACACCTGCAAAATGCTTCTTCGTTCACACCACGGAAGGTCTCACTGGGTGGGACAATGGCAGCATGTCTGACGGCGGATAACGTCATTTTCATTAAAAACACGCGCAGTCCTATATCTTAAATGTGAATATTTATTATTAACACATCACAACGAAGAAACAGAAACCCGCGTACAGTGCGCGAGCGCTCTCATTCACCGGCCTGCTGCTGCTTCTCTCATTCGACTCTAAAGCAACGTGCACTCTGTGCGACCCTGGGCCATGGCGCCCGTTGAAGGATAATTCAATGACAACGGTAATAGCAGAATGAGCACACACAGTGAAGAGAGTGAGTGGTGTCATATACTGTATGTACCTACTATGAACAGAAAAGGTTTTAGAGGAAATTTCCAGCATCATACAACATTTTATTTTTTGCCTTTATTTTTGGATTTATTTTATTGCAAAGTTCCTTTAAAGAACTTTCCCTCTCAACATGCCGTCAACTCATTTATAGTTGGTTGTTTCCACAATGATTTCACTGAGCTGGGCTCTATGTGTAGAACAGTTACACACTAAAAGAAATGAGAAATAATGACGGCAACAGTCAAAAACAGTCAAAATCAAAAAGGGAAATAAAAAAGGGTCATATTTATAGAATAAAGCACTAAGAAATAACCAGAGCTATACATGAAAGGAAGAATTTTGGATTTAAAATCATTGCCATCACTTCGATAGCCTCTGCTCTCTTATGCTGCTCTGTAATGTTACAGCATGTAGGAGTATAATAGTACTTTATACCTGCAGTCGCTGTTCAAGATCCGGGAAAGTCTTAGGAAGGTCTTCCACATCTTTTACTCCTAAAGAAACGAAATGCATTATTCACATATGAATAATCTCTATAATGATTGATATTGCAGGGGTCAATATTGATCAATTTTGTTTTGCATAGAATCATAATATGTAGATGTTTGATAAATGTGTTTAAATACTAAAGTAAAAGTACATCTAAACTGTACGTATAGACCACTTGATGAATTGTACATAGTTACTCTCCACCAACAGCCTCTAGACGGATTCACTGTCTTCCATCAAAGCACTTTACTATAATCAGCCTGCAGAGATTGGAAAACTAGTTTATGACACATTATTGTTTTTAATTGGCTTCCCAATGATGGCATGATCAAACAGGCAGAGTGTTTATAAGTATTTTAACTATCTTAAAATGGATCAAAACTAAACGCTATAGGGGTCCATACACACAAATGTACAGTGCGTGCCGTATTATTTTACTGCAGTAATGAGCAGTCACATTGAACGACGCAAAGGGTAAGAATACAAACGGACACACACAGTCAGGCCAGATGTATGGACACAGAGGGGTTCAGACAGACGAGCAGCCAGACGGACAGACAGACAGACAGAAACAGACGGGTTGTGTGCACCAGCCTTTGCCTTGCCAGCAATGTCCCCCTGGAGTTGTGGAACACATGTGGAGAATCCTAGGATGATGCAACCTTCTAAAAGCAGAGGTACCAGTGGGCCAGCCTGCAGCCAAGGGGCCAATTATGATGTGGAATAAATACAGTTCTAATGCTTAGGATTGACACCGTGTGTGGTTATATCTATGCCTGGCATGAAGTCATGAGAGCCATGCAGGATAATCCCTAGATGGAGCACAGGTCTTAGTCTCCCTGCTGGGAAACACAAGTTCAATGAGGCAACAACATGATCGCCCGGGACATATCCAAAATGTAACTTCGGATGGCGGGGTCAAATTGTGGCTGGACAGCTCCCGGAGCAACCACTGCAAGTAAAACAAGACAATTTGAGCCTACCATCAGCGAAAGCCAGCAAAACACAACGACATAAGCCATAAGATTTATCATAAAATGAACCAACGCAGAAAGAAACTTATTGGAAAACGAGCTGAAACTAGACTAAATCCACACGAGTGGATGTTTTAGATGAGGCGAAAAAGCAAGCTAGAAACAAACGCACGCCAGTAGGAATGATTCAGTTAGAGGACATGGCAGAATGACAGGCACAAGGCCTTCCATGGGTGCAATGAATCATTGCTTAGAGTGGGATTCGAGTGTCGTTCCTGCCACAGCCCTTCATCTCACTTCCTCCGAGAAAGACAAGAGGGATCAGAGACGGGCGGAGTATGACTGAACGTGTTAACTGCATATAAATATAGGCCAGTGTTCTAAAAGCTGAACAGTGAATCAGGCAGTGGGACACTGTTAGTATTAGCGGGGGAAACCTGACTCTGCCATGGCTGCAGCTGCTGTCCCAGTGCCTGGCCCCCCCACTGCAGTAAAACATCCTGACGGACACTACCTTGACCATAGGTAGGGTAGACCAGCAAAAATGAATCATTCTGGTCCTGCAAGCAAATTGTTTGAGGGTTCACACACGTGTGCGTTGTGCACGGCTGCGCACGTGCGTGTGCGGTGAGTTTTTATGCTGCGGTTCTACAGAAATAGAGGGAGCACCTGTCTCGGCCACAGCGTAGAAGAATGAACACAGTGTGAGGGGGGGGGGGGCGCTGGTCTGTTTTGGTGGCAGGAATGCAACGCATGTGTTCCACACATACTGCAAATGCAGTGAGAGTAGAGCTCCAAGCCGCACCAGGTGTTCAACGAGTCAATCGAGTAATAGGTGCGACAAAACTCAAAATAAGTTGGATTTTGACACTTGTATGTGCAAGGGCCTCAGTGTGTGAGGTCAGTGCAAGGAGAGCTGCAGAACACAGCAGTGTGTGTGTGTGTGTGTGCGTGTTAATGAGTGTGCGGTTACCTGATGTGTCTTCGAGGCTGAAGGCGATTCTAACTTCGGATTTATCGGGAGACACTCTTCTGGTTGAGGTGATCATTTATCCCTTTGTGAGGCCCCAAAAAAGAGCTGTTAGCTAAATGAGACATGATGATTAATGAAAATAATTTACGACATTTACCATTAAAGAAAATCAGTTTTTCTTAGAATTGTGGTAATTTCTCTGTGTAAATTGGGTTTTACACTGTTTTATAGGAAAAAAAAGCTGAAGTAGTAGCATAAGTCAAGTACACCATTTTGTATTCCGACCAAATACATAATTTGGAATTTAGCCACACTTAACTGAATATTTAACTGCTACGGTCATTTTGAAAGCCGGCTTTGATGAATCATGTGATTGACACACACCTATACAAAAGTATAAGGGCTTCGTGTACACACACATTAGGCACCAGTTATATCATGCATTTAGGGTTGCAGTCAGGTTAAATGATCTGGTCTGGATTTAGCATGACCTCCTCCAGAGTATGTAAAGGCTTTTCATGTCATATGCCTATTTTAACCGCCGTAAACCTTGTGTCTCAAACAGCAACGCTCAATGACCTTCGACACTGGAAAATTAGGCCTTTTTAATTCATGCTTTATTAAGGCTCTCTCGGTTGCTGGAAAAGCCAAAAGGGGCCCAATACTGTCCAAATATAACAGTAACGGTAGATGAATCTACAGAATAGTATCTCTATTGTTGTCATATAATCAGCATTATGACGGAGAACACTTAAATACACAAACTATCTGCAGCATATAGCTGGAAATCAATCATCTGAGCCAACAGGTCATTGTTACCTGAAGCAGCAGCAGCCCAGCACAGGAAATTCCAAAAAATTAAAATTAAAATGAAGGGTACGTCCTCAATATTGACAGCTGCCTTTTCCCCGTCGGACAACCGCTGAGGTCTCTTCAGAAATAGTACAAGGCGTCTCTCGGCCGTAGCATGGCATAACTCTCCCTCCAAAAGTTGATCTCCACTTCCCGCTTGAGACTGAAACTATTTTATTGAGAAATCAGAAGTTCTCCACCATATTCATCCAGCATGCATCAGTCACACGGACTCCAGCAGCTCAAGTTTGCGTTGGCATTGACATGTTATTCGCGGACTGTAGCAACCATGTGGTGAAGAGCAACACAACAGGGCGCAGGCAGTCGAGGAATGCCGTCCGCTGTCCCCCTGTGTGGACCCGGGACCAATTAAATGTCTCAGATGACATGACTTTAGCCTTCAAAAATGCCCATAGCCGTGGCACTGTTTTGAGTGACACAGTGGCCGCGATGGTCTTTGGCTTTGCAATAGCTGTGCAATGAGACAGTTGCTAAGAATGAACATCTCTCGCCATAAAAGCTCTGGAGGAAGAAGCATCTTAGTCTGTTTGGAGGTCGTAAAGCAGGTGATATTATATGTATGGGGGGAGTTTTTTACAATACATAGACTACTTCAAATGGGATTCAGGCACGTAAGGGTGGACTTTTTAGAGGGACAGGCGAAATTTTTGAAGTACCAGTTAAAAATGTTCTTAATTCAATGAGAAAGTGTGTCCAAACGTTTGACTGGTACTGTGCACAGATGTTTTACTCAGGAGTACTTGAGTACTCTGTAGGCCTATAATCTCACTGTATGCTGTAAAGAAAAATTGGTATTAAACATGTGGCTCTGTAGCACTATCCCAGAAAAAAATAACCCAGGTAAGGTTATTAGTTTAAGCTCAATCGTCACCAAAACAAAACTTGGGGGTTTGGAGTTGGGAATTTATGGAGCGGCATAGAGCACAAATATCTGGTCACAACTTGTGGTAGAAAGGATCAATTTGTTTCTGCATCTTTTAATTATAGCGTCGGTTTAAAGATGGGCGTAATGACAGCTATATGCAGCTCCTAAGTGCAGCAAAGATGTATTGACCGCCCCCTGGTGGCTGACTGCAGTACAGCTGATAAACCCCTCCTCTGCATGTTAGTGGATGCAACCTAAACAAAACATGCGCCTTCTAAATAATTCAAGTAAACTTCATGTAGGTGTACACCCAGAGTGTGGACATATTTATTCATATACATTATTCTCATAATAGTGTTTCTATCATCTTGAAATTTGATGCTTCAAAAAGGGGACGTAATATTATGATCATCATGATCTCTCTCCCTAACAGGTGTGTGTTGAAAGTAGACGCCGTCCTTCAGAATGAACTAATTGAGCTAAGAGCTAACCTTAGCTTAGGCCTGAGCTAACTAATCAATAAGAGAACCTGTGAGCTCACAAACGAAATATAATTCATGGCATGTTCCATGGTAGATCGGAGCCACACATTGAATTAATGTTGCAAAATACGAATCAGGCCACAATTTTAGATTGCTGTAAAAACTACAGCAACTGCATGTATTGAAGCCAAAAACTAAAAACGTATTTCAAAAGGAAACATTTGAACATTATGTTTACATTACAGTTAACAACGTAAAATGATTATACGGTGGCAGCACATCTAAATGTCTAAATGTGAATCCTCGCTCTTCTTGATCAGAATGATCTAATTATATGAGGGGGAACTATGCCAGTAGCACATTTGTTTATTCAGAGATTGAGAGAATTAGTGGATCAACAGGCTGCTGATAGTTGCTACGGCGGCAAACAAACCCCCGCTTGATTGTGTCATTGTGATTACTGGAATGATGAAGCCTCTCCAATGCCAGACTGAAAACAAGCAAAAAAAAGCAAACACACATCCCCTCCTCGCCAATAAAATCTAATACAACTGTTGGAAGAACATATTTTGACTGAATGTTTATAGAAAAATGGCTTATTGATTGTATCTCGCAAACACAGTGTGCCTGTCTTCTTGAGGCACAGGTATTGTTTCTTTTTTTAACACCCCTGGGACTCTAATCAAGGGGCACCCAGGTAGTGTTTAGGTCACTGGGGGACTTTAATAATCCCTGATCCATTAGCACCATGAACATATGAAAAGCATATTGTTGACCAAAAGCCTCAGCTATTCAGGACTAAGAGAGGAGGCAGTAACAGGTCCAGGTATGATGCTACTAGCATAAATGATCATTTTAGTCATTTCTTATCATTGTGTTCTAGCTGGTGAGCTTACTTTATGGAAATGCCTAATTTGCGGTGAGCAATAAATATGCATGAACTGGTTTTAACACAACAGCAACATTTTGCATTTGAGACCCACGCTTCCAGAGCTGCTGGAAAGAAACGTCCATCAACCCTCCATCTGGCCATTATTTTAGGCTGAATGCACCCTAAAAACGACCATAACTCATTATAGGCCTAAACACAGGCCTAAAACAAAATGTAGACACAAGTCCCTGAAATAATTACTGTGCAGGGTTTCCTCATGTTCAGATGTATTGCAACATTCTGGAGTAAAACATCCTTGTGGCCAGTTCACCTGCACAGCAGCAGATCAGAGCATTGCCCCTGAATTATTTACAGCAAGTATTTCAGACGGTAGGACAGAAAGACACAGAGAGACGACAGAGCAAGAGAGATAAATGATGCTGTGCACCTCCCAGAGGCCTCCTCCTCCTCCTCGTTTGTCTTCATTGACAGGCTGTTGACAGACCTGCCTTATCAGCCCCAGAGACCGTTCGTCTCATCGTGATGGATGGGACATACTCAAACGTCTGCCAGTCCTTTAAATTGTCAGACTTGACAGGTTGAAACGATTTGGATGTGGTATTGTAGACGAATGTGTGGCACAAATTGTGGAAGGATAACTTTCTCATACAGAAGTAATTGCGATAATGCAGCTGGTTTTAGACCACAAGTGTAAACAAAAATCAACGTAATTTAAGTCTTTCGAGAATTCATGTCCGTTGCTGACCTTTCCTTCAAGTGAACGCAATAAAAAGAATTATCCCGCCGATTTTGGACGCGTTTAAAATGTCAACAACGGTCTCTTTGAGCCGTATTTTCATTTTGGATCTCTCAGGACTTTTCTCTCGATCTTTTTCTCTTCACCACATGGAAGAGTTATGGATCCTAATCTCTGACCTTCTTGCCGACAGCACAAACATACAGATGCCAATATCCCTGAACATCTCCCCAATTTGTTTCACTTCTTCCAACAGCCGCCAAGGCTGAGAGCTCTGTGTTTCAGAATCATTGAGAGGAAAGTTTTCATCGCTGTGTAAAAACAAACACATGAACATATGTGAAGAATGAAACCTTGTCCAAGAGCAGAGCATTGTTCAGGTGAAGTAAGAAGGAGAAAATTCCTGCTCAGCTTTGCAGAAGGCCGGAGTTGTAATCCATGGCCTCGTTCATGGCGGATTATTTGATGATAAAAAAAAACAAATACTGCCTTTGGTTCTGATTAAGAATTATGGGGTTAGGAGATTAGAGACAACCAAATGCTATTACATTGGACCGAGCCCAATACCAGAATTAATCTTTATACCAAAAAAACGAAAAAACTCATTACTTGAAGAGATTAAGAAAAGCTCAGTCAATTCTCTCAGGACGCAGACAAACCACTGCACACCATCCACCAAGAAAATATCAATACAAAAGCTCTGACTCCAGAATATTATATACTATTTAAATACATTTATTGCACGTTCTTGTTTCAAATGTCATGCATTTGCTGGAAATGCTAGGTCAGCTCCTGACATTCTTGATAATGAATTGTATTGAGATGTAATGCTGAAGGTGCTCCATTGACATTTCCCACTTCAGACATTGTCAATATAATTGTTTGTAAAGAATGGTTGTGTTCTTTACCTGCTTTTTGATTTTATTGATGACAGCATTTCAAAAATGTCATGAAGCCAACGATTGGCTTCAATAGGATATTCCAAAAATACACATTGTACTTGTCAAGTGTATTGACAAGAGTACAAAGCAGGTGTACAGCAGGACCAAAGGTGATTAGAGGGTTAAGAGCCGGTAGAGGGACAAAGAGGGTGAATCTCATCCAATTTGTTTGTTTTTCCCAGATATACAAAAGTTCCTAATATAGCTTTAAGCTCAGAACGCAATGAAAGTTAGGGAGATGTGACAGACTTTTTAAATGTGTCCATAAAAATATAAAAGTAGTGTGAAGGCAAATTTAGTTTTGAAAATTACCTAGTTCTATTAGGAACATTTTATATGGGAACATTTGTTGGAATTATTAGTTATTACTAATTCTCTTTGAAATCTTTTTTTAAGCGCTACACAACACGCAGACTAAGCCTGTAAAGTACTTGCAGAAAAGCTACTCTCTGTTGTAGTTGCACACTTCCACTGTCAACATTCGGAGACAAGATCTCCCCTTCGGGCTTTCCAATTTGACAACTGCAAACCGAACCAAAATGACTAAATTGACTGATTGAAAAAACAACACGTCCACTCGCAGAGGAATAAAGGAAATTGTCTTTGACCTCCGGAGAATTTCATGCATTAAAAAAAATACCTGTTTTTCACTTTCTTCTTCTCCGGAGAAGGATCAACTAGTATCATATTCTTTTTCAGATGCACGGACAGCAACATTTCATGATCACAAGCATTTGTGAAGGTGTGTGTGTGTGTGTGTGTGTGTGTGTGTGCGTGCGCTGGGGAAGGAGGGAGGTTGTTTGCGGTCTGCGGTGTCGGTGCTTGAAGGGTATAAAACAGCAGGCGTGTTCCGGGTTTTCTTTAGAGGTCCTTATCCCTTTTCCCTGTCCAAGGTTGGCTCAGCAGTCCGCGCAGAAGCTACTTTGCTGCTTGCCAATAGGCACACAAAGGAACATGCGCAAACACCACTGCCAAGCACAAACCACAACAACAGAGAATCGGTCTGTGGTTTAAAAAACGCAAAAAGGCTTTTTACTTTGAAAATCAAGTCATGTTGTCTTACATTTACACAATGAGAAGATCTATGAAGTTTGCAGATTCTGCTTAGCAAACCGCTTAGAAAAATGAACCACAGGGATGAGGGAACAGCAATGGTTTACAGTAGTTATTCCCTATATTATTATTATCAATGTTGATACAAGCCAAGACTTAATTAACTACAGTACATCTACAGTATAATGCTTAATGTATTGACCCAACAGATAAAGACGGGGGTGATGAAAAAACACCTTCATATCATTTGATGGCCATAAACACATTTCAGGAGTGGAGGACTGATGAGATCAAAGTTCCTTTAGCTTTGTAGATCCAAGGCTCAAGGGCTGGAGTCCCGTCGTGATCCCTCCCTCTTTGCAGTGCGTTTTGACTGACAGAGGACGCAGGCTGTCCTTGCTTCACTGTGGGGTCGCGACCTCCTGCGGATGCCCTTGTAACACTGCAGGGACATGCCCAACTCCTCCATCCGGGAACTAAAAGATACGCACTGCCAAAGAGAACGACGCGAGTTAAGATACCAAAAAAAGCTGATGGGTTTAAAGGCAAATACTTGTTGTCTCAGCAAAATCCACCAACATAATCAAGAGATGTTTCCTGTGCAGCATCATAATGCGGGAAGATATGCATTGGTAATTATTTGATGATCAAAGAGCGCGCCTTCTTAACGAGGTGCCTAAGGCTCATTTGATTTTGCAGAATAACCAATCGCATTTAACTTTCATCATGTTTATTAGCCTTTTAGTTTGCTCTCCTGTAGAGGTATTACTCGCAAAGTTTATTTAGCAAATTATCATTCGCAGCACAAGTCGTGCCGTTTTTATAGGTCTGTCTTTGCATCGGAAGAACATTGGTCTTCCTTTTTCATCCTCAGCCTAAGGCTTTTTGAACAAATGTGGCTTCCTGCAGGGTTTCCCACAATTACCAGTAACACTCCGTGTCCGTGGAAAACCAACCTGGCTCAAACCACAGACCAAAGAAAAACCTTGTGAATTTGTGTAACATAATGGTATTTTATCTATATATTTAGTAGTTATCATAATTATCTGATATTGACTGTATTAAACGGTTCAAAACAAACTATTCTTCTATGGGTCCATGATTTCTACATACTGAATACATTTTTTTGTTTTTGTTTATTTTGATGAGATTAAACTCACGACTAGAGGACCAGGTCAGTATCCCTCTGTGATCCAATCCATCATTACTTCAGTTAAAGTCTCCAGCAGTCAGCAGCAGTGTCAGGGGACATCTAACCTCGACACGGTGTTCCATCATTGTTATCCGAATTTCATCCAACAAACCAGTCTACCGATGAGGCTAATGAGGAGAGAAATATTCAAATAACTTTTCCTATCACTTGATTTCCCAAAAGGCATTTGGAGTCTGCCTCTACACAAATGCCTAACGAGACTTCACTGAAGAAAATAAAAGTTGTAAGAAGGGTATTTAAGTTCAAGTGATAAACTAGTAACCGGGTGCTACAAAGGATACATACAAATAAAAAAACCAATGCCCTGGGTTTTTGGGCTTTTATAAGAAAGGGAAGTGCTCCTGACGTGCTCTATAATAAAAATATGCAAATAAGACGGGATTGTCATTTACAGACCCGCCCGCATGAAGATGAAATTAATTTTCATCATAAAACAAGCTTGTTAATCCCTAAGAAAGGACAGTATTTGACTGCAATATATATAGTACCAGTTAAACAGAAAAAAAGCTCACGGCAATCTTATTAAACGTTGTCATAATTTAATATTGGCCTTAGGACAAAATAAATGAATTTGAGAACAACATTTCCATCAAAACCGGTTGGAAGAAAGGACGTAGTCATGTGGGAATGAGGGTCAGCTATTTGAGGTAATACGGTAATAAGGATTGTCACACACAGGTGCAGATTTACTGGGGTATTTCCAGCAGGGGGGGGGGGGGGTAGAGACAGAGACAGCTAGGTACAAACCTATTGTCTAGAGTGTGTATATGTTGTAAATGTGCTGCCATGGCTATTCTGTGTCATCCCCCAGTAGCCGGCCGCTCTCCAGATCAGTAGAATAGGAGGTGCCAGAGGAGCAAGTGGAGCCACGGCGCTGAAACTGACGGGACTGCACCCCATAAAAGAAGCAGAAGGCCTGACGCGAGCATGCAGAGAAAGAAAGAATGGAGCAGAAAATAGACACGTAAAAAAAAATAAAAACATGCAAAAATAAAAAAAAACACAGAAGCAAGAAAAAGCAATAAACTAATCATGTTAATGGTCTTTGTTATCTTTCTTTCATAGCATCGCCTTCAATAACGGTGCGGTAATGGATGTTCTTGTTGTTGAACGCAAATAGAAAACACGCCACTGCTAATTGGGACTAATTATTAGTCATCTTCATTTTACATTAGTGCTTGATTTTCAGACAGGGAAGCTGGAACTAAAAACAAAGCATGTAGGCAAAGCTGCAGGCATAAACCAGTGCTGATGACTTCTTTGTGGAATGAATGACATATGACATATTGTAAGAATATGAGGGAATGGTTTACCTTTCCTGCCTATCACACTGCCATATTCAACCCTGTGTTTGCTGTGCATTTGTTTACACCAGCAAAATACAAATATGATTGTGAGCAAATTACTTTTTATCAAGCCAATTACATCTAACAAGCACTTACGTAGTTGGAAAATCTGAATAAGTAACAAAGAAAAAACAAACATTGAACAGTATATCTGAAAATGGGTGTGAGAATAAATTACATTCCAATTTGTTTGAATACACTTGATTTTAAACAACCTAGAATTCACTTAACAACATTTTCTCCTCCACAGAGCTTTGTTTAAATCAAAGATGTCATCACGAGCTTCCAGGGAAGCGGAGTCAACCTTAAATCTAGTCATTCTTTATCTGTCCCGCAGAAGTACAGCAGCTCCCTGACCCTTACTCACCTCCTCTATGTCAGCGTTCTTACGCGCCTTGTAGATGAACTCTCCGATGGCCACGAACACGGACAGGACGAGTCCGGCGGCCAGGACGATGAAGATGCCGCCGATGTTTTCCACGCCCAGAGCACTGGCTTCCTTGTTGTCCTCCTCTGGACAGCCGTTGCCTCTCCACCACTTCTCCTTCATCATGTGCAGCTTCCCTTCCTCCTGCAGCTGAAGGATGGCAATGGTCACCTTATCTCTGTATGGGGACCCTGGTGAGGGCAAATCAGAGGAAGACATTTGTAATGACATGAGTATTTATTAAAAACATGAATTCCTTCATCAGTCCAGCTGAGGCAGCACTCTTTTTACTTTGTTAGCAAACCATTTTTTATATTGAAGGAGTGAAATACGTTTTAATAGGTTTAAGAAGGAGCGTTCCGCCCAAAATCATCTAGATCAATCCCTCCAATATCCAATGACAGTCCAGGGCCTGGAACATATGGGACATTTAAAACGGTTTATCAGATAAGAAAAGAACGGAATAAAGTTGGCTGCAGTGCAACTCAGCAGAGGCATGGCTGGATCTGCCCTGACGGCATCAGTCAGCCTTCAAGCTTTAAACTAAACCTGAACCAAAGTCCTCGCGCTGTGGAAAGAATCCTGCTAAACACACACACACACGCGCACACGCACACGCACACACAGAAAAAGTTAAGCCATTGCTGAACCACAGTTAAAGATTACTCTTGAGGATGGCATCATTATTCTGCTTTGCATGATGTTTTTTTGTATATTTGGTTTGATTTTAATGCCATATCACATGCTGTGCTCCGGACAACGCTCATGGACACATAGAATTAGTAGATGCATTGAGTACAGTCAGAGATTAAAATAAGAAAAAATCCTCCTAGTGGTCAGCCACAATATGTACCATGTGCCTCGCAGGTGTTCATCCCTCTCCTTTCTTGTTCACAACTCTGCCTTGTGAAGCTTGCTAGCTCTTGTACCATTAGGGAAAAGAGGCTGAATATAGACAAATTATGTGGGCTGAACCACCTGCAGCTCAACATCAAATTTGGCTGGATGAAAAGCCCCACTGCCCTCTACAAAAGTGGCAACTTTAATTTCTGAGGAGGATCTGCTAATTGGCCATCTGCAATGCCATGCTGCTGATATTCCTCCACTATGTGAAAGCAATCTTTACACGGAAGTGCAGGTATGATAATACTACAATCATTTTCATTTGGTAAAAAGTTGATGTATTTTTAGAAGGCTTGTTTTACTTATTTGTTAAATACAATACACGGTCTAGAACAAAGAGCACACCCAAAGAATGTTTACCTACTGTTTAATTATAAACAAGTCTCACTCTTACCAGTTACCAGGGCATCTCCAAACATCCAAACAGCAGACAAGACGTCATGTACTCAAATTAAGTGCAATATTAAAAACGCTTGTTTCGTGACTTAGAATATTTTCTTGATTGACATCTATTTTCGGCTTTTCATTCTCCGCTAACTGACAAACAAGGAGGTGAGGTGTTGGTGCTACAGACGCATTTTTCTCCTTGCAGCCACTTACATCCTCCTTCTTCTTACCAATAGGTGTTCCCACTCCGTAGCCCTTAGAGTCGATGAGACCTCCAATCTGTGTAAGGTTGCAGTTCCTCTGGCTGATGTATTCGATGCTGGTGGACTCCATCAGCATGGCGTAGTCCGTCGTCAGGACCCGCGTGATGCCTTCTCTGTTGTTCTTAACCAACGCTGTGTTCTTCCTGCTGCTCATAAACGCCCACATCTTCTCGTATGTGGAGATCTTTGATTTCTGCCAAGGTGGACATGCAGGCAAATGCATTTGTATTACGTGTGAATGTGGCTTCACAACTACAACACTTGACTCCTAACTGGATTTAAATCACTATCATCAGACGTATAACACTTTAACATCAGAATACGTGGGACTGTGTCTTTGTGAACGTGTGTGTGTGTGTGTGTTCCTTCTTGCTCAGTCAGAGAAAATGGGACAGCTGTGTTCTAAATCTCCTCCAGCTGATTCAATTTGTTCAAGCCATCAACACAGCCTGCTTCTTCCTATCCGAGCAGACGTAATCACTGGCTGCGATCCGGGACGATAAAGCCCTGCATGGATCGCTCCCGCTGAGCCACCAGGATGCAAGGAGAGTGGATGGAGTGAGTGAAAAGGCTCTGCATGAGGCCATCGGTGCAACGGTATATTATGTAACACAAACTAAAAAGTTAGCACATGTTTAACCTCAAGATAGAGACCCCATAACAAAAACACAAGTAGGCTTAATATGCATCATCTCCACTTCTCATCATACACTTAGTGGTTGATGCATCTACGTTGCCTCTAATTAAGGTAAATGCTAATCTTTTCTTCTGCCTTCAGGTTGTTCTTCATGGGATATGTGGGAAAGATGCAGCATGATTGGGTGAGCAGTTGAGACTGCCATGACTTCAACTTTACGGAAGGCTTCTCTGCAACTGATTCATACTGTCTAAAGGTACGACACAGGTCAATACAAACAGTTTTGTGAATTAATGTATTAATATACTCTACTATTTGGACTGTATATGGTCTTATGACCTCTGCTGCAAATGATTTAATATTAAATTCAGGAATGTGTGAAACATAATTTGAAGGGATCTACAACTTGTCGTGAACTTTGGAAAAGGCAAACAGACTTAGATTTAGAGAGCACACCAGTTGTACCTTGAAGAAGGTCATGGTGGATCCATCCCTCACCGCCCCATATTCAATCCTGGTCTGCTTTGCCAGGTCGTCTGCCGAGTCGATGGGCGCGTCCATCCGCTCCACCGTGAGGAAGGCGGCCAAGTTGGCCGTGTAGGAGGAGATGATGATTAAGGTAAAGAACCACCAGATACCTCCAACTATGCGAGTGGACAAAGCCTTGGGCATCAGTTCTGAGCCTGCAAGCACAGCCAAGGGGAAGAAAAGGATAGAAAATAGCTTGACGACCAGTATGATCCGGCTAGAATGATAAGTAGTGCAGCTAATGTGTTCTTGTGTACCTGCGCCTGTTTTAACATCTCTTGAGCTTGATGTGGGCGAATGCGTTCCCACACTCTTAATTTCAAACATTTTGCAAAGTCATATAACTAATTAACGTGTATTTATGACAGAGTAACCCAAAGAAAACTCAAAGTCACTGTTGACCACCAGGCAGCTTGTTACACACACACCACATATTACCCACATATGCCACAAAATAAACCAGAACACAAAGGCATTGAAATTGATTATAAAAAAGCTCCTTTTATTGTTACTGCTGCATTTCTGATGAATCCAAGTTGCTATGAGCAACATTTGAATATTTCATCAGCACCCACATCATTTGGATCAGTGTTATCAGTGAGTTTGTTGGCCAACCGATCAGGCATGCCGGACTTATCCTGTCCAAATCTCCTGCCTCGCGGCAGGTCAAGTCCCCATGAAGTTTAACATGATTGATTTACATGCTACGGTTGCAGTTAATGAGGACTGCATCCAGGCTGTGTGTAAAGGGCATTCACAGAAAGTATTGATGTTCGAATTAAACAGAATAGATCAGAGTTTATAGTGTTAGTACAGGTTTTACTGCTCTACGGACTTCAACAGCTCTACTGTATCGCATTTGCAGCCTTTGCTGTTACTATCTTCTAAACTTACTTTTGTTGTACTTGTTCTGTCTATTTCTGTGTATGTACGTAGTCAGAACAGAGTCAAATTCCTTGATACACATACATTGCCAATTAAGATTAATCCGATTACAAGATTCTTTAGAATCCTGTTTCTGAAAAAACGGAAAATTCACTGTAATTTCTGAAGGAATTACCTGTATTTTTAGCTGCCAAATGTGTCACTATGTTTTCCAGTCAGGTGCTAACTTTGTCTGCTGTTTTCGTACTGCGTTGTGAAGTATTATACTGACCTTTTTAACAAAGCAAGCAAAAAAACAGCTTCCTTTTTCCACGGAAAAACAATATTGTGAGAGAGGTGAGAATTGTCTGCCAGAAACCCAAAACAAGCTAAATAATGCTCAAGGCTGTCTGTTTTTTTGGAGCAACCCCTTATTACGCACAAGAGGCCCTCTGATCCATTGCTAACATTCAAATATTGATTGTTAAATACCTTGCCGCATAAGAGCTCCAACACCAAACCAGAAACTGTTGAGTAAAGTGAAGTTGTTCTGTATTAGGGTTGAGGACGGGTTGCACTGATGTGGGTTGTACCACTCGTATGGAGTAAACCTGCGAGGGAAATGAAAAAGAGTAAAACAAAAATTACAAGAGAAGAAAAAGATGCAAAACCATTTGTAGCTTATCTGCATTTTTAGTTTTCGACAAAAAATAAATCTTGGTCATTAGAATATTAATGGAAATTTGCTCAAACACTATTAAAACACTTTGTGATTCCTATCATTTGAATAGTACAATTATGTTTTATGCTCGGTACTGTCGATGTGTTAGTTTTCTTCTTTGCAAATTGAATAATTAACAAAATCGTTTTTGGCGAACGCTGCATGCATGCAGCTCTGTTGACAGTCCACATCCTTCAGCAACCTTAGTTTCGTCATCATCTTAACCTTCGTCATCTCAATATCACAAGCATCCTCCTACCTGGCAATGACAAAGAGCACACAGCTAACCCCTGTGCAGGCTAGCAGCACGTACATCCAGATGTCCGGAGACAGGGGATTAAGGAAGGAGAACACGCCTGGGTTGGTGCCGTTAGGTTTCCGGTATAGGATACTGATACCTAAGGTCATGAAAGGCTTGGAGAAGTCAATGACTTTCTCTCGAACATATGTGATGGTCAAAGGGGCCACAGCAAGGTCTGCAACCTAGAAAAGACAGAAAACCTCTTCCAGTATTTGGTACTGTTTGTCTGCTTATCAACACCCGAACAGCATGTACATCTTACTACATGTGTTTTAACCAAATTCAATCTTAAACTACGATCCACTTTTCACGTACATATGTAGAAATTACAGACTCCTACTAATGGGGGAAGTTTACAATCATAACTGTGAAATACTACAAAAATACCCGAGACAGCTTTTCCACAAATAGACAGGTTAATTACATCGTTCCAACACCAACATACAATTAACAAACCAGGAGGTTACAGCTTCACTCAGGATATGGTTAGGAGGCATTTTAAAAGACATGCCAGTGGATATCAGCAGCGAATAACCATATATATATATATATATATAGAAAACATATTTATTACAAGCCCTGTGTGGCAAGAGGCAAATTGATAATGCACTACAGGACAGCACCTTGTAGGCTACTGGTATCACCAAAGAGAGCAACGTGATTATTCTGGTCTGGGTAAACATCCCCAACAGGAACACGAACAGGCTTTGTTACCATCTGAGAACTTAATTACAGACTAATTTATTGATTCAATGCGAATGCAGGATTCATCAGGCCCACTAGTCTGCCTCGCACAACGCTGTTGTGTATACTTGGACTCGTGCAACAGCGGTGGAGTCTGCTTCTTGTCTAATCATAGTTGTTTTTTTTCTTCTGCAGATTGCATTTACACCTCACAGATCATAAACGTGTCTTTTGCCATAGAGCATATTTTCTGCAACAATCCAAAATTGAATAGAAAAACCTGTAGTTGAGAGGAACCAGTCAGATGCAAAATTCAAAAATACACCATTCCTACAGCAATCTAGATACCTTCTGTACAGTAACTCCTGTTGTGTGAATGCAGTTAACTCACGTGATCAATCAGCTCCCGCACCATCCCATTCCACTCCCCTTTGTCATTCTGGGCGCCGTATTTCCCATCACCCACCAGTCTGACTTCATATGTAAAACCTAAGATGTTCGAGAGCTCTTTCAAAAGGTCCAGGCAGTAACCCTCAAAACGATCATTCCCAATCAGTTCCTTGTCGGACTTTCTCTGCATCACATATGGATTCTCCTGCACAGCAAAAGAAAACATTATTTCACTGTTTTTCAGGCATATTACTTTTTTTATCCAATTATTTCTACCCCCCCCCCCCTTGGCTTTCCTCTGTTAAACCTTCCTTCTCACCAGTATTGTGGTGACAATGAGAGTCCTGTTGGCCAGAGAGTCCGTCACATTGTTATTATTCTCTCTTTTGGACTTCTCCGTCAGGTTCATCCCCCTGTACGAGTTCCACACAGCAATCTGGACGGGAAAAGAGGTCTTTAGGTTTATTGAGCCACATGTTCTGCTTTGACCAGTAGACGTACTATGGGAGACTAAATGGAAAAGTACAGTTATTAGCTGCTCTTAAAACTGGATATCTATTTTCATAATTTGTTTTTTCTTCATTCTAGATACCCAATGATTGAGAAAATAATCCAGAGTAACCAATAATGAAATAATGGTTAGTTGCAGCCCAACGTCCACATGATGGGGAGGGATTGGAGATCACAGCAGTAGGGACAGTGTTTATGAGGAAGGGCAGGACCAGAAGGGGTCAGATGCGGATAGAGAACAACATGGTGCTTCTCCTCTGTCGCAGTCTCTGCGAACGACCAGGCAGTATAATCCAGACAGTTATCAGATTAGAACAGGCGTCTGGCAGCTGGATTTTGACCCTTTCAAATCCCCTCACTGGTTAAGATCTCAGCATAGTTCAAGGGGGCTCATGATATTGATGCAATAAAGTTAAGTGCGTTAAATTGGGCTTTATTATTGATAGAAGCAAAGCTTTCCTCCTTTTGAGGTTCATTCTGGGAACAAAAAAATACTGCATTTTGGTATTTTTCTGAAGGAGACAGGGCCTGCAATGCATAGGGCGATGAGTAGCAGCGAACGAATCAGTAGCTCTTATTAAACTGAGTACTACAGTCTTACATTTAACAATGCGTTTTTTGTGGGATATGTGGGATTAGATAAAACAGCACGTATTTCACTCCCCATTACGTTCCCTTTTATTCTGTTCACCCGATCGCAGACACAAAATGTGCTCCCGTATAACCTCGCTAAAAGCACTCTCGTAAGGGTCCACTGAGTGCAGGAGTCCATTAATCTGGTTTATCTCTGGACGCTGCAGATGAGGAACACACTGAATGGGGTTGGATTTAATTCATTGTTTTTCCTGAATCTCAAAGATATTAATGATCAAGAGCGAACAATCATTTTTGCTAGTGTGAAGGGTACTTTGGGTGTGTGCACACAATCTAGCTTGTGTTGTGTGTTGGAGAACTGTGTTTTTTGGGGGGGGAAATATTGCACTATTGAATATTAATCACACTAGTCAGTTTGAAGTTCAGGCCATGAAGTAATCTGACAAATGAACTCGGTGCTAAAATACAGCATTGGATAACTGCACGGCATACAGTCACCCTCTTTTAAATCCCGGAGTCAAGGATTTACTGTGTACAGCCTTGCAAATTTATCATGCATACCAGGGCAGCTTCCAACAGCAAAATGTCTTATAAAACGGGACAGGAATTATCTCTTATACGCTGGGAGTAAAACGATGTCTATGAAAATCCTAAAGCTCACCTACATGCAACCAAATCAGACTGGAAAACCGTTACCACTGAGATACTACGTACATACCAAGCCAAGAGAGCTGAGAGTGGGAGCAAGTCAACAACTTTAAGAGAAAATACTTGATTTCCCTGGAGACTTTCACTACGTATAGTTTGCATCATCCTCTTCAGAGTGTACCTTACACTCCGGTGCCCAAGAACGTACACGACTGCAACCGACTGAAAATTCATGTTTAATGACCGTATAGTGAAGAGTTTTATGGAGTTTTATAAATGTTGGACTTTTAAATTGTTTCCTCCTCCTCTGTTAACTGTTAATTTAATACCGCAAGTGAGTACAATTTCCATGAAAGTACAAAAGCAGTCCAACAGCGACGCACATTATTAGTAGCAGACTGAATAGTCTCTGCAATAGTGATGATAGATTACCTTATTTCCTTTGCATTACTCCAACCAGCCATGGGGCAACATTTCATCACGTTAAATTGCAGGACGACTTAGGTCTCCTAGAGATAGTCATCTCTACTAAAACAATATGCTGTAGACCTAATATTTTGTTCCAACACTGCTCCTAAAGTTTTGGTGGTTAAAAAAGCACAATGCCTGGACCCAAACACAGGCGGAACTGAAATGTCAAAAACATGACATCGCTCTACACAAAAATCAGTGAAGAGAAACAAGGTTGACACAGCAAAGAGCAGGGAAGTGGGCGGCATACAGAGTGAGGAGAGGAGGGGAGAAAAGGGCAAAGGGGAGGACAACAAAAGGCTTTGACCAAACATGGCACAAACCTTGATCCACCTTTTCGTGAGGGGACTTCCGCCCTCCACAATAACCTTTTGAAAATGTGAGGGCAGCGTGGAAAGAAATAATCGGTCGTTGCAGCGTCATTAATATTCATGACCAGACAAATCCAAACCAAATCATAAATGTGTGAATGGATTATGGAAAAACAAATCACTCTCTTTCTCTCTCACACACACACACACACACAGACACACACAGACACACCTTATTGGAATGAGTCAGCCAGGGTGGAAGCAGCATGTGAGTGGTGTAATTAGATGTTTCGGGCCCCTCTGCTCACCCTGGAAGTGCCGTCCTCTTTGAGGCTGATGATGTCCAAATCAAAGTCTCTCCTCAGGCCATCGGTCTTGTTAAGAACAATGTGGCCTGTCAGTCCATCCCACTGTGCCTGCAGAGCAGAGAGGTAGAGGGAGTGGGAAAGAGAAGTGGGATGTAGTCTCAAATGCTGTCTGAGTGCGGAGCCGTAGTGAAGCTCTAGAGCAAACTCCCAGGAGGAGAGTCGGGGGATTGAGGAGGCGAGAGAGGAAGTCAGTGTTGACAGACTCCTGGAAGACATCCGGTGAAGACTGGAGGGCATTTATAGGCCGTTTCTGTGGAACAACCTCAAAATGTATCAAAGGTGGTGATAATAACTACATTTATATATGCCAATAGCACCTTTACAGTTGGTCTATGGAATTTGATCCTTTGCTCATTGGAATGGATGCATCTCAATAAAGTACATAGTGGCTCAAATGTTTTCCCTTTGGATAGTTAGTTTTCACATCTGTCCATAACAAGTCATCTACTGTACTTGTACTGTTCATGGAAGCCCAGGATTTCATCTTCTGCACAAAGGTGCTTCCCCAGATGCTCCTTAGGATGGGTGATGAATGGAATTTTATATTATAATTAAAAATAAAGTACGAATACAATTTAGTATACAGGAAGAGTTGAACCTGAAGAAAAACAATATGTTTAAATACCACAATTGAGGGTATGTATTACTTTTTTTTGACAATATGACATAATTCATTATGAAGTGTATTCAGAAATCAATGAGAATAGATCAGGAAATAAATATGAGAACTGTTTTACAGTTGTGGAAATTGACCAGAGAGAGCAGGATGGGAGCATGGAGAAGAGGATTGAAGGAGAATGGCGGCTCACGGCACTCTGCTGGATTTGAGATTTCTCTTAAGCAAAGTGAAAGCGCTCAGGCATCAAAGGCCTCATTTCTGTCTGTCAGGCCAAACCACGGGCTTTCAACTTTTAAGTACACAACGACCGTATATTTCCATGTTGTGTAATTTGAGAGGAGGCCAACAATCCAACACATCGCATGAAGCTATCTGGCATCCTGCTTTTTGGTGACTTTCATGATCACAACATTAGATCAGAAACTTTCAGGATCTTTTTGAAAACGAACTGAAACCCATCGTTGAAAATGCAACATGGTCAGTCTGACACGGACCTCTTTGAAGAGGTTCATGAAGCGAGGTCCGAAGCGCCACGGTTTGTGCCGGTGACACTGCAGGGAGCTGACGGTCATCTGTGTGGCCCGCTGCGACGCGACGGCCACCATGAACACCGCATCGTACATCAAGGCCGCATCCGTCTGCAGGAGGAAGACGCGGCACACAAATAAGCATCATTGGTTCGCGCGGTCGGTGACCTGTAAATGTGAAAATAACAGTTGCGGCACTTACGGTCATGATTCCGTCCACCAAGCCACTCTCTTGTTTGGGGCCCTGCAGCCGCTCCGTGGCCCACTTGTCCATCGTGGACGCCACCCGCGGGTCATCGACGTTGAGCAGCCGGAAGCCCGTCATGTTGACGCCGCTGTAGCGGAAAGGCTCCAGGTCCAGCGCAAACAAATCCTTTTCAGGGTAGAGAGGAGCAGGAGATGAGGAGGGGGGTGGGGGGCGCGTCAGATTTGTGTTTATGGGTTTGCGGTGGAGAGAGACGGAGCGGGAGAGATTTAAGCTGCAGCACCGGGTGTAACTTTCTTTTAATGTGAATCGATGAGTCACAGTGAGTTTTTTTTTTTACACATTCCGACGAATTTGCGACGCCAAACGAGCACATAAAATATGAGCGTGGTTTGCACTCGTCGGGTATCTCCCATAAAACAACTTTATTTGTAGTTTTCTAACTCACCAACGTCGTGAAGAAGAAATGGTAGTACTCTGTCATCATTCCCATGGATGAGAGCTGCAAATTGAGAACAGGTAAATTAAGTAATAAAAGAAGAAGTCGGGCAAGGTTGCTTATTTATAATACGATGAGATCTCCAACAATCCACTTGTAAAATATATACATTAATCTGTGCCAGTCATGTCTCTCATCTGCGGTGCATATAAAAAATATGTATAAATATGTTTGTCAGAATGTCTGTTTATGTCATAAGCCCAGCTACTGTAGATCATCTGTGTTTAATTAGCTAAATAGTTAGACATTTATAGGATGGGCTGTCAATTGTGTAACATTTAAAATGTTATCTTAAACATGGAAAGCTTGATTGCATCCTTATAATTATCAAATCATTTTATGGCTGCCATTCAAAAGTAACCCATAGTGAACAAGCTAAATGTTGCCCTAAAAGGTTTGTAATGTAAAGACGCTTAAATCTATCAAACCTGTTTGAGGAGCTCCGCCGCCATGCGATAGGAACAGTCAAAGAGAATAAAAAACTCTTTGTCTTTTTTCAGTTCCTTGAGCAGCGGTCGGGCGTCCTGGTTGCCAGGAGTCAGCTGGCGGATCTTGATCTTCAGGTTGAACTTTGCCGGAGCTTTGATCAACTCCTGCAACCGCATCAGACCTACAAAAGAAGAAAAAAAAAGGAAAAAGTATTGAAACGGTTTAATTGCCAACACTTTTCTCTGCCTCACAGGAGGACGGTGTGAGGTCAGGATCAGGAACCCTTAAGTAGGGAACGTGCAAGCTCTCAAGGAGAATTGGATCTCTATTGTTTAACAGAAGGATGGGGTCCTTTTTCACCGCATCATCTAGCTCCTCAACGTCTTGCTTAACTCGCATCTTCTCAGATTCTTCTCCCACACACCCTGTGTTTTGTGTGTTTTGTCTAAACAACAGTGGCTTAGGAAAATACATTTCTGATCGAGAAAAAAAAATTGGATCTATAAACTATGACATTTCAACGGCGGCATTTGCATCCGGCATCCGGGTCGCGGGGAGGGAATCACGCTTTATCGGACACCGCCGCGTTTGAGGCCATCAGCGCCTTCTGTAGCGTGAATTCAGAGTGCAGCGGCTGCTTGATACGAGGAAGTCGTGCCCCGTCACAGATTGGGTTCACTAGAGGAAAGGGACCACGTTGGACACTGGAATTGCATTTTGTGAGTAATTAAAATCTTGACATATGAATCAATTGTAAAGGTCAACAGAACACAAGCTCGCCCTTTTGACCTCCTCTCTCTTAGAAGTCTTAACTTACTTAACAAATGCTAATCTTGTGATTGAAATCCATTTTTTTCTCTGGGAAATGAAAACCCATTTGCTTTTTGTGTATTTGGGTCATTAAAGACGCCATTACGGATGAAGATTCAATTGTTCGGTTTTAGATTTAGAGCGAATTTGATCATTGTATCCAAGATTTTTCATTGTAATATTTTAAAAATAGTTCACACCAATATACTTGGTCAACAAATGATTTACTTTTTTGATCTCACCCACCACCCTCCTGCTGATACCACCGCTCTTCTGAAAATTCACCTTTATTTCCACACGAATGGCTGATTAAATCGAGTGGGCTCACTTTCCATCATTTCCTTTTTCCCCGCATGGCAGAATATAATGATTTCATGAAGTGCATTATCAGTTTTGAAAGTTACAGTGAAAAAAAACAGTTGGCCCTACCGGTGCCGTCCTCGTAGACCACCGTCAGCTTCCGCCATTTGAAGAAAGTGACCACGTCCAGGATGGCTCTGGCGATGGCAGTGTACTCGGGATACAGGTTGATGAAGAAGGTGTCTTTGTTGTCCACCGACGGGTGTTTCCAGCGCGTCTGAATGTGAGGAACCTCCAGAGCGTTGCAGATGGACTGAACAGCACTGACGGAGGAGCTGTGAGACGGGCCGAACACCGCGACCACCCCGAGAGCCAGCTGGTCGCACACTGGCGGCGGGAACCCAAAGTCAAGGGGGTTATTGCTACAGGTTGATGAGATCGTTTCACAAAGTCCATAGTAAAGTATTAAATAGGAAGATATGTAGCATGTGTTCTTTTTTAAACTGAAAAAGTTATTTTCGTAACTTTCACCGTCGGTGATTTTAATCCTAAATGCCATGACAGAACAGAAAAATACTCATTTTCCACTAAGGTTTCATATTGTGCTCATGGGGTTAGAAGCTTCAAAACAAATGCATACATATGTTTGAGCTCAAGAGGGATATTTATAGCTTTGAGATATGCTTTTGATCGCCTACATGTAACAATAGATTATGCTAATACTTTTCATTATTTCATACGTCAACAAAATGCACATTGAAACATTAATATTGCACAGATTCATTCACCACAGTGCACAAGAAGGAAAATAGCAAACCAATTATTACATCAAAGCAATCCTTAAACTATAAAGCTTAACATCTACATCATATCGTCATTTCCTACCTCTCCTGGAAGCTTCAAAGCCATCGAAAAGGTTGATCCTCTGAATGTCGTAGGTGAGAGTAGTGTTGGGCATCAGACTTTTGTTGCGATTTATGTTGTTCACGGCAAACTTGAATGCCAGCTCATCCATGCTCACTAACTCGCTCTCCCGGGTCTCAAAAATACCACCTGCACACGGAGACGGAGGACAGAGAAAGAGTCAGAACCTGCGCTGCGATAACACATTCGTGGATTCTGTGCTCCTTCGGGTTGAAAATAAACCCGAAGGAGTGAGTGAGTTTGTACTCACAAAAAAACACTTATTTTATTCAATACAGGAAAATACAGCCAGGAGAATATATCCTCTAAACCAATGTTTAGAGGATATATTCATATATGTGATGCGTGATTAAAAAGTAGAAAACGTGGTAAGAAGTACTGATGCTCGTGTCTCCAGTAAACCAGGCGCCGTGAGCAGCAGCCATTTATATTGGCTGCAAAGCAGCGCTGCTCAATCAAAAATGACACTAAATGTTCTCTGATTTAATGAGGTGTCCATTGAAATAGTTATTTTTATGCAAACCAAATCTCCTGGCCAGAAACAAATCCATAAATATGTTTTTGTCCCAAATAGAACATAATAGGTCAATGCTTCCAGCTTCTATATTCTACAAGTTGAGAAGTAACTATAGAAATCCGCACAGAGGCATGCAAATGAAGATGAATACGAAGTACTCAAAGATCATCATCATGCTATAAATCCAAGGCATGAAGTCAATTCTAAACACTTTATTTCTCAAAGCGGGGAGGAGCTACTTGTCCACTGTTCCGACTTTAACTATTTGAGGACTCTGGGCCGAAAAGATCTCGCTGCATGGACCAGCTGTCAGCAGGCTCAGAAGGAACAATGCTGTTCAGACAAACTTCTGCAATTGCCCCGAAACTCCTCATCAACATCCTGTCATCCGGGTGCAGAAGATGTGAAGTGTGGACTCAAAAGCAAGATGGAATGGAAGTAGTGTAATTGCTGCCGCGCTGTGAAAGGGTAGGAAATGAAAAGGCTGCCAGAGCTTCTAGCAGAGGCTCCAAAACAGTCCGATGAAAGACAGGACCTCAAAAAAAGAAATAAAATATGGAGTGTTATTATCAGTCTTGAAGGTAGATTTTTCAAGTTATTGCTGCTAATTCTCATTCTAATCAAGAATCATTGGCTCGTAATAATACAGCTCACAATACAGGGCATAGTGTTGCGTAATGGTTGGCCATGTAAAATGTGTCTGTACATGTATGTTGCCTATGGACGAGGCTTTGGCCAGGATAAGAACAGATTGAGCTTATTCAAGGCCAGAGGGTGTTAAAAAAATAATTAAACCGTGTCGGCGTATGTCTGACATGCAGAGCATATCTCATATTTTTTGGGGGCATCGGTAAAAAAAGGAATTATCTTACTTTCCTTTTATTGATTTGATCAAGGAATTCTTAGCATTTCAATATATAAAAGAAAATGTGTTACCATACCAGCTTTTTAAGCCCAACAAAGTCGAGTTTTGACACTCTGACCAGCCCATCCCGAAAAGTGCAACACACAACAGGCTTTTAAAACCCAGTGTGAATGACATACATGTGTTCACTGGCTCTGCCCTGTTTTTTAATGAGCTTTGCCCCTGCAGGGCGCCGTAAAGTCCTTCGGGGATTGTGTAACTGATCCTTTGAAGTATATCCCAGACCCGGCTTCTCATCTCCACAGACCGGCAGTGATAACAGTCCAGCGGACCCCCGGTGGGGCATTTGGAATCATCGGGCAGCCACAACAATTGCACAATTAATTCAACCTGGTAAATTCTTGCTCAAATATTACAAAGCGCTATGACATGTCAGGCAAAGAAAAACATGTCTGTATGTGCACTTGGGAACAACGGCTGCTAAAGTACGATTAATGTAGTACAGCCACAGGAGCTCCATGTGTTGTATTGAGATTAATCAGACATTCACAGTTCACAATGTAAATTACCAATTGAATTTAGTATCTGTGTAAATTGGCGAACATGGTCAATATTCGACACGTCAATCCATCAAAAGAACTTCTCTGTTCATTTTGATGGGTTTAGCTTAGGGAATGTTTATTTGTTCACAAACGCCCTCACCAACATACGCGGAATACATATACACTCAAAAGATGTCTCAAGTACTTGTAATTGCGAAAACTGCCAACTGGTAATTAAAAGCACAATTAGGCAAAGAAAGAAAAAAAATTATACAAATATAGTTGTTTCTGCAACAATTGAGATGATCAAATGCATCGCTGGAACTGGAAGAAAACGGTGCCGATAAATTGTGAATATGTGCTGAAGTACAACGGCTGGATGGGAGATTCATTTCTCTGCTGTGGTGAGAGGAAAACAAAAATAAAAGGCTGAAGCACAAATTTGAGCTTTGTGCCAACGCGTCACGCATACCTGATCAATCTGCTCCATAAACCATGGGGAGATTTTTGTGTTTGTGTGTGCATGTGAATGGAAAATCTCACCCCATCCATACGTCACTCGCTATTTAATTACAAATAAGGATGTTTTGCATTAGTCACGCATTACCCCGTCATAATGAGGGGCTTGAAGTCTACAGCTGGTTGTGACTGCTGCACTCATAAAAATGACATTTTTCTTTTAAAAAAATGTTTTTTTTCCCGTACAAATTAATTAATGTACCTCTGAGCACTAAAAGCATTCATTCAGCTACCAAAATAATGAGGAATAATTTGCCCCTGGAACACGCATCAACACAGCAGACAGCATAAATGGGTGCTAAAATTTAGAGGACCCACGGGACTCTGTAAATGCCTTTTGACTGGCGATTGGAGCTTCTGTTGCAGGTGGAATTTATGTGCATAAATCAGCACATTTGAGATGCACGGAGGCTGCGTAAAACACGAAACAGCCCATCATGTTCAAATTGCGGGTAAGTGCAATAAACGTAAAAGCAAAGTTCATATTCCATTTACCTTAGTGTGTGATTGGGTACGATTTGTGGCAATGTTTTATGGTATTTGTATTTAAGGGTAAAAAGAGATCGGGGTAGCACAGACACAGAAAGGAGAAAAATAACGTGGTCAATAGAGACAAACTGAGGCGGTCACCATTTTTTTTTTTTTTGTGAATTACACCACTGAAAAAAAGAAACGCTTTTCGACCCACAAATGCCAACTTGTGAGACATTTAACAACCAGCCATAACCTGGATACAAGGAGTGTTTGATGTTCTCTCCTTTCCATCATTGAAACGTTCACATTAATACATATTGACAATGGAATGATTAGTTATTATTAAGTTTCCATTAGCATGCAGGCTTTATTTTATTCCTAATTATTTTTGGTGGAGGTGGGATGGAAAGAATGCTTTTTTTCTTCTTTGTTTTACCTTCAGAAGTTGATCACCACAAAGCTTTATTCATCTTTTGTTTAGAGCAATACATTTAAGTGGAGGACAAGTTCACGTACAAATGTCTCTCAGAGATAGAAGACACGTGGATCTTCCTAGCAGTACTTGGAGATCATTGGACAAGAGAGTTCTGCTTTTTGCTGGGAGCGATGAGAACTACTGCCATCTGTGTCTCTTTGCACTTCGGCTCCAGACAGGAAGAAATGCTTCTGGGGGGAAAAAAAGCTGGTCTCAGGTGTCAGATTGAATGACAGACATTGACACTGCAACCCCCGCTGAGAAAACACAAGGGATTCACTTTGTCACTGACAACAAATCAAAGGTGACGCGCAAACGAGGCAATAATGCAATGAGCCATGACAGATGCTAAAAAAGAGAGACAGGCGGAAAAGGAAAAATGACTGCACGGGCACCAAAAAGGCAAGTGGTAGTATCTGTAAGTCAACGTGTCTGACAATTTGTGTAAGAGAAGGAGAACCATTTTCTAGGATGCTTTTAGTCCAGAACTCTATGTAGAAGCCATTGAGCATAAAACAATTAGCCGGATTTGAAGCATTTGAAAGAATTATCTGAGCTAAAGTAAAAAAAAAATGAATTATTAAAAAGCGTCTGTACAATGAAAACCGCTTGTGTGGCAGTTGCAATCATGCTGGCAAACGTAGCAACGCTTCTTTTGAGGTTGAGTCTCTCGCAGGTTACAAAATCATTTGTAATTTGCCACTGAAAAAAAAAAGGGGCATCGACGTGACTTTTTATCGGCACGTGACAAGAAAAGCTTCAGGATCCATATGTACAAATTGATACCTGCGTTATCGATCCAATCCCCTGAGGAACTACAGCTCCCTCTCCTCTCTCACAAACAGAAGTCTCCCTGCCAGCATGATCAACGATCACGCTACTCCACAGTGTGTCTGTATCTACACCTTCACTTTTCACAAGAACTCCGGCAATTTGTCCGCGGAGGGTTTTGTTCCTTTTTTTCCCTAATGGCCAGTTGTTGAATGAGATTAACTAATGAATGAAATGAAGCAGGCGCCTGAGTAATGAATGCAGGTTACTTCAATTTAACACAAAGTTAAACCTGCAGCCAAACTTCTTACTCTCTTACACAGTCACACACACAGACACTAATAGTGTAAGTTATTTACGTGTGTTCAGCTGAACAAGTAAAGTCACAGTGTGAAGGGAGTGACCGGTGTAAAAAGGGTCAGTCAGTGGGGGACCTGGGCTCGGTTGATGATCCTGACGGGAAGAGATGGTGAGAGGAGTCGGCTACAATCTTTCTAGCTCGCTTCAGGGTCCTGGAAGCAAAGTCCTGGAGGGACGGCAGATTTCATCACCCTGCAGAGCGGATGACACGCTGCAGCCTGCCCTTGTCCTTGGCAGTGGCTGCAGCGTACCAGGCGGTGATGGAGGAGCAGAGGATGGACTCGATGATGGCCGTGTAGAAGTGCACCATCATTGTCTTTGCCAGGTTGAATTTCTTCAGGTGCCTCAGGAAGAACAACCTCTGCTGAGCCTTCTTGGTGATGGAGCTGATGTTCAGCTCCCACGTGAGGTCCTGGGTGATGATGGAGCCCAGGAAACGGAAAGAATACACAATAGTGACGGGGGAGTCACACAGGGTGATGGGGGAGGGTGGGACTGCGTTTTGTCTTCAGAGCGTTGAGCTCAGTCCAATGAGGGTGGTGTCATCCGCAAACTTCAGGAGCTTGACGGACAGGCGGCTGGAGGTGCAGCTGTTGGTGTACAGGGAGAAGAGCAGAGGGGAAAGAACGAAGCCTTGGGGGTGGAAACCGGTGCTGATGGTCCAAGAGGCAGAGAGAGGTTTCCCCAGCTTCACGTGCTGCTTCCTGTCAGACAGGAAGTCAGTGATCCACTTGCAGGTGGAGTCGTGCAAGACTTCATGACTACAGAGATCAGGGTAACGGGCCTGTGGTCATTTAGTCCTGTGATCCTGGGCTTCTTGGGAACAGGGATGATGGTGGAGGTCTTGAAGCAGGCTGGTACGTAACAGATAATAAAAACAGACTGATTGGGCGAGCATCCATCAAGATGTTATGTTAATTCTTTTTTCCACGTGGAATTTCCCTTTTTCCAGAATTTCAGTTGACAAAGCACAGCACATGAGCAAACGTCCTCCACCCAAAATGTGTTTTAGTTGTCGGTGCCTCACTTGGATGTTTGGCCTTCACTGTGCAGTTGTACAGTTTAACATGCGCGTACAAGCAGCATTTAGATACTGGACTCCTCCAGTGCAAAAACACAGTGAAGCTGTATCATGTGTTCAGCAGTTTGGGTTTTAAAACAATTTCATATCCGTTTTTCAGTGGGAGAGAAAGAGGACCTCTAAACGAAGGAACTTGACCTTTTTTGTGGAATATCCATATTAGACTTAAGTAATTAATCAAAACAGGAGGTGTTGTCAGTCCCAAAACCTGCCTAAATGTATAGGCTCACAAGCCCAGAGCTTTATGGCCCAAATTATTCAGGATCATAATGGCTTCATTTAGTTTTCGATATACCAAATGTTACTGTACATTCATCAAATATTACACAAGAAACATGAAAAATGCAAAAACATCAGTGATGTACGCCCTGTGAAATGTATTTTCAGCTGCCATGATGTCGAGGCGGCTTTCAGGATTGTGTCTTGAAATGACCCAAATATAGAAATGATTCTCTCAAATCAGGACTTTTTTTTTTGTCTCAAGATGCCGCTTAAGATGTGCTGCCTTCATGCTACTGTCGGCTAATCTCTCCCCCACAGGAAAACAAACAAAGCCTTGAGTGGGTAGCAACTCCACCCACGTCCTTCAACCACGACTCCATTGTTTGGGTTTTCAAGGTGGCAGTGATTGACAGGTAATGGCAGTGATTGACAGGTTAGGACAGGTAGAGTGTGCCCGTCTGGGTCAACCCATCCTGGTATGGGAGACTCAGGGTTTTTTAGGATAATTAAATTGAATAAATGGCTGAATATAACATTACGTTCTTGAACCTACACTTATATTTGATTAAATATTTGAGTGCCTTCACTCACCTGCAGCGGTACACGCACCCCCATCTGAGAGCCACTGCTTTATTAGATATGTATGTATGGTAACTGATCCAGGACAAGTACTCTATACATGTCAACCTCCTCTATACTGCAAGTTCTGAACAGGTGGCAGAGACGGCAATTCTCAATTTATTCATTTGTTTACGTCCCCGTTTTTGCAGTTGGACTCTGGTGTGGCTGTAAATGAGACGTTAGAATAATGGACACAGCCCACGGTCACCAGCCTCCTGCAGGCCGATCCTGTCCAAGGGAAATGGCCTCACTACTACTTGACCTATGACAGCAGGACTGATGATTACATGGCCCTGGCTGGCTGCATGTATCTCAGGGATGGATGGGTTTCAGCTGTTTGTATTTTGAATGAAAATGCCCCAAAATAGCCTTCTGGGAGGAATCAACTATTACGTTCTGCTCTGATGTGTGTAGATTTCTGTATAATGTAACTTGCAATAAGATTGACATTTTAAAAGGTTTGATTGAATTAATTGTAAAAAAATAAAATAAAATAAAAACTCTGATGGCAAAGTATAAACTCAAAGTTGAGGCGGAATTCGAGTCAATGGCATTTCTGAGACATTCCAGAAATGATTATAAAGACTATGAATTCGTAAAGTTGAGTGTTTCATTTTTAGCTCAGAAGCCTCCTTTTGGCTGATGGTGATGAACCTTTGTTTTTGGCACAGTGCCCTGGATGAATTAGTGGACTTAATACGGGCAGACAGGTGGCTGATTTGCAATTAACACTCGGGGGATTGAAGATATCAAAGTGAATTTTGTCCGTTGATGCAGTCAGGGAAGCTTTTCCTTAGTTCTGCCCATCCTCACTGACAGCTGATGCCCAGATGATAACAGGCAAGTCGTGCCATAATCACTTTCATGATATACAACGCACGAATGTCTCTGAACAGATACCGAATCGGATGCGTGTGGGGAGCTTAAGGGGGGAGGTGAGAAACTTTTAAAAAGAAAGGTCACAACATCTGCATTTGTACAGGCAAATACGTCGAAAAAGGATCGAGTGACAGATGCGCTCAAACTGTGAACAATCCACACACAGAACCCTCGGTTCCACTCGGTCACGCCAGCGCCGCCGCGCGTAATCAGCTGTTGCGCTTACCGATCCGGAGGACTTGCGTTGAGCTCAGGCAAAGCTGCGCCGCAAGCAGGAGATGGAAGGAAAGTCTCTTGGTGTCCTCCATAGTTCTCCAGGCGAACTCACCGCGAGTATTGACACCATGACAGAAAGAAACGGCCTTTATCCAATCCGTGAAACAGCCGACGCGCCATGCCAGCGCGCTGCACAAGTTGTATTCCAAATTGGATCCTGTGCACTCGGCATCACCCCGTCGCCCCCAAATGAGCGGAAAACAATGATGAGCACCGGTTTGATGGATCCAACTTTGCTGCGCAAAAAGAAATTCCCAGTCACAGGTTCTGAGAATAAGAAACAGCGAGGCAGAAGAAGCACGTCCACTTTTAGTCACTAGTCAGGCAGGAGCGAGGGAGGGAGGGAGGGAGCGCGCGGATCAGAGCAACGCACCTTAAAATTGTAGTTGATTTCCGGCTTTACGCCTTTTCAAAATAAAAATGTATGTTTCTTTCAAGCGACTTAAAACAAAACATTAAAAAAAATCAAATTAAAATCGAACCACCAAGCACATCTAGACATTATCAAGCATTGCTTTTGATTTTTTGGAACTTGAACTGTTGTTTAATAATATTTTACTCAGTCGCTCGATATTGCATATATCACATGTGACGACCAACCATGCCAGTTGTTGAGATTCAATTAACAACCACATGTTATTGATTGGCTGAACAAATCGGAAAATAGAGTTCATCCTATTATACTATAATATTAACCAATGATGTAAAATCCCATTGGGGAAACAGAAGGGTTTTATAGGAGGATATTTACACTTGACTAAATCAAAAGGTTCTCCTGAATTGATCTTGTAGGTGACCTTTGACCCAAATTCAGAAATATTCTTTTAGGTTCTATAGAATCAACATTTTTTATCCCATAACGACCTGCTCCTTGATTCATTGAGTGAGAAGACATTTCATGACTTTAAAGTGAAGGAAGGTAACGTGTAATGTGGTCATGTTGCATACAGCTAGCCTACTTAGGCTAAACCTGTCTTTCATTGCATAATCAAAGACATTATTTGTACTTTATTGCATATGCCGTATTTCGGAATATATTAAATATTTTTTTTTCTCTATATTCCACCGCAAAAATATGTAGAGTATCTTCATTTTTTGATTGAACGCAGCCCTGGTCATCTAGTTTTGGTTGGGATTAGGTAGCAGATGGATTGGCAGCGGCTCTGTCCACCGGTCCTGATGAGGGAGAATAATCTTCAGGTTACAGGGCAGATGCCAGATTATCTCTCCCTGCAGAGAAAGCAAGGGCTTTGTCAGACTGGGTCACTGGATGTATTCCCATCCTCAAGTAACAACACAGTAAGGATCTGCTGTAACATCCATATTCAGACATGAACACATTTAATCATTTGTGTGGACCTGCCTGAGTACTGTATTGTTATTGTTCTTTGTTTTAATATTGGAGTAGCAGAATTTACATTTATGTCACGAGGCAATTTCACCGCTGGATTTCTGGAATTTGTCAAATCCATACCGTTCTTTGATATTGTGACATTTGAAAAAGGCAAAGATTCCAGTTGCCCACCATCGCACAGTCTGGCTCTCCTCCAGCAAATTCTCTGTTATGTCAGAACTGACATTTTGTTCATCACATTGTTTTTGAAATCTCAAAACTGACAGCTAAAGACAGTTGAAAGATCTGCCATCTTCAACTTCCTATGGACTGAATTAACAGAAATTGACCATTCAGCCTCTCCGGAAAGAGTCCTTGTTCTACGAACACACCAAACCTACGGAGCAGAACTGTTGCTCTGTAGAGGGTCTGATTAATACCATGAATGTAAATGTCAGAGCAAGCATAAGGTGGTAAACTTAACATTTAATTAAAACACGTGTTAAAATACATGTTGTCCTACTGTAGATTTGTATGTGTAAATAACTTTTAAATGTGAGATGACCATTCAAGACCCCACCTTTTAAAGCGTCAACTCAAATTTCAGAATATTTTTTGCAGTTAATCAAACTAATTTGTTTTTTAAGCTTTTACAATACATGGAATCCCCAAAATGAGATATATATACATATTTATTCATTTAGGACAGCAATTGAATCTGGAAAATCATCTACCATCTCTCGTTTTTATTTGATCAACTGAATGATCTTCCAATAACCTCTTTGGGCCATTATGAGGCAGATAAAAAAAGGTCTCGTATGAATAACAAAATTGGTTTCTCTTTTTATTGTTGTAGAGGAAGGGAAAGAGCTCCTCGACTTGAGTAATGTGTGTAAAATTAAAAATATGCAGCACGGTCACACATAACTAAATTTAGAAAATTTATTTTAAACATAGGAATGATAATACTCCACAGTTTTATGTACGAACACAGTTTTAAAAATACAAAGGGAGGAGTTTAAAAGGGGGTTCTCACAGGATTTGCCTCCAAGGCCAGGTGATTGTGTCTCACAGTCTGAGCGTCCATGATGGGCATCATCATCCAGAAAACTAAAACTCTAAAGAAACCAGCATCATAGTTAAAAAGACAATAACATCCAAAGTGTATTATTTTCCTCAAATGACCAAACAACTTGGAGCAAGATTTTCTCTGAGAGTCACTCACAGTTAAGTATTAAGTGCATGTTCAATACATCCATTTAGGTGTGCATGAAGGTTGCGCCCTGCAACCAGGGCGTTGTTGTGATGATAAATGAAACAGCGCAGCCTGGTGGACAAGTGAAGAAATGCAGGAGGGGAAAGCGTAAATACGGTAACGATCATCATGGATGTAAAGTCTTAGCCAACTTGTCCGTGGTTGTGATGCTTCTTGACATGACAAAAGGTAAAAGCAGCTGGAGAGAGAAGATGTCTGGATCACAAGTCAACCGTACGACTTTTTCTCTGGAGTTCCAGTACAATCACTCACATGGCTGCATTGAGTAAAACAGGATTGTTGGGAGAATTATTTTGATATTGTAAGGATTTAAGGTTCAAGGTTTAGGGGCATGATGAGACCATGGCCTCTGGGGCGAGAGTAGACCCAATCTATTAATGAAATTGGTTATTTAACTAAATAACTATGGCATGGTATATGAGGAACATCATTAGAGACTGGGTATTTATGGGAAGCTGATGACTCTCTGGCCTGTTTCTGGCACTAAACGCACATAAAGTGGTTTGTAACACTGCGTAGCGGAGTGTGGTGTAAACATCAAATAATTAGAGTAAAAAGACAATAATTAAATAAAGAATTGGTAGACTGCCTTGTAAAAGAGTAGCCTAGGGCACAAAAGTGAGCTTCAAAATGTCAAAAAGCACTTCATTGTGCTCCTGACGACACACCAATGTGCAGCTGATATTTAGTTAAAAACAATAAAAATGCACAATAAAGCTAGTTCGATCATCTCGCCATCTTCTTACACAGCAGTCATTAAGCCAAAAGCCCCTGAAGAGAAGTTCAGTAAAACACAGCCCTTGAGTGTTAAAATACAAATGCAGTTTTTGTGTCAAAAAAATATAACACCCACATTCCTGTGTTAAAAAATAGACATTTTGGCCACAACATCAGAGTGTCTTCAGTACAGCGTGAGCTGCTGTGTACTTTATGCACCTACAGTGTACGTACAGTTGCTTGTGGACTGGCGTGCACATGCAGTGCTGTTGTGTTCATATACAATTCTGCAGGTGTGTGTGTTTGTTTATCTCGACGACCAGGTCTTCTTTCGGCTTCACCCTTAAGGAGTCGGGGATGAGAGCACATTTCACTTCTCCTCACTCGCTGTGTTTCGGTACGTTAGGATTGTCAGTACAAAAGGAGATGCAGGTTAGATGGGAAGAGGAGGGTTGTTGAGTGACACAGGGAGATCATTAATACCTTACACAAATACCTCCAAATTCAACGTATTTAAAGCTTGTAACTAATCTTCCCCTGCGTGTTTTGGCCCTCCTACTTCATGTAAAAGTGGAAGAAGCCGCTCTTAGTCTCCTTTCTGCGCATCGTTTTCTTTTCATTCATAAAATCAGAAAACGTCACTTTTGCAGCCGTTTGCAAAGTTGTCCCGCCGCACCCAGATGACATCACGGCTCTTACTCGTGGCCCCCTCCGCCACACACTGCTTCAAGGGGCCAAGCTTTACAGTCGGGGTCGCGCAGCGAGACAGAGAGACGCCACGAGAACCCGAATCCTCCCCGGGCTTCACTCGGTCGACGTCCTCCTCCGGCGCGCCGCTCAGCATCACCTCGCTTCCTGCTCCTCCGTTCAGGTTGTGGCCCCTCGCCTCGTTCACCCGAAGGTCGAGTCCCTCCATCCTCCCCTCCAGGCGGTCCGGTTCCGCCGAAGCGGCTCGGACCGACTTGCAGTAGTCGTCGTCGTCGCTCAGGATGTCCGTCTCCTTCATTTGCCCCACGTTGATGCTGTCGCCCGGTTCCTCGTAGCGACCCAGGTCAAACTGTTCCTCCACCCAGCGGTCCGTGTCCTCTCCTTGAGGTTTGTTCGACTGAGGGAGAGCGTGCTGCGACAGAGGCGGGTAAGAGGGATCCGAGTCGTTGCCGTTGTTGTTGTTGTTGCCATGGCGGACCAGGTCGGTGTCGATGGTGAAGCGGTTCCTCGCCTGTTTCCTGCGGGGGAGCCTGCGTGATGGAGCTGATGCTGATTTTAAAAAAAGAGACAGAAAAAAGGATCACGAAGAAGTCTTGATAATGTCATTAAAAAAAAAAACATAGCAGGCCCTTCTTGCACTGTGAATTAGGGGCTTTACTTAAGCTTTGTCACCTGCTCGGTTCATGGCGGGCCGCGCTCCTTTCAGGGCACACAGACGTTTGCCCCCGAACGGGACGTACCGCTGGTTGGGCGGCAGAGACTCCGTTTGAAGAAGCTGGCGACGCTGCTTTTCCCGAAGGATGGAGTGGACTGCTTTCAGGAAGTCCTTCTTACTATCTGGAGAACTACAGATTAGACAAAAAAAATGAAAAAAGGAATCATAAATTTACACGTTTTGAATTTTTAAGTGTACGGTTTTTGTAAAGTTAAATTATGATAATACCTGCAGCACAACTGGAAGGTTGCCTCTGGTCTTCCTTCGGATTCAGATCTCGTGTGAACTATCTCGCATACGGCTGTGCCCTCCGAGTCTGAACCAACGGAAGAGGGGAAAAATTCAGTTCAGTTAATCTCATTGGAATCAGATTGGAACCACACACGTGCAGGAGGTGATTTAAGGTTCATCCAGGACAGACATGCAAGCAAGATTCCGTGCAGACATACTAATTGGCATCCATCCATTTTGATTGCAAAAGGTTATCATTTAGTGGTGAAGAAAACCAGCAGGGTCAAAAAAAAAAGAACTCAATCAGAATCAATCTCTGTGGTTTGGTTGAAATAATCCCTCACATGGGAATTATCTTTGAGCGTGACCTCAATATAGAAACGCTGAATAAATGTACACCTAAAAGATAGCATAGAATACTATGCTCCAGTGATAGATTAAGCAATTGGGCGGAGAAGCAATCATCTATTTCAGGCACAAGCAAGATACTATTTGGAAAGTCTAGTCTCGCCTTGTAAAGGACATATTTATCTTGATTAATATTAAAGAATTATTTCAATTGAAACTTCATGCAAGTACATGCAAAAATCCCCACATTAGTATTCACGCAGAACAAACTTTTATTCTATGTGAATGTCATTGAGATGAGATGCTTCTCCGTCAAGACATATTCAGACCAGATAATTAAAATGTTTTGCTGATGCGATTTACAGGTAATATATTCCAATTATGCCGGAGCAAAATGTTACTCTTTATTTAAATAGACCTACTTGCAGGGGCACGAACTTGGAGAGAGTCAGTTGCGATCATGTGACGGAAACGGAAAGGATCTTTGTCATCTATCACAGATGCTCGGTGAGTTCCACCCTGAAATAAAGAGGGACTGGTTGCTTATCGGACACATAACCGCTGCAATGCATGAAGATGACAGCAGGGGGCACAAGAATGCAATGACAGAAGGGTGGTTTAACAAACAAGACCAGCCACAACAATGTACTTGACTATCGTGTAGAAGGGGGAATGGTAGAAGTGCAAATATAAAGTGTCTTCAGTCTATTCAATTAACAGGAACTACCCTCATTAAATTTAGTCCATTAGCACATTATGAAACTTTAATTTCTTTGTAATCTCAGTGTTCCACCCCAAACAAAAAGCAATTTAAAAGAAAACCACTTAAGATAAAGCCCAGCGTCCGTATCTGCACAATACATCCAACAACAAAGTGTCTCCGGGCAAATTAATTACACAAAATAGGCAAAACAGTACTTACTATTTTTTTCCTGTGCTTGGAGCTGTCTTTGTACACAAACACAACTGCTGTTTTGAACACTAAATAAGGGCAAAGGGGAGATGGATATCATTAGGAGGGTCAGCTTTCATTCATCGCAGATCTTCTAAATAGACATGTTATTTCTCAATATAATATACTATGTACTGTGGCGACAGCTCGATGAGCATGTCAGTGGACGCTTTTAGTCCCACCTTTAAAGGACAAATAGCCTCAACCTACTGGCACGCCGTTTCAGCAGCACCAAAGCTGTCCCAACATTGCATGCACAAACCTCGGCCACTCACCTTCGCCTTGCCACGAAAAAGCCCTTAAACTATGTACATGAAATATTTATTGCTAAAAGTGTCTGAGTAGAGTGCTATTTAAGAGACAGGACACTTTTGGCTGTGTGAAAATGTCATGTAATCCCATTCACGAGAAGATAACGTGCTGCATTTCATGGGAAAAGTGAAAAAAGAAGAATGTTGTTATATGCCCGACTGGGTTTTTCTTTTACCAAGTCTATTTCCACACCAAATAAAAAATGAAATACCACCCAGCATGGCAGTACTATGTGGGATAGAGTAAAGTGTTTTGTGCCTGCAAGCGTTAAGATATAGCATGCAGTGTTTCTCCGGGGGTAAGAACAGTAGACGTACAATAGCATTGCTCTTTTGCTGTAGATCCATATTTTCTGTATTTGTAAATATTAGTTTACTCATCACACAGTGCTTAGTATTTGATACACAGTGACGAGTGCTCTGCAGACACGTGTCCAATAATCCAATTATGCAGATGTGACGGGATGCAATACTGCAGGTCATTGTTTGAAAATATTAATAAGAGTTTGACCTAAAAATCAAAACTGTTTTTAACATATTGTAACTGAATTTATATCAGTTGGAGCTGATCTCCATCATTGATATATTAGGATTACGCCCTTTAAAAAAGGAGACAAAACGTTTAAAATAAAAAGATTTCATGCCTCCGAAAAATAGTCTATAGGAAAGACCATAGTAGTGCAAAATAATTGTCACAATATAATCCAGAATCCACAGTAAACCTCACCAAAAGCAGCCATATCACGCTCCTTTTTGCTTTTGACCAAAAAGGCTGGAGGGTTGATCCACACCACAGTAGAATGCAGCAAAAGATCGCCCATTGAGAGGTCAGCCACCTGGAGCAAATGGTAGTCAAACAGATTTTAAAATATGAATTCATGTTATTGGATAATCCATCGGATTTAAAGATCTGGCCTTGAACAAAGTGGGAGCGATCATGTTTACCTCTTTTTTATCTGAAGTCTGGTCGTTGATGAGCTGGTCGAAAACGGCTCCGTACTCCTCGTGAAGCTTTTGCATCTCATTGATGTGGCTCGCAACTTTGTTCATGGCCTTCATAGCAACTGAATTGGACAAACATTCATCATCCCTTAAAACGTGGTTACCATAATTCACCCATTCTTCGTTAATCATAGTTCCATGGGTCTGCAGCGGATATCATGAATGTGAATAACCCCCCACGCCTCCCCCCCCCCCCAAATAAAGACACTGGCTTACCGTCCAGGTGGTAGTGTTCCTCGCTGTCAGGGTGAGTGAGTGAGTGGAGCTCCCTGAGCAGCAACGGGTACTTCAGGACCCTCTGGATGGGTTTGATCAAGTAAGACTCCAGAGTGGATGAATGTTGTTGTCTCGGGTTCCTCTCAGCCAAAAAAGCCTTGAAATCTGGGTCGGTTTTCGCTGGAGGAGCAGAAATATTATATTGATATATTTTGATCAAATGACAATGGAACACAAACTGATATAATATCACCACCATAATATCATAATCATAATATGAAAACCTGGTGGCTGCTGAAAAGTTTTTGTCAGCCTAACAAACAAAACAGTTGAAGTGCAGAACTCAACCGTTTCAACATTCAAATACCTTTCAACTCAATTCTGCAAATCTGAAATTGTATGCCTCACTGCGTGCTGAAACTGGTTGCAGCTCTCCCTCAATACGGCGGGCCGTGGGAATTAAACTAAATTCTTGCACTACACAATCACCTCGGCTACCACAAGAGAGTTTAACTCCTGTGCAACTTCAACCAGTCAATGCGTTTACCTTTAGCCAGGACCTTGGGGACCTTGGTGTGGCTGGCGCAGAAGGCGCTGTAGATCTTGAAGCGATCGGCATAATACAGGAATGAACCTCCCAAGGAGAACAGCACTTTCTGTGGAAACACACAGGCATTGGATTTTTTTTATCCTTGACCCCTCTAGATTTTAAGTGGATGTTTTTTTGTTTGGGAGGACCAGAGCAGTAAGATGTAATGGAGCATATCACCTATCGAGCAAGAAACGGGTTAATAAACAGTAAAAATGTGACAAGACGATTCGAGGATTGAAAATGTAACAGATTTAAGGAGATGAAAGTTGCCCCACCTTAAACTGCGCCACCTTTTCCAATCGGTCCAGATCTGGCACCAGTCTGATCCCATCTTCTAGTGTCTGCAGAAACTCCACCTGGAACTCCACCATCTCCCCGAGGTTACCGAACAAAACGTCCAGCTAAAACACATGCAAAACGTCGTTGTGATACTGTTCCCACCTCCAGAGCACTGGCGGTGTTTCGGTTTTTCTGGAAATCTACAACAATTCGTACAAAGTTCTGTATTCTTGGATTATATAGATCAAGTAGAAAAGGTACCTCATCCTGTGTAAGGAAGCTCTCTTTCTGCAGAGGTGTTAAGTAGCACTCTATGAGGCACCTCAGGTCCTGAAAAAGACAAGGGATGTTAACAAGATCAGCATGATCCGTTGTTGAAGGAAGAACGGGGAAGAGCTTGTGTAAAGCCAAGGCTGGTTCATTTTATTAACATATTAACAATTTGCACGCCTATAAACAATGACGAGAACAACTCAAACTAAGTTGTATACAGTTTTACCATCAACCTTATGAGATGGTGTGCACACGATCATCAAGTGGATACAAATGTGACTCACTAGGTATTGAATTGTGCGTTAAAGGAGAGCTTTACTGACTTTGACGTATGTCTTCTCCGTCTCCACAAGTTCATTGATGACCTTGCGGAGTTTGTCTGCGTGGGAGAGCTGTCTCTGGGTGGCGATGCCCGCCGCGGGCGGTAAAGCTGACACGGGGCTCGGGGAGAGGGATGACGAGGACGAAGATGAGGAAGATGACATAGGGCGCTCCAGGGGATTCATGTCATGGAGACTGCGGCAGAAAGCGGTGACCTGCTCCGTGCTCTGTGGAGAAAGAGAGAATACATCAGAAGGAACTCTTAAAAAAACAAAACAACAGGTGACTTAATTGGTCAGATAACCAATTATTACTGCTATTAAAACGTATTCAGTACCATGAAACAGCAGCTTGAAAAACCGCAACCCACACAAGTGCACTTCCTGTATCACATGACTGATTCTTAACTCCCCAAGCACAAACCATCACAAGGAGACACAAATAGATAAATAAGCCACTGGTGTACAGCGGAGCTGAAAACAGGTGGACATTTCTGCAGTTGTCCGTCATATTCATGAAAGCAATTGCTGCGATTGTAGATCACACAAAAAGGTCCCACATCCGTGTGGAGTTTCGGAGTCAGAGAAGGCGGCTAATAATTGTCATCTGTGACGACACACCCAGGCATGCTTGGGAGTTTCTGTTGACTGATCTGCAGACAGCTGGTCCGCTCGAAGACGCGGCTCGTCGTGGCTGATTTTACGGTCGTCTCCCGTTGGCTGCGGCGATGACAAACACAAATTTGCACGGTGGTTTTCAAACCGGTTTTGCGAAAGTGCCGGGTCCACACGCACGCACACAACCCGACAGCCGTGCTGATGCCAATTGAGTTAAGAAGAGTTCCGTATGCCGCTTGAACACAATCGACAACCACGCAAGGAAACAAAAGTATATGCAAGTAAAATGAGCTGCCTATCAGACTGTCCTTCAGTCACCTTGCACACTCCTTCGTAGACACACACACACACACACACTAATTGTGTTATTTCATGCAACCTTTGGGCAGCATGAAATAACACAATGTTGAAACGTGTCAATAATCAGACTGACTCAAAAAAGGTATAAATATAAGATAAGCAATACTCAATTGGTAAATTCCCAACAACTGTTGATGCAGCCCAATTCTTAGATCTGTGGTACTCGTTACTTCCACTGAAATATAAATAAGAGTTCATATTATCACGTGTGAGGGGCCACAAATATTCTGCTGATGGAAATCGAACCTCTACCCTCGGCCCCATCACATAATCACTGACCTCTGCAGGATCATATCCAAAACACAGGGGATCCTTCACACACACACACACACACACCATAGATGGATTCAGCAGAGCGTCCGCAGCTCCTGCTCCTCCTAAAAAGCAAACATGCTGACAAGGTCGAACAGAAAAAGGGTCAAGGAGAACTCAGGGGTCCTTTTCCAGACCAGGTAGCTTGCACTCCTTGTGCAATGGCGCTCCGAGCCAGGGGGAATGGCTTTAACTTCTTCTGCCAAAATGTACGAGTAATACACTGTGCAGGATGTTGAACGCGTCCTGACAAACGGTTTAACGGGGGTGAGGAAGCAGTGGTTGGAGGCGAGCCAGACGGGGATGAAAAGACAGCAGAGACGACTCTTAAGAATGGACAGCAGCCATGTTAAAACACAAGGCGGTATTATGGATGAGCTCCATTGCCCGCATTAATGAAAACACTAAACTTCTATCCATGGATATCAACGCAGATAGAAGTATATTTTACAAATGATATGTGATCCAGATGGAACTGGAACTTCAAGCACTCGTGCCACAACGGCTAAGTAATGAGAAACATACCACACCTGCTGCACACACTCAAAAAAGGCTACATAATACAATGAGGAAAAACAGGGTATGTTACGGACCTGGGACAAGAAACAAAAACATTAAGATTGAATTGGAGTCTCAGTTGAAGACAAATGGACCTCAGACATGTAAAAAAAGACAACAGCTTAAAAACAGAATACATGAACAAAAACAATTAGAAGCAGGCAACAAATAGATACCTTATTCTTTGTAAATCCAATCTCCTTATCATTTCCAACAGAGGAATCACCCGCTTACAAAATGTACTGGATCACAGACTCGCCCTTCATTACACAGGAGTACAGCATGAGGGAGGAGCGTGGAGGCAGGCACAAACCTGCTCACACAGCCGTGGGCTGAAACCACCAACAGTGAGAGCCAGCGTCAACAGATTACACGTGACCACATAACCTGGCGCACAGAAACACAAGCATGTGTGTGTGTGTGCACTCGGTGAATTGAATTTTTGACATGGAGTATTATGCACGTGTATAAGTAAATGTACATTTGGATGGCATGTACTCGTACTCGAGGGCAGGAATGTGCTCGTCAACAAACAGAGGAGGGGAGGGGAGGGGGGGGGGGGGAGTAGAGTCTTGAAATTCAGTTTCATTTGCAATCCGGGAAACCTGCAAATCCATTAATCCCTACAAAGAATGATGGGATATAACCCCACGAAAGCGAAACCATGGCTTTAATCATTTCATCTCAAATCTAAGGATATTATGGAACGAGTTTTACAAATCTACAGTATGCATGAGCATTTAGGCTTTGAAGCCGTTGCTTTTTCAGACTGTCAGGATCTCCGATCCCCTGCGAGCATCCTACAACTTTGGAAGGAAGAAGGGTGAGGGAAGTGTCAAGTGCAAGATACTGTCTTTACATCCCTAAAAAAAAGTGTCCACCTTTGGGCGTTAATAACGGACTTCAGGGAAAATGCAATTTTGAGCATTTATTTCAATCCTCATTGAAAATCATACAACATACCTATACTACAAAAAGACACATCTAATACAATCTATAGATGACTGAATACTGAGATAATCAATGTAGATAGTCATATATAGATGACCGGATCTGTTCGGGGTTGCATGCTTAGTGTTAGAAACATTGCGGTTTTGCAGTGTTGAATCTACCCAGTGCTCCCTCTAGTGGACGGCTGTGAGACGACAGCAACCACCGAGTCAAAGCTGTAAGGCCGAATAGAGGGAATCTACACAGGGAACCTGCTTGGTCTCCATTGCGTTGAGGGATCATTTAAAGAAGTAATAATTAAATTAAATAGTTTATGTTAAAGCTAAAGATATACAAGATGTGTGTATTCTAGTAGTCAGTAACCACTAGAATAACAAGCGCACTGCATGCAGAGGGCAAATTAACCTGGATTGTACCAGGAGTGAAATCAAAACAAATCTTGATGGGAACTGTCCCCTCCACGGATCATCCAATGAATAATGCATTTCCCATTTCAAAGCCCCCAAAGCCAAACCAATAGCGGTTTGTAAATTATAACCAGCACCCTCAGTGAGGACGACTACACCTTGGAGAACATTAAAATCAGCCATCTCTATTATCGCAAGCAATCACCGTTTGAATCTGCAGTTGGTTTTTCATATCGAGGAGGTTGCTCTGTGCTTTGTCCAAAATAATGAACCTCCTCGTTTCCTCCGGCTAGCCAGACACTCACTTCATCTCCACTAAATGATGTGAAACACTGTGCAGAATGAAGTAATTAGAATGTGGGGATAATTAAAATTGTCCCATTTTGCCTCCTTTTTGTCCTTCTTGCCACCGTATAGCTGCAGGCGGTGGTTGAAATGAGGTGAGACAGAATCTTCAGCACTTTGGAGGCATTCCAAAGAGCGAGTGTGGAAACAAAACCATGGCCAAAAAAACAAAAACAAAAAAAAGGGTCAACCCCAAATTTAAAAAAGACTAAAAACGTGTTATTATTTTAAGTTCCGAAGGGGACAAAGGAGACGAGAAACCGCATTCAAACCAAAGATGAGACCGGATAATCAGAGAGGACAAACAAAACGCTGAGCTGTCATGTCAGACTAAAGGACATCTATGGAAAAATATATGACAATAGATCAAGGAACCAAGATTTAAAAAAAAAAAAATGACAAGAAAAATGAGAGGGTGACAAAAATGAGGCCAAAACAAACAGCAGATTGAAATTACAGGGATGGAAGACAGCACAGGACTGGCGTCGAGACAATGAAAGGTGAACGCGACATCAAAGATTTCTAGAGCTTTGCGTTTGTTTGCCTTTTTTCAATTCCACTTGTATATAAAACTGCATCTGATAAAACAAAGAAGTATATGACTGAGAGAGGACATGTTATGAATGTGAGTTAGCAATATCTCAAGCCTTATTTTGCCTCCAAAAAAGACTGCATTGTTTCATGAAAGGAAAGTCTAGAATTTAAAAAAACAATTGGTTGATGATCAACGAGCTCATTTTTATGCTGATTGAAGTTTTTACTTAATTTGCATATGCTAATTTGCCCTTCGTTAATTAATAAAATGAATAGTTTTTCACTGTTAAAAAAAAAAAACAGCTACTCTGTCAACACTGACATTGCAAAATCTTTGCAAAACCAACTTAGTTTGCTCAGTTTCAAAAAGGCTTTTATGTGGAGATCATATTCTGCATTTTGTACATGTTGGAACAGATTTGAATGGATTTCGAGCAAAATCTCTTAAATGTGCATTAGAAGCCGCGCAGAGGATCAAACTGTTGTAAAGTTGAACAACTTTAGAACTGCTGGCGGTTTTCCCCACATTAAGTGAAGTGCACCAAATGAGACTTAAAGTCCCTCGTCCTCATTCAGCCATCCTGCAGGGCCTGTCGGCCTTTCTCTTATCCTCACATACTTTGCTTCAAACGAATGATGGCACATCAGAGTCACAGAACCACCACTGTCCAAAAGGACCGGATCCGGCTCTGACCTCACCCATTAAGGTCGCCTTCCAGACTGAAGCTCAGTGACACATATCCGAGACAGAACGCAGTGCCGTCCCTTCCCTGCTCTCCTTTCCCACCCCTCCACGTCTGGGCTATTGTGAGAAGTAAGAAAAAAAATGTTTCCGGTGGATTACTGGTGATCAGACATTGCCATGGTAATGGAAGTGACAACCGTATCCAAGGGAGACCGGCTGGCACACAGCGTGTCCCGGCAATCAATGCGCCGACCCTGATCGGACCCGACGTAATCTTAATTAGACAGTGATGCCGTTCACTCACTCTTTCAATCACCTGTCTGTCCTCATCTCTGTGCTCCAGAGCACGCACACATCCAGTACATATGGAGCACGCATGTGCTATCTATTCAACACACTACAAATAAGTCATGCAATACGTTAGTATTGTATGAAACAAATCTAGTATTTATGTAGGAATAGGATTAGGGGCACACAATGTTGTAGGTGTCACCGGATTAACTGCATGAATGATTCATCAAGGTGAGTTCACTGCAAAGCGACTTCAAAGCAGTTAAGAGTGTGTGAACTCTGGTTGTGTGCGCATGTCAAACCACTTACATACGCGTTGCTTGAGTCAGATCTTTTAAAACATTCTTCTCACATGAGAAAAATTCTGCTAAGCTCTTCCAGCTTTCTCGCTACACACACACCCACAAAAAACCTGTCTAACATACATGAAGAAATACTTAGGACAAGACCTGCCACAGGGTTTTTATATAATAATAATAATAATAATAAACACATTTGGACGGTTGAACACTGATTTCTTCTGATGGACGAATCTGAGACATGAAACCGGGAGAAACTAAGCACACTGTCAGCGAGCGCAAAGATATTAAAAGATAAGCACACAAATGCAGCTAATCAGCCACTTCAAACACCGGCATTGATCCACAGGTCTCTCACGCTCTCTCTCACGCTCTCTCTCACTCACACACCAAAACTGCTATTCTTATTTTTTTACAACAACAACACATGACACTGACAAGTTGTGTTGAAATATATATAGAAACTGTTCTATTAATCCTCTGTCCACATCCAGTGTTGCAACTATGTGCCTGTCTGTGAGCCCATCAAGTTGTGCGTTTGCACGCCGTGTTCTACCTTTTGTCCGGTCCACACGCGCGTTTTGTCTTCCTGATGATCTTCAGGACTTCTCAGAGTCAGAGGAGATGCTTCCTCTAAACTGTCATCCGGGCTCTCCACCGTCAACCCCGACACCTCATCCAGGATGTCCTCTACAGACAGAGAGAAAAGGGCCATTTGTACACATAGACGCAGTGTTTACCCAAATATACGGACATTCCCCCTAAATGCTCAGACACACTCCTCTTTTGGACATTTGACCTGTTCTAATGGATTTATTTGACAACACTTCCTTTAATGGTGTTTGGAGATTCTGGATTCATGCACAATGCGCTTGTGTCATGAAAAACGGGGCTGTAAGTAAACAATCCTAAGTCGAGTTGAAGTCGAAGGCCCCTTAAGCATGATATCATCGATAACCTCCATATGGCAGCTGGAATGTTTATTTTACCCTTTGCATGTGGCGTATCCTACACGATGACGGCTCCGCTGAAGGATTCCTATTAATATTCATAGTTTTCTGAGTCCCTGTACAAACAAAGCCAGTTTGTCAGCCTGTGGACCGCGAGCCCCCAATTTAAAAAAGGAATACAAATGGTGCCCTTGAACGGATGAAAAGAGCAGGGCAGAGGAAAGCTGGCGGCTGCCTGCAGGTTAGTTATCAGACAGCATAATTAGCAGAACGCCCTCTTCACCCTCGGTTTCATTTTTTATATATATAAAATAAATTAAAAAATTACCATCTGGGGCCTCTATTTCTCACTAAACAAGTTTAGAGGATTGATGATCGTACAAGATGAAGCACAAGGATTTAAACTCAAAGGGTAAAAAAAAAAAATGATTAAAAGTACTTAAAAATAATTTTTCTGCTTCAAATTACTGATATAACAACCATTAGTTTCAGATTGTTGTTCAACATGAAGAGCGTGACAAGACCGATACCTGTGAAAAGTGTTTCCCATTCACGTTTACCTGCCATGATGGCGCTCAGCATCAGCCTCACAGCTGTGTTTGCGTTTACCTTGGCTCTGGGAGAAGATGTCAGTGGCCGGGTCCTGCTCCCCGTCGGAGCGCCGCGGAGGAAGGCAGCACAGCACGCGAGGGTCCAGCTGGGGCAGGGTGCTGACGCTCAAGGTCAGCGCTTGGTTTACAAACGCCGCCCTCATATCGTCCATCTGGAGGGCGGACGCGGGTTTGCCGTTCAGCAGCAGAATCTCATCGCCTGCTTTTAAACCTGGCGGGGATCGAAAGGACAATCGTAGGAGAGGAAAATCGAATTAGGCAGGTTTTAATGTGAAAAGAAAAAAGTCAAGGCGATTTCATCCTTTAAAGTCGCAAGAAATACATTAGAAAAAAGCAACATACAGTCAGTGAAAGGCAACAACGAAGCCACATTCGACACTGTAGCTTTTTCATTTCCAAACGCGCACAAATGATCTGCACAAGCAAAGCTTTAGTGTCATACTCTTGTTCTAATCAGACATATTTGCGCTCTAATGTCTCCCAATATATAAAAACTGCATCCCTCTATGCATGTTCCCTTCAGGCAAATGTTCATCTAACAACGCCGGACACTTCTAAGAAGCAGGATGCGATGCTTTTCTATTTCTGTCCTGTCGTCACGTATATCATCTATATGCTACTATATGTGAGAGAGATTCACAGCCCCAGTTTGTGGCTTCCTCCCTCGCTCCTCCCCTCAACCACCTGTGCCCGGCCTCCGCTAATTGAGCATTAGCACTCTATCAAGCCACTAATTAGCAAACAACCTCCCCCAACAAGACCTGATTGGTTGTGACAGCTGTTTAGAAGGTTTGACGGCCATCTCGCTGCAGAATTAAGTAAGACAAAGGGGGTTTTGCTCCGGCTCACATGTTTGCTCGCTCTCTTTTCTTTGGTCTCCCCTTCAAACGTCTACTGTTATAGAAACAGCGGGCATTCTGCGCCCCGGCTTTTGCAATGCATCGAATGCCACAGACACATGCAGGAACACACGGCCACATATATAGACGCACAAAGCACGCATTTAGCCCTGAGTTATGACCTAGTTGTCTGGGATGTGAAATGTCAGCTGTAACAGAGTCTTTATTGGACAGAAAGAGATAACCCCTCTGGCCATTTACTACTAAGTGTGTGTGTGTGTGGTTGGCTGAGTTACATGGATGTGCCCCAGTGTACTTCTGTAGGGGGAAGGGGAGCAGGAATTATAGTGAGAGAGAGAGAAGAGCCTTTGGGGCTCCTTGTCCAGAGATGGCCTGGTTTCTGCGTATACACTGCAGAAATTAGAGCGTGATTCCGTTCACCCGCCCCATTCATTCTCCTCGCCCTTCGTAAAAATGTGTGCACGCGCACTCAGGCCAATCCAAGCGTACACAAGGACCTACTAATGTTGTGCCTGACACACTTTATTCTGTGAATCAGCAAAATACGCTAGAATGTTACGAAAAAGATGCATTATGCGCTCTGGATGCCACGAGCTTTCTCTACAGCTCTACTCGCCTTTAGAGGCTGAGAGTGAGCACAGCTGTATCCTCTGGCTGCTAACAGGGCATCTTTTTAGATTAGATATTACACCGGGGGACACAATCTCACACTTGAGTAACCTTGGTCTGACCCCGAGGCACAGTGGTGGGGCCTGTTATTTTCTTTACATTAGCGTTGTATCTACTGAGCGGCCGTGTGATTTTCAGCCCTCCAGGTCTCCCTGGCTCTGTTTAAAAAAGGGGGGACTAACGAAGGGGGGGGCCGGATCCAGAGACCCCCGTTGTTCGAATAGCAGTCAGAAGCAGACGAAGAAATGACGATTTTTTTCTTTAGCCACATTGTGCCTTTTTAAAGGTGGAAGCCAGTAAATATCAGACTGACAGAGTTTATAGGACAGGTGTTTTCATTCTTTTTAGACTTCCTGGTGCAAGCAAACTGATGGTTATTTTTCCATTGCTGGTTCATGTAATGCAGAAATACCGCGGTTGGAGGCCTTTCTTGGCTGTGACCGAACTCTCTCTGGACTCTTGTTTCTAAGTTGACGTTGACTGGCTTGTAAGTCACGAAAAGGACAAGATGTGCCAAAATGTTGATCCGTCTAATTTAAAAGAAAAAGACCGCATCAGAGTAATGCGTGTGCAGCTTTCCCCTCTTTCTTTTAACCTGGCGGGCTGACGAGGTGTTCTCTTTCTCCATCTCTTCTCTACTCTGTCCAAAACCAAGCAGGCTTCTCTCTCTTCGCCTGCAGGATTTGGCTCTGTTGGCTCAGTAGCTGACGCGATGCATTTTCATAAAAACCTGCTCTGATAAGCTTTCATGTGGGTTCAGGTGGGCTTTTTCCAGGTCAGCTGTTTGGTTGTAGAGTGTCCAGTGATGATTCAAGAGAGAAAAATGTCCCCAGCACAAACCCCCGTTGTTACTCCCCCCCCAATACGTCCTGCGTTTGTCTTCTTTGCCTGCATATGAACTCTCGAGACACTAAATGTACTATACGGTACAAGCTTCATGTTTTGTTATTTAGTAAAAAGGGAACGTGTACCTTTAGCGGCGGCCAGTCCCTCTGCTTTCACTTCAGTAATATGGAGCTGCTGTGTCCCCTCCTCATCGATAACTGCCACAGAAAAGCCTGTGGACAATAAAACGCAGAGAGAGAGACAGTCAGCCATTCGTTAGTCCTCCTTCAAGACCTCTCCTCCGTTTGACAGTTTGCCTTGATGACCCATAACTAGCGAGTGATTATATCCACTTAAGACAAAACTCCCTCATACTGGGTCACACCCCCCCTTTAGTCACTAACAGAGCATGACTATGAATCCTATTAGGAAAGCAATTTGATACAGGATTTGACGGTATTACAGAACTGGGGTTCAAAAGGGAGTTTTGTCAGAGAGAAGCATACCAAATCCGATGGCGCTGGACTCTGCTTTGTCGAACCGGATCACCTTGGTAGCTTTGGGGCGAACCTCAATCTCTTTGTAGAGCTGCAAACACACAAAAATTATATTTAATTGAGGGGGAAAAAAATGGATGGATAGCAGCGTCGTTGGATGGCGAAGGTCAAGGTCATTTTATTGCTCTTAATAAAGAACGAACGGATTCATGTATTATTCAGGCTCCTTAACGGGACAATCTCAGGCGAAGGTCGCCGGGGTCAAAATTCAAGTCAAGTCTGAGAAGAGAGTGGGCGCTCAGACGGGGGCCCGACCTCGCAGCGGGCGGGAGCAGAGACACAGCTGTGTGTACGGAGCAACAGGGACAGAAGTCTGCCGCGCGTAATTCGCGTCACTGCGGAGACATGATAATGTAATATTATAGACTCGAGATGAAAGCGGGTGAAAAGAGTCAGTGATCAAAGCAGGGAGATACAAGAAGATAAAAGGAGGGAAATGGAGCGAGTTACACAATGACTTTACTTTGAGACAGAGTTCAGTGTATCACCTACAAAGCACTGTCGCCAAGAGAATTCATTTTGGGGTTCACAGCAGCAGAATAATGAAGAGGTGAGGTTTTCTTCAATGAGAGTGATTGTTCATATGAATAACAGTGCACATAATACACTCGGAGTGCTATTTTGCATAATTTATAGCGTGTGCGATGGTGCTTCTTTTGCATCCTGGGAATCTGTCAACCGAGTCATAAAACATGCACAAGCTTTCACCCAGATTCATCCCGGAATGAAAAAAAAATTAATTAGTAATTAGGTGAAAAAACAAATATCCAAATAGGACATTACATCTAAGTTGGGACTGAAATTAAAAACTTTAATCAAACATCCAGCGATATGACAGCATATTCCTTCCATTTCATTTTTATCAAGGTGCTTCAGTGTGTGTTTCCTTACCAGATCAGAAATATCCTCTTCAATTTTGGGAACATAAAAGAGTATTCGGTTGTCGATCCACATTTTCAAACGCAGGTAGTGGCTGGAAGAGTCTATTTTATGGGTCTGGGGGAGAAAAAGACGAGAGGGCAATGAAGAAAAAACGAATTTCTTCTTCTTTTTAAAATAATAGTCAGCATTTCTTAAAGTATATGTGTGATTTTCTTGGTGTGAATTAAAGACAAGCCTGTCTTTATTTACATTTAACACATGGATGACTTTACACCCGACTATCCCAAAGTATCATTCCCTTTACCACTACCACAGCTCATGACATACACGGACAAAAGGACACACACCTCTCCAATCATGTACACAATCCACATGTATCTGCCTGCATGGAACACAGGGCCCATGAATTAGATGCTCCAGTTCCTCGTGACATTTTTACAGTATGTCTCAACACAAACGGTCACACACGTCAATCAGCGCTTTGTGTTTCAACAGACCTCGGTAATGGGACCTATAAGTTTCATTTGGCATCATTATTCCAGTGCATCTCTGGCTGTGACCAATTAGGCAGAAGAAGAGATGGAGAGCAACGAAAAAAAATGAAAAAATAAGTACGCTGTTGACATATGAAATGTTTTTTTTGTTCTGGTTATGTAGAAATACCAGACGGTCTCACATCTCGGGTAATCCCAAATTTGTTTCAGGATTTAATTCAATAGGACAATTCAATATTTTTACTAAAGTTGACTGTTGTGGTCGAGTGTCATTACGCAGCTCATGTAACATTATGTGTTCTGAACTCCCATTCACAGAGCAGCGGGCAATTTTATGATAAAACTAATTATTAGCATGCCTAACAGTTGTTGACTGTTACCAGTTTTGCTACCGCATTCATGCAAGTCTTTATATATTTGTGCAGGCCTGTAATTATCTCTCTTAAATGCCATGAATTGAAGCATTTTGCCCCGCTATCAGCAATGGCCCACCTTGCAGACGCTGCTCAGGACTTCCAGCGCTGTCTCGCCGGGCTGTACGATGGCCAAGACGGGATGATTGTTGGGCAGACACACCCAGGAGGGAGCCAGGTAATCAGGAACCCAAATGTCGCTGTCTATGTTCTGCTGAGGCAGATTTTTCACAGAGGCCTCTTTCTCCTTCTGAAAATGCAACACATAAACACGCACGATAGACAGTTCATGCATCTTTAGGGCAACTCGAAAACAGAAGGCACCGCATAACAAATTCAATTTTATCAGGAGAATTAGATTCTGCTGAGTGAAGAATGAATTATCTAAAATTACAATTGCTAAAATCGGGCCGTAATCCTCATAATTCATCATTACCCATCTCAAAAAAACACAGATTTGCTTTGTTTGAATAATCGGGTGGACACTGGCGGTGGCCTCGGAGCAGCAGGAGATCTGATAACAAAATCTAATTCATTTGTGTTGATGAGAGCCTCTTGATACAATTGTTGTATTGTGTGAGTGTGTGTTACATATGTGTGCGCAGTCTGTTCAAAGCAGCGTCTGTGACCTTTAGACCCGTCAGTCTGACCTCTGACAATCTGGCAGCCACGTCAGCCTCTCTCCCTTGTTTGTCCCATCTACTCGACCTCACACTGTCTGTCACTGATACCTTATCTCCTCCTATCGAGTAACAGGTTTTCCACAAACTCATTTATTCTTTCATTCCTCTGTTGCAACCCCCCCACCCCACCCCACCACCCTCACATTGCCTCTCCTTCTGGTGCCCCTTCCCCTCTATCTGCACACCATTCCATCATCTTCCTCCTCCCCATCTTTTATTCGTGCCAATCTGTTGCCCGTTAACAACACGGGGCCGGTGGTCCCTGCTTAAACGGACTGTCTGCGCGCGTGCGAGTGAATCTATGTTTTAGCCTGAGTGTAATTGAGACAGAGGGATCCATTTTTTGGATCCACAACACGGAGCAGAAACAAAACACAGACCCACACGGTTTGAAAGAAAAACATACAAATTCTCAGACAGACAACAGACTGGGGTCCCAAACAAGAACCTCCCCCCAACTCCCTGATCTCCCCAGCCCTGCTCGACACCATCTGGCTCCCCTCCTGGCCCATGCAGGATGCCACTGCTGGAGGGCTCGGGTCCAAGGCAGCTCACTGAACTATCTTTGTTTCTCTCTCTCTCTCTCTCTCTCTCTCTCCCTTCTCTGCCGTCAGTGGGATTCCCTAGAATAAACAGAGGATTGAAGCTGGGACAAGAACATCCGATGTGTTGGAGCTACAGTAATCTCACTGGAGATTCTCATTTCTTCTGATGCAGCATTTCCAGCAGTGTCTTACAACCAATTGACGCATGTTGCTTCCCATGTGCTTCTTCACTGTCATTCCATACCCTGCCAGCTGAAGGTGGGAGTGGGTGGAAGGAAATCAATCACTGGGGGGCCTCCACAATCAGAGTGGGTGAGTGTTTTCTTCCATCTACTGAGTTCACACAGAGAAACCCCCCCAACCCCTGCTGCCTACCACTTCTCATAAAATATTGAGCTTGCATGCTTGTCCTTGCACAACCCATGTGTAATTAGAACATCCAAAGTTATAATTTACAATTTACAATGCAGTTTTCTCTTGGAATATATTATTGATTATGGTACATATCAGACACATGGTGTTAAGCATCCAGGTCCTTTTGTGGTAAATGTCGGAATAATTTGTTGAACCAAACATATCGGACCAGATTTATCCCCCCGGTTGTAGCAAGGAGGAGCAGAGTTGGAATTAGCTGTAGAAAATGACAATACCAAAAATCTATCTATGAATAGTTTTTGACAAAAGGTGGTAGACAAGAATCATAATGGCAGTATTTCTGGCTACGCATAATGAAAAGGAGAAAGTGGTAATAAACCAAAATTGATCCTTCAAAGTCTGGTAAAGCAAATCATTTGTTGAGTGGTGCAGGAGGAAAAATAGCTGCAGAAGATGGAAATAAACTCAAGTATCTTCTCATAACAATGAGGAAAAAACGAAATTCTGCAGCTTTTAAAGTTTTGCAATCCAATATTTTCCCTTTCGCTCTTCAGCTAGGAAGAAAGTAGACGTCTGAAAACATTAAAGCAGAAGCATGACAATGACCTCAAGGAAATGCTCATTGATGCAGAAGGATGGAGGGATTTTGTGCTTCCTCCAGAAAAGCTACAGAATGAAGAGCCAGAGCCCCAAAAGGATCTCAGTTAAGTGAGTGAAGGTGGAAAATCCAGCGACGCTGGCCCCGGGGTCTTAAGAAGCCCTCTTATTCATTATACAAGTTAACAAAGGTTTGTCAGATACCCCAGTGATTTTTATGTTGGCTTATGCGAGCGGCAAACAATGACAAGGATTTAGCCTACGGCTACATTTGATCTAGTTTTCTGTTGTGAATGCCAAACTAGTAAAAGAAGGAGGAACATAGTGTTCTGCCTGAGGAGCATTACTATTGTATGGACATCAACATTCACCACAATGGAAACGATGACAAGTTGGGCTAACCTTCACTCAAATCTAACATCTAACTTTGGTAAGCAAACATTATCCAAGTGTTATTTATACGTTATTTTTCAACAAATAAGGCCTGTATAAAAAAGTGGATGCATTTCTCTTGTGGTCCTTAATATGAAGTTACATCTGAGCCATGTGTGTAGTTTTGTCTAGTAAAGATGGCTGAGCTCTTACAGATTTCTCACTGGCTGAGTCTTCAAACATGCGCTCCAATGGCTTTTTCACCGGCTCCATCCCATCAACGAAGACCTGCAAACACCACAGAGAACAGGACATTGCAAATGCACCCAAATACAACCAACACATTGCAGTTATTGAATTTACTAAAATACAGTTTTTAACAATGCTGCAAACCCTTGTTTGTTGAGCATTTGTAGACCATTATTAAAACCAAAATGCTCATAAAATGTGGTTGACTTGGAGTATTAGTAAAATTGCATTATTTAGTTAAAGGTTAACATAACCTCTTTCTGGCTCTGCCTCCAAACTATTACTACCTTACAGTTTTACCCCTTCAAAGTCAAACACTAGATTATAGCATGGATGTGTCCCTATGGTTACCTGGTTGAGTGAAGGATGTCCCTTGCTCTTCCTCTTTGAGGTGGTGTCCAGCCCCCACAGGGACGAGAACCGGCTACGCCGTTTGCTGAAGGTCCGAGGCATGGCCTGGTTCCGCCTCCTGATGCTGCTTTCAGTGCGAGCTGACACCTGTGAAAGTGATTGTTATGGAAAACATGAATCCAATGAATAAGGTATGTGAACCAATGTACGACTATCTGTCCAAATTGTTGTTTTGTCCCATACTAAACCCACTCGAGCACTCAGTGACCCACCGCAGATCCAAAGAGAAACCACTCTTGGCATTTCTGGGTTACTTCACACATGAACTGTTTGGCTGTGAGCGGCTCTGACTGACTAGGTGGCACACAGGCGCATACTTTGACGCAGTGCATGTCATTTCTGAACATGCTGTACTTGTGCGGAGGTGTGCTTGTTTGTCTCCTCACCAGTCACCGCTCATGAGGCACAAACACGTCAGACGTAATAGGTCAAACTGCCTCCAAGACTCTTCTTATATAAGCGCGTGGAAGAGGCCTCTTTTACGGACTATGCTGTTGCGATGTCCCTGTTGGCTATGGATATTAACAAGGATGATATGTTGGAACAATTACTGAAGAAAGTAACAAAAACATTAGAGGTCCTTTTTGAAAGAGGAAAAGCGACAAAGAGGTGAGAGGGAGGACAGTTATCTTTTGCTGAAGGCAACATGAATTTGGTCATTCAGTGTTTTTGTATTTCATCATTTAATAATGTTATTCTTTACATGTATTTCATTTAGATCATTATATAGTATAGCATATTGTGCCTATTCATAGCAATATGTCACTTATGCAACAACGACATTTAAAATGTGGTAGAAAAAAAGAATTCCATAAAGACGGGTAAAAAACAAGGAAAACAACAGCAATAGTGTGAGACACAGAGGAGGAAAGCGTGAAGAAAATAAGCTAAAAAAGGAGGGACTAAATAGAGACGGAGACAAAGGAAGTGAGGGTGTAGGCAGTAAAAGGAAGGAGGGGTCAACAGAGCAAAGTGTTAAGCCTGTTTGTGGGAAAGTGCCTCAGGGATGGAAGCTCAGAAACAGAGTTCATATTGATCCACGAGTCACAAAAAAACACTCTCGACCAAAGATGTTTTAAATGTGCGCGTCTACGTTCGCTGTATCTGATAGCCCGCTTGAAGGAAACATGCCAATAGCGAAGCAATTTGAACCTCTTTCTCTCCACTCAACTCTTTGTTTCCTCAATGACATTTGGCAGCGCACACAGCAAACACAATACACAACAGCTCGTACATCATTCCGCCCAGTGTGCAGTTGTGCAGTTTCATCATGTGCATTCTTCAGGTGGCAACGCCAGAACGCCTCGTAGCTCTGAGCAAAATTCCTCGGCTAAAGCAGTCAACATCACGACTGTGTGCAGATATGTAAATGAAAGCGTACATCAACATTTCTTTCCGGTTTACATTTTTGTGTTGTGTTGTGTTTTATTCTCGGTTTTTCAAAGAGCTCATTTAGATTTAGGCTACACTTGAAATCAAAATGTATGTTAAAAAGCCACAATATATAATGGATTTTCAACTTTATTTGAACATATTGAGACCAATTATGTAACAGCTACAGTGAGCTTTTGCTGTGAATTGTTAATGAGGACATTTCTTTAAGATCCAAAAACCTCTTATAGCTGCTGCTGTGCAAAACTCATACAGGGACGTTCACCATTCGGCCTTTTCCATTCTGCTTGCTCCTCATTAACCGTGGCTAACTCTTTAGAGCGCTTGAACCTCGGGGTAGATGAAGTGTCTTCGGTTTGCACATTTTCCAGGCAAGCAGAAATTCTTTCAGTGGGCGTATGTGACAAGATGCTCACTCTGACAGGCCGGTTAAACACACCCACTCTACAAGCCGGGCTGATATTGAAGGTCAGCGGTAGGATCTTCTCACGCAATGCATACAGGAACATGAAGAGACATGTGGGAGAGAATTTGAGTTTTGGATCATGTTGCTCTGATTAGGTTTCAGAGTCAAATTGCAGCCCGGGAAGTTTAGAGTGAATAGTCAAACACAAGCAAAGGTGAGTGAGTTCATAAACGTGAGCGGGTGCGTGGACATTTACCAGCGCATGGAAGGAGGAGACGGAGAAGATGCCAAGTCGTCCCATGGCCAGCTTGGTGGGACGCGAGGCGAAGCCTAGCAGCCGTTTGGGGTTGGGGGGTTCGCCGCCCTGCAGACTGGCCAGGTAGCACCGGCAGCGAAACAGATCCATGTGAAAACGCTCCAAGTTCTGCTCCCACAAGAAGATCTAACAGAGGGGAAGATGGGAGGGAAGTGAAAGGGTTGGATCGGGGATTATGCAAGAGAAGCAAACTTTGCTGGCTGGATCCAGATTTATTCACAGTTTCTTCCAATTTGGCCACGGATGTAATAAAAAAATATAAAAAAATTCATAACATATCAGTCTTTGTTAGTTGTCTAATTGGTCATTTCAAGAGGAGTGAGATGTGGGAGTGCTGGAGCCCCTGTGGAGAGGTATTACTCATCAACACAACCCCCACCGGTCGGCGACCTGCTGTGCTATGTGAAATGTATCACAGGGTGGGCCGTGGGAGGTGGAACAAAGGAACACACACACACACACACACTTCAAATGAAACACAATCTAGGCTTAATTTCCACTGGTTTTTACCTTAATCAACTTGTTTCAGGAATTTAAAAAACTTGTCTTTCTTTAAGCCTTTAAATCAACGTAGATCAGGGCACGTCTGCTTATGTAAACTCATTTTGTAGATTAATGTGGTTCTAGACGCTGATCTTGACAAGTCAGACAATGATGGAATCAACCAGCCTCAAGTCTTTTCACTCCTTTGATCCCACAATTTAGTTAATGTGCTTTTATAGTAGGCAATCAAAGTCCTAGTGGGTTCTCAGAAATGGGACACGTTCTGCATGGTTGAGATTAACCGCTTCCTGCTGCTTTATTTTATGTAAAATTGTTTTCTTTTACTGACTATCAACCATGTGCCACACACATACAAACACACGCAGGATTGCTCCCACAAGGAGCCCCATTGTTTGAGGGCACATTCTTAAGACCTCGTGCAACGTTTACATGCAATGCTGCTTTAACATTCATCGGCAGCTCCAGACTTGCATGGAGTGAAAATGTCCTAAAGAAGCTTTGAAATTCCAGCTGTGACTTGTTTCAAAAACAGCTATTATGTATGGAAATATATTAGCGGTTTCAGGCTCACCTGCCGATTTTTCCTTCAAGGATTGCATGCGTTTCAACATGTGTTATGAATACTCTGCATTCTGCTGCACTTGAATGTGTTTATAAATGAGCAGCGGTCAGAATATTTGAACACATCTGTCGTTGCAAGTGCTCCCTAAGAACATTTTGTCTGGATGACGGCATGCCGTAAAAGGTGATTTAGTGCTGAGATTTCCGTGTGTGAAGGCATCAGGGACGTTTGAAGGTACCAGGATGTGCGATCTGTGAAGCGCCTAAGCGCTCGACTTTACAAACCTGGTTCAAATCAGCATCGAATAGACATAAATTATGACTCATTTACAACATGAATGTAAGGCTTTTCCGAAGTTATTACTGCTGAAACAGGCTTTGATCTCTTTGAGTCCTTTTTACAGTTCTTTTGCCCTCCTTCCATCCCTACTCCATACCTGCTCCAAAATGGTCTTCCTCTTCTTGGCGTCCGTGACTGTCGACAGCTGCATGTCTCCCATCTTCTTCATCTTTTCGTCCATGTCGATCTTTTGCTCCAGTTTGCGGATTTCGGTCCGCAGAAGCCGAACTGTGTCCTCCCGGTGGTGCTGCCGAGCCAGAGCAGCGGCGCAGGCGGAGTGGATCGCTGTGATCCAGTTCTCCAGTTCTGTCTGGCCCGACGTCTGACAGGAGAGGAAATAAGGGGGAAACAATTGCTGATATCTCCAAAGAATAACGAGGGGGGGGGGAGTTGACAGCTTAAAGAATACAAAACATGAGTCCCATTATTAGCCTCTGGCAGAGGGTGGTCACAATAATCTCATCTTCATCTCATTACTTATGTTCCAGTTCATTGATCGAACATCAATGTGGACAGCCGCCATGCATATAAATAGACACATTTTAATAGTGCACAATGGTCCCAGTGGTGGATCAAAGTCACAGTATGACAGTGTGGCCTTTAAACATGTCAGACATAAAACAAACACACGGACACTGCACTGGCTTATCTCCCACACATGGCTAAATGTCATGTACTTATGTGCCACACCCCTCAAGATAAATGAGGTCTCCCCTTACTGCCATCCATCTTTGTCACTCTTAGTGATCTCTCACTTCATGTCACCTCAAGAAAATAATAAAATTACTGATTATTGAATTTCAAATACAACAATTGTTTCAGCCTTAACTGTGTGTTTTAGTAAAATGTCACTTCCCCTTTTTCCTTTTCCAAGAAGATGCTTTCTTATGTGATTATGGATCATTTAAATTACGGTATCTCTTTCACCTGGAAGAGGAAAGCGTCTCCCACTGAGTTGCTGAGGCAGAAGACAAAATCTTTCTTGGGGTGCTCAGGTACGGCCTGGACAATGCTGTTCTCCACCCACAATGCGTGTTTGGGAACGCTGTTGTGGTCGATCCCGGAACGACCGTCTGACTCGTACAGGAAAAGAGTGCAGCCTTGAGGGACGCAGAGAAAAAGAAAGTCAAGGAAATGTTGTTACCGATGTTACCATTTCACCTAAATGTATTGAAACCAATTAGGAAAACCCTAATACCCTAAAAAGGTTCCACTTTATGCTAATAATGTATTTAATCTCTCATTCATCCTCAGAAATAAAAATAATAATCAAATCATTAATGGGAGCTCGTATAACAAAGGGTCAGGATGAATTCTGTGACATACTCTGATTCATTTATCATTGGGGGGTTGGACAGGAGTAAGGCAGGGATGCAGCTACAGATGCTGTATCTTATGCATTTCACAAGGATGAGATTAGATTTGACACGGATGCGGCCGTAAAATTAAATTGTGATGAGGCCGAGGGGAGGAAATGTGAGGCCGAGTGAGAGGACGATGGAGGCGACAACCAAGGGCATGGACTGCGTATAGACTGATGTGATTACAGTCCAACGGGAGAAGGAAGGAGAGAGATTGAACACATGAAATGAGATAAAACACTTAAGATGTTCATCTAAATGGGACATTATGAATTTGTAAAAAGCAAACCCAGAGATCAAAGTAGGAGGCTCTATGCTCACCTTTCAAAGAGACCCAGTAGTGTTTCCACTTGCGTTTGGTTGCAGGTTCCACTTTCTTGTTTTTCTTATGAACCAAGAAGTTCTTCACAGCCAGAGCTCCTGCCTTCCTGACGATGCCTTGTGCGCAGCCAATGGGAATGTCCGATGGATACGCACCGCTCAGTGTGCAGCTGCTCCGCTCGTCGCTCACAGCAGATGCAGCCTCCTCGGCGCAGTCACGACCCTGATGTGTCTGACAGGAGAGCGATGGAGAAAACTTGAATAATAATAAAAAAACACATTGGATTTGTTATCGAGATGTGTGTAGCTAGAAGTAACTAACCCAGGCTTGATTGTCCAGCTCCTTTCGGAAATTCTCATACACGCCTCCCCTGCCCCCATCGCCTGCCCGTCCTCCTCCTCCTCCTGCGCTGCTGCTCCCGCTGTCGCTCCCGTTGAAAAGGCTGCTCTCAGTAGCCGAGTAGACGGAGAAGGAGGCCGACATGGCCTTACAGCGGCGAGACACCAGCTCTCCGTCCCCGTCTATCTCCGTGGCGACGCCGTCGATGCCACTGTCGCCGTACTCGCTTCCCTCGCCCAAAACCCCTGAGATGTCCTACGAGACGGGAAAAACAAACGTGACTTTGTTAACGACTTGTTAAAGTATATAGATATCAATGCATGACATAATACGCACCAACGGGCAGCTGACAGCTCGGGCAACACACGGGGTTTATGGGTTTATATTTGTGTGCGAGTGCCTTAGAGAATCAAAATGTGTGTGTGTGCACAACCTTTATTTATGGATTTCAGCTAAATAAAACCTTCTACTCTGAACCAGAGGTTCTCTGTGCTTTCACACTTTTCTTTCACCAAACTGAGTAACTCTCTTTCTCTTTCCTTTGCCATGTTGTCTATTTATATCCGGTCTAACGACCCCCCTAAGCCAGGCTGGATGAATTTCTCATAAGCACTTAGTGTGCTCTGCTATCCAAGGGGGCTTGGGGGGGTTCTGGGAATGAGTTGAAAGAAAAGCCCTGTTTGCTATTGTAGTGCCTCTTTCTTATTCGGCAATTATTCTTTATCAATGACACATGGAAATTTACCGAAAGAAGTTCTTTTATTCTACAGAATAAAACAGTAGTTTTGTTTTGTCCCCGCAATCTCTTGTTAATTGGCTTTGTGTTGATACATAACTGTGACTTTTCTTCCTCTGTAATCCTCTGGGTGTATCTGCTTTTTTAACATTGTACAAAAGCTATAAAGGATGTTAAAAATATCTTTGAGTGCATATTTATCCATGTTAGGACAGCGTGTGTGCGGTTAGTGAACAGGACATGGAAGATATTATGCTTTAATGATTTCCTTTCTGGAGGGGGGATGAAAACCAAGCTCATGTTGGGCCAGTAGCCCCACAGCAACTTGCTGACTCCTTGTAATCCCTTTCCCAGCTACACAAATATACATGGTCTACTTGGATGTATATAAATACACAACTTCACAGCATGGCCACGCACAGGAAACGTCTGTGGTTGTCCACAAAATGTTCATTTTTGAACCGTGTGAACTTCCTGGATACTGCTGGTAAACAAAGTCCTCCACGTTTAGCGCATAGAGGACAGACAGAGGACACAGAAAAACCTTATCAACGTGTCGCCTGCTTTGCATATTTATTAATATATTCACAACATATAATCTCACCTGGGTAGTTTGTGCACGGCGTCCCTGGAAACCGGGGCACGGGGCGGCGGGGGCCCCCAGCCCCGCCAGGCCCTCCGACAGGCAGTGGGAGCGTCGGCAGGGGAGCGTGAACGCTCCGTACCCGCCACCATCCTCCTCGCTGGGAGACATCAACCCCTCGTCCCCTCCCCCGTCCCCATCGCACGGGGCTTCTCTCCGGTTTTTAGCGTAGCGGCTCCTCTGCCCCCTGAGGCCGGGACTCTGCTGGCTGCACAGATGGTCCAGAGACGATGCCCTTTCAGCGGAGCCTGGAATACACACAGGTGGTTATTGCAGTGTGTGTGTGTGTGTGTGTGTGTGTGTGTGTGTGTGTGTGTGTGTGTGTGTGTGTGTGTGTGTGTGTGAGAGAGAGAGAGAGCGAGGTCAATGTATTCTGGTTACTGTCGGTTACTTTCAGACTACACTGCCACATTCGGTGTATGAATTAACCTTTTCCATCCGTGTCTGAGGGATTTCTTGGGGGATTGAGCTCGAACCAACGTGTGTGTGTGTGTGTGTGTGTGGGTGTGTGTGCGTGCCCCGCAAGACGGTCCGTTGTTCTCGGCTAGCAGACAACCTGAGGCGGCGCGTGGACCTTCAGCAGTTACACGTTACCAGCTACCGCCTGATGGGGCTCTGATCTCCCTGAGCTCCTGCCGAGCGCCATTAGGGCTAACAACCCCGTGTGCAACTCAACTACCGCCACTGATGGAGGGCAGCTAGTCCTCCATCAGTCGATTTCTTCAAATCACTCTTTGCTACTCGGTGAGGGCCTCCCCCTCGTCACCTGACAAGACGAATCAAATCAAGCACTCGGCACCCCCGTGCAGACACACACAGATATACGGACGCACAAACCCTTTTCTCATTCACCAGAAAGCGTTGTTTTGAAAAGTGATTTCTGAGTAAAATTTCTAGAAACTTCATCTGTATCCATTTAAGACAGGACATGTTATTTGCACTTTTATTGACAATGACACGATATGCCTCTGAATAACTCCCTGAAAACACTGAATATGAATTCTGTAAGACAAGAGGGTGCATTTATTTAAGACGTTTGTCATCCTCACCTGCGTTGCCTCTGGGCCGTGCGAACTGCTCCTCCTCCTCTTCTTCTTCTCCTCCACCTATCATCTCCTCAGTACTGGTCAGATGCTCCTGGCTCAGGTCCGACATGGAGAACTCCAAGCTATCTTCCCTCCACATGTCCGCTGACTTGGACCTCTTCTTTTTAAAACTCCCTCCCTCCCGTGGACCCTCAGTCATTCTCTGGAGGTACCGTTCCTCCCCGACAACGTCACCCTCTTCCTCTTCCTCCTCCTCCTCCTCCTCCTCCCCCATGGAGTCCTCTCCACCGGCCGGAGCGACGGTGTCCGCCTCCGAGGTTTCAGGGGTCGGCGTGGCCAACGGGTCGTCGTCTTGTTGGTAGGACTCCGGCCTCATTGTCATAGCGACGCGCTGCGTCCAGTGAGGGTTGATGCCGAACTCTCCAAATGCATCCGCGGCGTTAAAAGCTCCCAGTCCGTTCTCCGCCAGGGATTGCGGGATGCTCGGGGTGCTGGAGGAGCGCGTTGAGGCATCCGAGTTTCTGTGCTCCTGCTTCACTGAAGAAGAGTGGCGAGGGCGGCGGGCGACCGGCTGCTTGCTGGAGATGCGGAGTGACCTGGACGTGTGCTTGCGGGAGAGATGCGCCGTCACATCGCCGTAGAAACCACTGTCCCCGTTTTGACTTTCGGCGTTTCCCATGATTCAGCTGTAGATGAAGGATGAAACACACGCTCTTTAAGCTTGCATATATAGATACAGATGGATTCTTTTTTCTTTTCCTCTGACGGCGTTGGCAGGTTTACTCTTACATGGTTATAATCATAAAACCAGGTCAATCTCTGAGCCGGATGAGTGAGTAACATTTAGTGGCACATTCACATGGTGATACATCAGAGCTAACAAGGATCTCTTTGAAGGTCTTGCTGAGTTCAGCTGTCGGGCAGATGATCAGGGATCAGGTGTCCACAACTGAGGTGGAGGTTCTCCAGCTAGTTTTGGGTTCCATAAACTGACCTGAATGTTTGGTGATTTGCTCAGCAAAACACACTACGACGTGGTAGCGCAGGGACAACAAGGTTAATTAAAAATTGATTTAGAGCATAGACAAAGCTAACATTTCACAGAGGCTTCCTGAGGGGTTTTTTCTGCTGGTGACCCATTAAATTATTTCAATGACGACAAAGACATATAAATAAATCCTGCTCCTTCTTATAATAGTTGTATAAATATCCATTTTGATGTTGTTAAGTCTCAGCATGAATTGGCTTGGTTGGTTCTGCCGCACTTCTCCCCTTCACTGGTGATTCATTCGCCATATTCCCTAAACGGTTAAATATGTTTTTCGTATGTTTTTAAGTTATCCCAGCATCCTGAACCGCTCTCTGTTGCACATGAAGCCGCTGAGTCAAATGCTGTCGGATCAGTTGGTCCTCTGTGAGTCACGCGTTGTCAGAATCCACCCCACCAGCTTCTCCATGTGGGCTCAAACTGAGAGGACGACTGAAAAAATCTCTCCGATCAAGTGTAAAATCGTTTTTCTACAAATGTAGAATCATTCTCTTGCGTTAAATTTGTAAGACAAAAATTAAGTAGCAAAGTAAAGCAGAGCATTAAAATCTAAAATGCTTTGCATTTCTTTTGCTGGTTACCTTTGGTTGAGCAGCCACATCATTAATTGGTCCTCATCGAGTCATCTCTCACCGACCACATGATCCTCTACACCTCCTCAAACGGAGGTGTCAGGTGTCCCTGAGAGGAGAGAAGAGAGAGAAGGGGTTTGAGTGGAGCCCTCACAACTTCAAAGTGACCCAATGTGTCAAACTCTCACACACACACACACACACACACACACACTCACACACAGGGGAGCAGAAGGAAGACGAGGAGGGGAAGGTGGTTCTAAAAACTACTGCAGAGCATCTGCCAGGTACGGCACATGAAGCCGGTGAAGCAAATTAGAAAGGAAAGCTGTGAAGCTCAGTGGAGAAGCACTCTAAAGGATAAGAGACATGCAGGATGAAAGAGAGTAAAGGACACTGTGGTCACTAAGCCTGGAGTTAAGATAAGTGCAAGAGAGGCAAGAAAGACCAGGAGACACCACGGATTAAAAAACCCACACATAGAAACTCACAGATCATCGGAAACAAAGAGCCGAGGTATGAGGCTGAAGAAAAAACCCCACAAACAATCAACTGCAATTTCTTGGAACTGCACCTTGAAACTCATTGCCAAGCTGAAACCATGCAGGCATGTGCAGGCATGTACATAAATCATTTAGGGATAACACCCCTGGTTTCCCTGCAGACAAAGAGATGCGCACATGCACGCACGCACAAACACGCACACACACACACGGACATTGTTGCTCAAATGACAGAACATCAAAGCAGCTTTGGAGAATGATTTCCTGCCTCAGACTCAATTAAATGATCCTTTCCAATACGACCCCTAATTTTCCTTAATAACAGCCCTGAGCTGCTTAGCGTAGACCATGATTTAATGCGCTACATACAGTTGGAAGCTAAGCTAGTGCACTCATTGTGTGTAGTTTTGCTGATATGTCAGCTCACAGAAAGATTTCGGATAGTTTAGTTTATAAATAGAAGGAGGCAGATGTAACTAATGATCCGTCTCAGTCACCTGGAGTTCAGAGGCCGGGAGTTTGCAGCTGCTGATCTCAATGTCAACACTGTTGCCAGATTTGTTTGTGTTCTGATAAGCAGATGAGCGGGAGCAATTCGTTCACTGTCAAGAGAGAGAAATTCTGCCTTTATCAACTGCAAAGCAGATGTCAATCCACAGAGGGTGTACAGTATTTAGGTCCTTTATATCTGGTGAGAATATATTTCAGAATGCAAACAAAGCATTTCATCCCTAAAATCATAGAAGATTGTGCAGGAGGTAGATATAAACCACACACAATGTTTTGTTCAACTTGCATCCTTGGCTGTGGGAAGCAGTTATATAAGCTTAACTTAACCCTGTTACTTCTCCTCCTCTTCCTCTTCCCTCCACCCTTTCTTTTCTCATCTCTCCTGCAGCCCATCCGGCCTGATGAAACTTATCCCAACCCACATGTCGGCCACCTACCCCAAGAAAACAAACAGAAACACACGTTGTAAAATGCACACACAATACATGACAGGTGTGATATTTATTTTGGAGCTAGTTCTGCTTTGAGACTTGATAGCTAAAATGTTTTATAGCTGTATGCAGCTGTAAGCTGTATGAATTGAAAGCAATATACTGTAACTAACGCGTAACAAAATGGCAACATACAAACCAACAAAAATACTGTTATTAAGCCACATAGTTCATTTAACTGTCTCGGGTTTTGTGTGGGGAAGAAAAAACACACACAGAGGCCAAACAAACAGAACAGCCTGGTTTGACACAACGCTGCCTTTCCTCTGGCGGTGTGCAGTCTAAAATGTTTAGTCTTAGTTCCTCTCCTCTTCCTGTGCCTTGCAGCGACGGAGAGGGGTAACGAGGGAGAGGAAGGGGCTCTCTGCTAAACCCACGTAGAGCTGAGAGGTGAGGCAAGGCTGGGGGGCCAAGCCGCTCGATGAGGTAAGGGGGGGTGGGGGGGGGTGTTGGTGCAGACGGGGAATGGAAAAGGGAAGAAAAAAATATGTATTGGTTGGGGGGGGAGGGGCTGTGCTATGAATAGAAGTTTTATATGGAACACTGTTGAAAACCGGGGGAGGAGGAAATGAAGACTGGGAGAGAGGGGGAGAGCTGGATGGAGGCAAATTGGGGAGTCCTATTGTTGCAGAGGTTTAAGTGGATAAGTAGACATGTGCTTTGGCTGCCTCTCTTCGGGCTTAATTGAGGGGAGCCGAGACAAAAGGGGGAAACATAATTATTCGCTCTCTTTCTCTCAGTCTCTCAATCTCGCGGTATATTAACACATTGAGAGTGTGTTAATACAATGGCCGGCGTAACAGCAGCCAAAGCCTAACCGGGCGGACATGGCCAATGACAGAAGACACACACACACTGATGAGAGAACAAAGAACAATAATGATGAAATCAAATTCTTTTATGGGTTAAAATCTTTCTAAAAACACAACTCTAAAGTCCATTTCCTCCATTTTAAACTTCATATTTGACTTATGCCCAGTGAATTTTTCACAAAGTCTACACATCACAATAGCAAAGCGGCGAGTTTGAGTATATTGGACCCAAGAGCATCTCGACGGGGCTGAGCGTGCCACTCCACTGCGCCGCGGGACACGACTCTGCACCGGAGCTTTTAAGCTCTATTGCCACAGTTGGGCTGCAAAAGATGCTCAACACCTATGTGCTCGCACGTCCATCACCGGCACAGTTTTCTGCAGCGCACAATAGAGTACAATAGTACAAAGGCCCGCGTGCTTCATAGTCACACGCTGCTGCACAATCCCGGAAGAAATCTCCGAGCAGGTTTTTTTTTTACGACTCACGCGCTGCTTGGAAAAATACCAAAGGCCTGTCAGGACAGCCACGGAGCAGGCACACCCTCCTTCCCCCCGCCAAGCTTTTCATCTCTGCACCTGTCTCACGGCTACACCCGACATGACACACGGCTCGGCGCTTTAGTTTCAAAACCACACATGACGTGGATGTGCACGACTGTGCTGAACTGTACTCCGATTGAAGGCAAACAAAAACCTGCCTCATTGCTTTTATAAGCCTGTCGTTGGCTGCTGATTTCTAATGATTAAATCGACAAGCACGCGAAGCCGCTTGCTTTTATAATAGAATTTCAATTCTAATTTCTACTCTATTGTGGTCTTAATTTTTGTCTGGCTGGTGGAATATGTATCACTATATTTCAACAGTAAATGATCTGTTGCGGTCATCTCCAGTTTAATAAAGGCCTCGATAATGCCAACTGTCTTTAATTTTGTATGTTCAGTATGTTTTATTGTGGAATGAACGCTTTTGTCAGCAGTCAGGAATCAGGTCTTGGGGGGTTTGTAGTTATTTTTAGCTACTAGCTGTTGGTCGCTGTGATAAAATGAAACGAATTCTCGAGACTCGCAAACTAGTTTAGGAGTTGATGATTCAAGTTTCTGCTTTTAAATGAACTGCCGTTGGCGGCCTTATATGCAGTCTCTCAGGACCAGAGCAACACAGACAACCCAATAAATGATTCAAAGTCAAGAGTTAAACTCTGGTAGAGACATTCAAGTAGTCTGCACTCTTGACTGATGCCCCCTCAACTTTCTTTGCACCCTCCGACCACCCCGGCTCTCTTTCGGGCATTAAAACCCATTACGAACTCACCCTTCCCCGAGGCCTACTTCTCGCACCTTTTTGCATTCCACAAATGGTTAACGTACCCCCCCCACCTCAGGGCATGGGCTTTATGCCCCGTTGAGGTCAACACTCTCTCTGGGGGGTAAACAGAGGAATTTCCTTGATGGTGCAAACCTCATTCCAAGCAAGTGAAAATAGAACCCCATGGGAATCTGGGAGACATCTTTATGGGAGCCCCGCCGTGCTCCCCGAGTTTGCGTGCACACCTGCAGAAGTACACGCGAACACACGTTGCAGCGTGCATGAATGTACGTCTGGCTTCCTTGTTGTTGTTTATGCTGAGAAAACGTCCTTTGTAAGATAACAAACGCAATGGTCCAAACAAATAAGGATTGGGGAAGTATTTGTCAGGGCCTGTCCGTATGTGCACGTGAGCGTTTGTGCTCGTTGTTCATATTTAAAGAGGAACTACAGCTATGCGATGTCAGGATAACGGTCAGATATGCTCGGAAAATCACCTATTGCAGACAGTCCCTGTGGGACGGGAGTGTCTCAGACATCACTGGTAGGATTCCCTGGAAGAGGGAGATTAGCTTCTTATTCATCCTTTCGGGGATCTAACAAGACACACGTCGCCTCCCCCCCCACCCCCTCTCTCTCTCTCAGCTTAAGCACACACTTGCACACACAAACAGCTTGGCTGCAAACACACTGAGTCGCGGCTGCTGCTTAAAATCAAACATTCATTTTTCTTTTAAGTGGTGAGAGACAAAATATAATTCCTCTCTGGAGAGTGCTTTTCATTTTCAGGGCACAGGAGGAGGGCAAAGCATAGAAATGACACAACAAAGTGCAGAGGGACGGGGGGGGGGGGGATTAAGACGGTTGCTTTCCATTTACAATGTTTACTGTCGTCTCCTTACAGAGAACTGGAGAAAAACATATGATCGTGACGATGGTGGTCATTCACTGCAGATCCATGTTTTAAAAAATAATGCTAAGCTAAATGAAAAACAGAGATAACAGTAAAAAAAAAAAAACGTGAGGAAATAGATACTGCACAATATAGTATCTGCAAAACGCCACATATAACGGATTATAGATTTGGGGTCAGTGTCTGTGTGACATCTGAGGATCAAGTGGGGAAAGATAAAAGGCAGTGGAATTCAGCGCGAGCCAATTGCAACTCAACTTTACTCCCCAAGTGTCACTAACTTCATTAAATACGCTCCCCGTCTTTCTCGGGGATTACACTGTACGCTCCTTAACCGAGATTCCAGACTGTCTCTGCAGCCCGGTGCAGTCAGGGATTACCATATTTTAAAGAAAATCCCGCGTCGAGTGTGAGGCCCGGGAGAGTCGGGGAGCGTGTGCAGCTTCTTGACGCTCGAGTGCTAACTCAGCGATCCGTGAGTCCCTGTATGAAGACTAGGGAAACCCCGCAGCGTTAAGCCTCCCGTTATGATCTTTCAAGATGCAGATTGGAAATGGGAGGCCATTTACAC